AGGTAGCCACTCCTGCCTGCCTCCCCAAAAAACCAAGGTGCTGCCCGGCCTCCCTTCGCGTCTCTGCACGGGCCGCCAGGGCTGCGAGCGTGGCGGGCCTGCCCATCACGCTGCCCCACCCGGCCTCGCGCAACCTCGCCGAGCGCGCCAGGCGAGGGCATGGCTCGCGGGCCTGCCACGGCTCACCGTCTCGCGGTCCACTCGGACCCGAGCCCCCGCCGCTGCTGCTCGGCGGGCTTGTGCGGTGTGCGATCGGCCGGCAGGTGTTGGTCCAAATGGGCACGCCTGCCAACTCACTTGTCCGCCGCTCGTGCAACGCCCACCTACCTTGCGCTCGCCGATGATTCTCTTTCTCCGCGTCTGCGATGCGCTGCGATCAATAGCGTGGCCCGGTGAGGCGCGCCTCCTCGACGGCCGCCTGCATCACGTCAGCGACGCCGACCAGCCCTATGCCTTGCTAGATTGCTCCCGGTTGCGAGACGGTCCGGAACATTGACGGGCTCGTTTCCCTCGTCCAAAAGCATGTCTGATTGCACCAGACGACGGATCGCCGCTCTGTGGGATCGAGGTGCAGGGGTCGACGCTTTTGCTCAGGGGTCATTGCTGGCGGCGCGGACTGCGTGCGGGCCGGCGGGTTCGTTGCGCCAGCATCATCGTCGCGCCCATTCGAACCGTGCCTGCCCGCGGTGTAGCACCTCTTTGAGCGCCTGACGAACTGGAATGGGCCGAGTGGCTGGTTGCGAATTGAGAGCCTGATTGCGACGGGAGCGTTGCAGGAGGCGCTGGACAGGGACGATGTGATGCCTCTTTGACCCGGACGGAGACAGGAAGACGGTGCCGAGTGCGAGACTTGTGGTGGATGAGTGTCGAGGGATGTGACTGACGGCCGAGCGGAGATAGGGGGGGACGGTTGCCTGTGCGACCAAGAATCGGGCCAGGCCGCGTGCCACCAGCCGGACGAGAGAGCCCCAGCCTGCTGCTCGGCCGAAAGCACAGTCACTCAAGTTCGCACACAAAATCGAAAGGCATCGGGCAGGCATTCACATTTCGACTAGCTACGAGGACTACATCGGGACCCCCACGCCGCTACCTGTCGACCTCACCCTGTCGAATCCGATCCGACAAGGGGAAAAAATCGGGATGTGGAGGTGGGCGGGCGACGCGTCAGCTCGAGCTCCCAGCCTCCCGCCAGCCGGAAAATCGAATCGGGCGCGGAATTGACTCACAAAAACGAGATCTAGGGTCCCGATGATGGCGACCATGTCGGGGATGTAGTGATGTCTGGCCATGAAATCGGCGCCTGCGAGGTGGGCGAAGCCGGGGGCGCGGATCTTGCAGCGGTAGGGGCGGTTGGTGCCGTCCGCGACGAGGTAGACGCCCATCTCTCCCTTTGGTGCCTCGATGGCCGAGTAGGTCTCGCCGGGCGGGACGGCGTATCCCTCGGAGAAGAGCTTGAAGTGGTGGATGAGGGACTCCATGGACTCCTTCATGGTGGCGCGTGGCGGGGGCACGAGTTTGTGGTCGTCGACCTTGATCTGGCCTGCGGGCATCTTGTTGAGGCACTGTTCGATGATGCGGAGCGACTGGCGGAACTCTTCGACGCGGCAGAGGTAGCGGTCGTAGCAGTCTCCGTTTTTGCCGACGGGGACGTCGAACTCGACCTGGTCGTAGGCGTCGTAGGGGGCGACCTTGCGGATGTCCCAGGGCACGCCGGAGCCGCGGAGCATGACGCCGGTGAAGCCGTAGTCGATGGCCTCCTGGGCCGTGACGCGGCCGATGCCGATGGTGCGTCCCTTCCAGACGCGGTTGCCGGTGACGACCTCTTCGATTTCGTCGATGCGCGAGCTAAACTGGGTGGCCCACTTGTAGATGTCGTCGAGGAGGCCCGGGGGCAGGTCGTAGGCGACGCCGCCGGGGCGGACGTAGGCGGCGTGCAGGCGGGCTCCCGAGACGCGCTCGTAGAACTCCATGAGCTTCTCACGCTCCTCAAACGCCCACAGGAAGGGGGTCAGGCCGCCGACGTCCATGACATGCGACAGCACGGCCATGCAGTGGTTGAGGATGCGCGTGATTTCGCCAAACATGGTACGGATAAACTTGGCACGCTCCGGCACCTCGATGTTGAGCAGCTTCTCGACGGCGCGCGAGTAGCACAGCTCGTTGGTCATCATCGACACGTAGTCCAGACGGTCAAAGTACGGCAGCGCCTGCGTGTACGTCTTGTACTCGATCAGCTTCTCGGTGCCGCGGTGCAGCAGGCCGATGTGGGGCTGTCAAGGTGGCGGGGCGGCGGATCAGAGGTCAGGGTCAGGATGAGAGGCGGGGGGCGTCAGTCGGCTGCGTGCCGGCCGGCGTGCAGACGGGCGCCTGCGAATGGTGGTGAAGCTGCACCGGTCGAGTCGACTCACGTCGGTCCTCAGAATCTCCTCGCCATTGAGCTCGAGGATAAGCCTGAGCACGCCGTGGGCGGCGGGGTGCTGGGGTCCAAAGTTGACGGTAAAGTGGCGCAGCGCGGCGTCCTTGCGGGTGCCGCCCTCGCGCAGGATCTCCTGGGCCGACTTGTCGTGCAGCTCCTCGACGGTGTAGGCGTTGGTGGCGGGCGAGACGGGCACCGCCTTGGCCTGCGGGCGCGTGTCCTGGGCCTCGGTGGCCAGGCCGCGCAGCAGGGCAGGGCTGGCCGAGAGGCGCGACGAAGAGGCGAGCGCGCTGGGCTTCAGCAGCGACGAGGCCGGGCGCACGGCGTTGCGGAAGAGCGTGGCGACCATAGTGGATGCTGGGGTCGCGGTGGTGTGGGTGGCGGCCGGTCGAAACGTAGTCGGGGGTGGCGGTGAGGCGCTAGGTGCTGGAGGTCGCTCCTAGCAGGGTGTCGTCGTCGGAGCAGACTTGTCGAGCCGATGTGGTGTGCCGCCGTCTGTCGAAGCGTAGAGTGCGAGCGTGGTGGCAAGCGACGAAAGTAAGGCTAGGGACCGGGGTGGGACGGGGTTCCTGTGGCGGCAGGCAGGATACGGTGTGCTAAAGGCGGGCAGAAAGAGGCCGGAAGGGTTGTGACATCCAAGGCGAGCAGATTGCACACCAGGCGCGCTGCGCTCCCCTCACCACCCGCTCGGAAGGTCCGTCGCCCCGCCCTTTGGGCCTGGCCCCGAGTTTCGATCTCCAGGCGGCCAGGGCGGATGGGCTGCTCGCCACCAAAAAGCCGGGCCCGCACCCGCGCACACCGCCAATCAGACGGGCGCCTTGCGTAATCTGCCAGCTATTGCACTCGCACGGGAAATGACTCGCAGGCCAGTCCGCTCGATGGCCCGATCCCGTCTCGACATCATCGGGCAGTCCGACCGGGCCCGGCTAGCTATGGGATGCATTGCGGCGCTGTGCTAGGCTACTATGGGCGACTGTGCTCGGGTCATGCTGTGTGGGTATCCTGTTTGCGGAGCGTTGTCGAGGCCGCAACCACCGACTACCGCCGCCTCGCGCCTCGTTTGGCCTGCCAGGCCTTCTTCTTGAAGTAGGCCGCCTTGTCGCTGCCGCCCGTCCGGCCCTGCGATCCTCCCCGACCCGATGTGGTCGACTTCGCTCGACCCCTGCTGCTCCCCCTGCCTCGGCCTCGACCCAAGGTGCTGGTTCCCGCCTGGCGACTCGTCCTCGCCCCACTCGACCCGCTTTCCTGGTCGTCGTCATCATCATCGTCGTCGTCGCCGCCCTGATCCTCTTGCTGGTCGTCGGCCCACGTACTCTCCCACGTCTTTCCCTTGCCCCGGCCGCGCCGCGTGGTGGTAGAGAAGCTGTCGTCGTCGTCGCCGTCGCTCGCCTTGCGCTTGCCCGTAGCCTGTCGATGAAACATGGCCTGCGTGTCCTGGCTGAGATCGCTGATCAGCTTGATGCTCAGCCCTCGCCGCCCTTCGCCAGTGTCCGGCGATAGGAGGCACGGCAGGAGGTCGGGGTCGGGGTCCTCCACCACTTGGACATCGTCGTCGTCGTCAGGAGCAACGGCAGTGCAGCCGTTGTCGGCCGCAGCTTCGGCCGCCGATGGCGCTGCTGACCCGACTGCCGGTGTTTGTGCGACGCTCGGGCGCAGGGGTATCGTCAGCCTCGGCCGCGGTGCAGAGGTCGTGGACGGCCCCGGCGCACCTGCATCGCCCTTGCGACGACTGTCGTCCGCCTGCAGCCCCGGCCCTGGCCCACCGTTGTCTCGCTCGTCGTCGATAAAGATCGGATCAGAGTCTGGGCCGCCATCGGCCGCAATCGCCGCCTCGATCCGCCGCAGCTCGTCCTCCTCGTCGATGCCGAGCATCCAGTCCTGCTCCTCGAAAGCACGCAGCCCGATCGAGTCTTCGGAGCTGGAGGGTGCATCCATCGAAGCCCGTGGCGCGGAAGTCGGCTGCGCAGCGCCGTGCGTGCTATCGCTGGCCTCGTTCTCAGAGCATCGCTGAGCGTCTCGTGCTGTCCGGGCCGGCGGCGAACGGTCCTGGGTTGGACGAGTTGCCGAGGCTGAGCCAGAAGCGCGAAAGAGGGACAGATCGAGCCGCGCCTGAGTCGCATCGACGGTGTTGGAGCCTGCCTGACGAGGAGCGGCCGTGACGTTGCTGCTCGAAAGGCGCAGCTTGCCTGGCGAGCTGGGTGCCCTGGGCCTGCTCGCAGTCCTGGGATGGCTCGGGGCGGCGCGCTCAGGAGACTTGAGGAGCACGTCAAACGCGTTGCTCTCCTTTCGCTTCGGCGACGCGCTCGTGGGTGGGCGGCGTGGCTTCAGACCATGCCCATTGCCGCCGCAACCGTCGTCGTCGTCGCTGTCGATGCAAAGAACTGGCGACTTGGTGGTGGGGGTCCTGACCCCGACTCCAGGCGTGGATGTGGCTGTCCGCTGCGGCCGCCTGTTCTCCTTGTCCGAGACTCCGGATTCCTTGCGTGACGAGCTGCCGCCTGAGGCGATAGATTTGGCATGTCGGTTGGCGGGCGTCGCGGCGGATGTCGCTGGCGAAGCAAGAGCGCCGCCTGGACCGGGCTTGCTGCGGTTCGATACCGAAGGCGGGAATCGGGGGCTAGACTGGCGCTGCTGCACCGACTTGTCGCCGTCGGCCCCGCTTTTGAAGCCAGAGATCTGGGCATCGAGCTGATCGAGCAGCCCACCGGCCCTGCGCGGCACGGGCGTAGCCTTGGCAAAGGCGTCGGGCGCGTTCGAGTCGTTTGCTGCGACGGCTCGACGAGGCGTTGTGGCTCCCGCTGGCGGTGGTACGACAAACGTCTTTGGCCCGACGCAGGCCGCTTGCATCTGGCCGAGTCCGAGCTTTCCCGGGCTAGGCGGTTGCACCTCCTGGAGCGATGGGCTAGGGAGATCGTCATCTGTGTCCGCAACCACGGCATCGCCATAGACCTTGGCCGATCCGCTGCTTGGCGGTTTCTTGAGGCCGACGCCGATGAGCCAGCGGTCCCTCATGTAAGGCGTCGGAAACAGTCCGGTCTGTGACCACGGCGCACCGACGTCGGCCCCATCGATGCTGAAGCTCGACCTGGGCCCATTGTCCGCGCCGGCGCCATCCGCGGCGGGTGGTGGATGTGGGAGTGGGCCATCCTGGGCTCTCGGAGACGAGTCCCAGCCTAGCTCGCGCAGCAGCCTGCGGCGCTGGTCGGTCTCCTGCGTCGGTGCATCGCCCTGAGATGAGCTCTGACCCTGCTGGCTGCCATTAGCTGGATCACATGGCGCGTTAGCGTTGTCCGCAGCGAGGCCAGGGGCAAGAGTGGGCGCAGGGTCGGGCGCCAGCCGTGATGCGCTCGTGGGCGGCGGTGCGGGAGGAGTAAGGACGCCGTCAAGATCGCTGGCGAAACCTTCCCAGAGGGTAGCGTCGCTCGAGGGGTCATCCTGAGCCCCGCGGCGTGCTCTCCTGCTACTGGCAGCGTCCGAGGGCGCCAGCGAAAGGGTGGGCATGGTGTGGGTTGGCTGGCGCGCGTATCAGGTCGAGACCATGTTCCCAAATTGCGCTGGAAGGGAGGCCCCTGGATCGGATCAGCGCCGTTATACGGCTCGGTGCCTATCCCTGTGTGAGCATCGGCGAGGGCAGGATTGAAGCGAAAGAGGGGAAGGGCAGGCTGGCGAGGAAAAGCAGGGAACGGTGTTGGTTGGGGGTGAGGAAGATGCTCGCCGAGGAGCGAGCGGCCTCGCCTGGCAGGCCTCGCCCCCACGGGAAAATGTGGAGTGTCTGCCTGCCAGCAGAGAGGTGGCACCAGACCAACACGACACGCAGCCAAGACCGCCAGCCAAGCGCGTAGGCCCAGCCTCGACCATGGCGCAAATTGGCCTGGCCAGCTCAACTTCACCTCACTCTGGGCAGCACGTTCAGCGACATGGACCGCCAATCACCCCGCTCTCCATGGGATGTCTCCAGCTCGCTGTGTATAACGTACATCGCTGCACCCGACGCCGACAGCTCGACTACTGCTCGCTGGCAGGCGGCTGGTCAGCAGCGTCCGCCCGCGGTGCAGCCTCGCCATCGACCGGCTCTGCTCGCAACTTGGCGTCTGCGCTCGGGTCGCCGCCCTCGAACCTCCTCCTCGGGATGCCTCTGCCGATAGCCTCGACCCAGTCCTCGGTCTCGGTCCAGCCCAGCAGGATGTCGACGACCTGGTTGACCGTCAGCACCTTTCTCCCTTGGTAGCCTCCCTTCTTGGCCGCGCCGCCGTCGTGTGCCGCCGCAGTGGGTTGCGACGTCTCGCCCTGCGCCCGCAGCCGTCGTTCAAACTCCTCGAGGTTCTCCTCGGTGATCGGCAGCTTGGCCCGCCGAACCCCCAGCCGCGCCGCCTTGTTCGAGCAGAGGCCCTTGTACCGGTTCTTGTCGACGATGCCGCCAATGACGTACGTCTTGCCCTCCTCGAGGCAGGTCAGGGTATCGTCGGTGTCGGCCGTGAGGTACACGACATCCTCCCTGGCGAGCTGGAGGGGGCCGGGCGTGGGCGATGCGTCGGCCGACGAGGTCGAGGCACCGTCCGCGGCTGGAGTCTCCGAGGGCGCTGCTGGCACAGCTTCGGCCACCATGCCCTCGAGTCCACCGCGCTCCCGTATCGTGATGCCCTTCCACGCTCGCCAGACGCCTCGCATCTTGCCCTCCATCCACGTGCCGGTGGGCGAGTCAAAGATGGTCGGATCCCCTCCCGTCTGGCCCTGCTGGCCCTTGTGTCCCTCTGGCGCCGACGCCGACGCCGCTGCGACGTAGGCGGACCCTGGGACGTGGCCGCGGCCGGCGAGGATGACATCGTCAAAGGGCCGGTGCGAGGTGCGGTTGCTCGAGTAGAGGTACATGACCTGCTGTCCGAGGGAGGCCACTTCCTTTTCGCTCATGAGGTCGTCGAAGCCGAGGTCGATGACGAGCCTGGCGCCAAAGGGCTTGCGCTTGGGTTTCGCCTTGGCGGCGTCCTTGCCGCGCTTCCTCTTGCCCACTGTGGCTGCGTCGGTGCCCTGCTCGGCGGCCTGCTGCTGCCGCTGCTGGTACTGGTCGCGCTTCTTTTGCTTTCGCTTGTCCCTCTCTGCGCGGCGCCGGTCGAGCTTGGTCTCTTCAAAGTACTGCTTCTTGGCGAGCTTCTTGGCGGCGGACTTGGAGAGGCCCGGCGGTAGCGTCGATGCGTCAATGTGGATCTGGTGGCGCTTGCTGTGCGGGTGCGAGCTCGAGGCCATCTGAAAGGGCGGCGGCGTCGGCTGGGCAGGGGTTGCGGGTGTGGTCGCTGCCGCAGGTGCAGGCGTGGCCGACGACGACGAGTCAGGCTCCCCCGCGGACGGCACTGCAGCGGATGAGGACGCCATCGAGGACGAGGCCGACGCCGGCGAGGTGTCCATGGTGAGCGCCTGGTCCAGGGGATGGGTCGATGGCGGGGTGACGAGGGTGAGGGTCAGTGGTCAAAGAGAGAAGAAAGAGGTGGAGGGATCGACGCTTTGAAGCCCCAACGCAGCCGCTGGGCCCGGATGAAAAAGACCCTCGTTTTCCCACCATAAATCAACCTTCGCTCTCGCTCTCACCAACCAGCACAGCCACCCGCCTGTTTCGGGCACGCCTCGCGCGTCTGCCTCCTTGGTCGATGAGGGCCTGCGCCGAGGACTACTGATCCACGGCACGGTGCTGCACCGATGGCCACTTTGAGCTTGGTCTCCCGCACACACGTACGCAAGCAAGCAGGGGGACCCCCAAAGACCGTCGCCCCGGGGCCATAGGTGGACAAGCGCTACAGGCCGACGATCCGTCCCGAATCCAAACGTGCTCAGAACGACGCTGACGATGACCTGTGCTGTCATTCCCTGCCATCGCCCCAAAGACGACATCAAAACAGTCTACCTCGCTCTCCACCATCGCTCCTGAAGATCGCTATGCTGCTAGATTGTGACGCCGCAGGATCTCGCCACCTGGTCGAGTCGTGAGTCTGCCAGCCCAGGAGATGTCCGCGAGGCAGGCGTCGACCTCTTGCGCCGCCATGTGAACCAGGCCAAATTGGTCCCATTGACGGCCTTTGAGCGAAACGCATGCCCGAATGGCAATCAGGGGCAGTTGTTCAGCGTGCCTCCGGCCTCAGCGCAGCCGTCGCAGATGTCACCCTGGCACCGGAACGAGTGCGTCGTGAGCTTGGCGCCGGCCGTGTCGATCGAAGGGCACGACCAGGCAAGGTGGTCAAACTCGCAAGAGCCTTCGAAATCGCCAATGTAGATGTACCTGTCGGCCTTGGCGCCGGGGAGGCTGGACAGGGCGATGGCGGCGACGGCGGCCACGAAGAGCGACGACTTAATGGTGAAGTACATCTGCACGCACTCGAGCTCGAAACCAGAGCTCAAACATGAGTTCTTCGCCCGGAAAAGAACCTGGTATGGCGTCGAGCCGTTGCACTCACCTTGACGGCGCGATACAGGGGTAAGGCTCGGAAAGGGCTGGTAGGACGATGTGGCGTGTTGTTCGAGATATGGAGTGCAGTGATTGGACGAGGAGAGAGAACGCAAGCGCAAGAGGGGCTGCCTTTGTACCTTTCGCCTCGACCACGTCAGGCATCCCCTGCACCCCTCCCACTTTCGGGATTCGCCTCCGACGTCTTCCACTAGTCACTCTCGTAAGCATGATGGACGGTGCCAGCAGGGCTTCTAGCCCACCGGCTCTCTGTCTGGCCGACCCACCTCCAAGTGGGCGGTCATTCCTCTTTGACCGGAAGGCGTCCCGCAGCGGGCCACCTGCGCCGACCTGTGTGGCAACTTCGTGTGCAACCCACTTCGTCTGGCTCGGTGGCTATGACGGCAATGCAGAGATGGATCGAGAGCAACAGCCGTCGGGGCAGCCCGGCTAGTACTCTCCTTGAGCATAAGGATGCACAGTTCAATGAACCATGACCCACGCGTACAGCTCAGTCAACGCATGCAGAGTGAGTGTGGGTCGACGACATCCTACCTCTAGAGTGCGAAGCGCGAACCGCTTGCGCTTGTGGCTTCCGATATCGCGCCTCAGGTCGTTTCACGGAGCTGGGACGGCCAGGCATCAAACGGTCTGCCGGGCGAAAGTATCTCAAAGGTGGCCATCCGCGGACGGGCCGCCAACGGGGGGTTTGCAACCTCTCCGCCTACGTGTTGCGTGCCATCGCATCGGTGGACAAAGATTCTGCACTCAGACAGCCAAAAGAGGATGCTAACAACAGCTGCATTGCCCCTGGGCCGTTCTACGGAAAGCCGCGAGCGTCCAAGAGACATTCATGACAGGGGCAGCCGACGAATGACGACGCGCTTTCCACGCTTCATATGCTGCCTTGGACGCGCGACCGCGCACTTCCATTCCCGAGCGAGTCGAGGAGGGGTGGGCAAGGAAGTTCAGGAGTAGAGCGAGCGGCAGCCCTTAGCGCTACCGGCGTCTTTGCATGCATCGCAGAACTGCGCCTTGGTCATGTCGTGACAAACGAGCCACCTGATCGGCTCGCCATTCAAGCCTTGGCCCCAACCCTCGTCTTGGCAGCTGACATGGAATGGGCTGAGCGCAGGCATGTTGCGGTTTGCCTCGCAATAGAGGATGGGAGTGTCCATCCTGTACCGCGCGATGAACGCTTGAACGCTGGCAGCCTCGAGCAATACCAGGGCGACAGTGATAGTCAGGAGGAAGGGAAAGCTGTTGCGGCCGTTCGTCTCGACTGCAATCGGGAGGGAGACGATCAGCACACCTTGCTCGGACGGCTCAGCGGACATGTAGCAGACTCGATTCACCAAAGGTCTGTGTGGTTATCTTTCCGTCTTCTTCGAGGGAGGCGTACAAGTTGTGGAAGAAGTGCCGTTCGTTGGTCGCCTCTCTGCCGCTTCTTATACCGCCTTAGAAGTGAGGTGAGGCCCCAAAGTGCGTGTTTGACCCCACTAGGAGGTCTTCGGCCGTTGTCGCTCTGGAAACCGCTCAACAGAACGCCCACATCTCTGTATAACTGAGATGCTGGCCTCTCAAGCAGCCATGGAGACCCAGCCCGGGGGCAGAAAAGCCTCCGTCGACCCCCTTGGATCTCTGGAATTATGCAATGGCCAGCTCGGTAGATATCCAAGGTCGCGCCGTTGCTACACGTGTTGACTCTGTGCCGAAACGCTGCCGCGATAGATTCGCGTCTGCCTAGTGCACTTGCCACTGTCACCAAAGGGAGAGACGCACCTTCTCTGACCGTCGGCATGCTCGCGGTGGCTGGGAGCAACCTCAACATCATGGGCGGGTTGCTTTGTGAGCGTCCGGGCAAGAGCTGCAGAAGAAAGCCGTGTCCATTTTGCAGCTGTTGTCATCTTCGAAGCCGTTGGGCGTGCAATGAGACAGCGACCCGTTGTTTCAGGAGGCAGACCGGGAGTGATGCAAGAAAAAGATTCCCCTTGAAGAAGACCCACTCGTCGGCTCGGGCGTCGGGAAGTGTTCGGACGGACGAGTCGATTCAGCAGCCGTACCAACCGACGATTGCGGCTCAAACTCGCTGCTCCATCCACTGTATGATATGTAGCTGGTGCGTGCTTGACCGATGGCGTGTACAATCGTGTGGGGCGTTGGGAGTGTGAGTCGTGACCGGAGAGCGCTTTGTGCCGCCCTCTCACCGTTCTAGATAGTGCCCCGTTGGCTAAGTCATGAGTCCGGCTGGGCAGCGAGCAAGCGTGCACCTCCGATGAGCGCGCGCGGCCCGGTTGCAACGGCCCCACTCCCGGTCGTCGGGTGGGGGCGGTGACCGACGGCGGGGACCATGACGACCGCTGGCCTGCGGTGGGTGCGAGAGGCCAGAGGCTAGGCTAGGCTTAGGTTGGCCGAGATACACACACACACCACCCCCACCTCTCTATCGCCCGCGGCTGCAGCGCCAAATTGAATAATGAATAAAATATTCAAGCGCAAGGCAGGCAGGCAAGCTTTCGGCGATGAAAAGGCCGGGCCAAGCAGGCTTTCGACGAGCGTCCCGCGGGCTGCTCGGCCTCGTTCGTCTTGCCAGCGCACCACCACCCTTGGCTAGCGCTACCCGATCCGACTCGCTGGCCAGACCTCTCGCCACGGATCTCGACCGGCAACCCGCCAAGCCCGTAGCCAGCCCAATCTAGCCAGCCTGCCGGCGAGGCCTGGCCAAAACTCGGCCCCACCCTCGCGACGGCGACCGGGCGGGGTGCCGTCGGTGACGCGCCCCTCGTCTTGACCTGCAACCCACCACCCATTTGCCGTTTGCCGGATGAAGGCAGCCCTCACGCCTCTGCAATCGGAGCAGCCTGCTTGCGCCCGTACCGGACAGAAGGCCAACGGCGCAACACGTTCGGGACCAAAGTCGTCGACGCCCCCGGCTGGGTGGGGTGCCATTGCGCCGCCCCCTCTCTCGGCCAACGCCATCCACCCCCTCCGACTCCATGCGCCACCGCCCGCCTTTCTCTCCTTGCCACCATCTGGCGTCGATCAAGACCTCCTCCAAAGCTCAACTCGCATCTTCGCCGCATCGCCTCTGTGACACCACCACCACCATCTTTGCCTGCCAAAGTGCAGCCTGAGCGCGCTCATACTCTCCCGGCAGCCAAGACATGCTGCCTTCTGATCCCGACGCACCAACGCGCAAGCAGCCACTGTCCATTCCAGGCCCAAACTACCAACCGGTCCCTACCGACCAGTCACCGCTTTCGAACACCGTATCGCTACCGAGCGCGGCCGGCAGCATGGTCCAGCCAGGCGCACAGCCTTTGGCCGGCAACGGCGGCCAGGGCTCAGGCGTCGGCCCGCCTCTCAGCCTTCCCGGCCCAAGAGCCACCCCATCCAACGCCCATTCGACCTCGTCCGGCACGACGAGCTCGAGATCGCACCTTGAGAAGCAGAACCCCGGGCTCATGATCTACCGCTCCTACGGCGACTATGTCGTCGACCCAGAAGACGACGACTGGCTGCACGACCCGAAGGCGGCCGACCGGCGACACCGCTGCTGTGGCTTTGCCGACACACGCGGATGCATCAACCTATTGACCCTCTCGCTCCTGGCCATGGGCCTGCTGGCGCTCTTTGCCGGATATCCAGTCATCTCGTTCCTTGAGCGCGACGTGCTGTCCAATAAGGGGGGTTTCGGCCTCGGCGGCACCAACGCATCCGGACAAGTGCCTTTGCTGCCCATCAACCGCGACCTCGTCGACCCCGACACACCACAGGAGGCGCGCACACGCATGACGGTCGACGGCAAAAAGAAGATGGTGCTCGTCTTCTCCGACGAGTTCAACCAGGACGGTCGCAGCTTCTACCCGGGCGACGACCCCTTTTGGCAGGCAGTCGATCTGCACTACTGGAGCACGGGCAACTACGAATGGTACTCGCCCGAAGCCGTGACGACGGCTGGCGGCGCGCTGCAGATCACGCTGAGCGAGGCGCAGACCAACAACCTCAACTTCCGCAGCGGCATGCTGCAGACCTGGAACCAGTTCTGCTTCACGGGAGGCTACATTGAGGTCTCGATGGTGCTGCCCGGCGCGCCCGACGCGTCAGGACTCTGGCCCGCCGCATGGACGATGGGCAACCTGGGCAGAGCAGGCTACGGCGCCACCAACGTGAGTCAGGTGCCCAAGCCACGACTGCGCCCGACCCCAAGGATGGTTTGCCGCGGCTTCCCGGATCGTGTCGAAGCTGACTGCTGGTGCCTCTGCAATCCCCTCCATCTGGAATCGCCTGCCTTCCCCGCGCAGGACGGCATGTGGCCGTACACTTACGACTCGTGCGATGTCGGCACGCTCAAGAACCAGACCTACCCGACCGGCGGTCCGATTGCCGCCGAGACAACGGGCGTCTGGGTCAAGGAGAACGGCCCGGGCGTCAGCTACCTGCCCGGACAGAGGCTGAGCCGCTGCACCTGCGACGGCGAGGACCATCCGGGGCCCAAGCACCCCGACGGCTCCTACGTGGGTCGCTCTGCCCCGGAGATCGACATCATCGAGGCGACGGCATCGTCGCAGGCCGGAGGCAAGGGCCACGCTTCGATGTCGGCTCAGCTGGCGCCCTTCGACGCCTATTACTACATGAAGAACACGACGGCCGACGCCGTCGTCTACGACAACGCCGCCCAGGGCCAGCTAAACTCGTACCATGGCGGCGTCTACCAGGAGGCCGCCTCGGGCATCGCCACGGTCAAGAGCGAGGCCTACAACGAGACCAACGGCCAGTTTGACACGTACGGCTTCGAGTACAAGCCGGGCAGCGACCAGGACTCGTACATCACCTGGACCCTCGGCGGCGACCCCGTCTGGACGCTCCACCCGAGCGCCATCGGACCCAATCCTGTGAGATCCCCGCTCTACCTTGCAGGCCCGTCCCACTCTCGGCGCAGCACTGACACCGGCCTCCTGCTCCTCCTCGACTTGCCCTCGCCACCCTCCCCGGCTCCATTCCCTCTTCTCTCTCCCTCAAACAGCAAATGGAGATCGGCCAGCGCCTCATTCCCGTCGAGCCGATGTACATCATCCTCAACCTTGGCATTTCCTCGGGCTTCACCGTGGTGCAGTGGGATCGGCTCAAGTTTCCAGCGACGATGCTCGTCGACTACGTGCGCGTGTGGCAGGTCGAGGGCGAGGAGAATGTCGGGTGCGACCCGCCCGATTTCCCGACGGCCGACTACATCCAGCGCCACTCGGAGGCCTACTGGAACCCCAACCTGACCACCTGGACCGAACCGCGTCCTCGCGGCGGCTACGCATCGACCTTTCCGCGAAACTCGATGCTCACAAAGTGCGACTAGGGCCGGCAGACCCTGCCCATCCTCGCCCCTCCCCCCCCCTGGTTTTCTCGTCCCATCTCACCCGGCTCGACCCCGGCCTGCTGTTCCCTTCCGTTCCCTCCTTGCCACACTACCGTCACTCGCACCGCGCCCTCGCGGCGTCTTTGCCGCTCCAACTGCTCGCCTCACCGCTTACCGCCTCCACCCGCCTGCCAGCTACCATCAACCCGTGCTCCTCCCCTCTCCCTCTCCCTACCTCTCGCTCTCGCCCTGCCCATCACCATCGCCATCGCATAGCATCGCATAGCATCGCATCGCATGTCAGTCCAGTCCAGCCTTGCTTGTACCAGCTCCCCCAGCCCCCATCCACGGTCCCCCCCAGTATCCTACCTGCGCAGCGTGATAATCGTTCAGCGTCATTCGAGATTCGATTGCAGCGGGCAGCCTTGATGGGATACAAACGGAACCAGGATGTGGAGGAGAGAAAGCGGGTCAAGGGAAAGGGAAGGGGAGACACAAGAGACTCGGGGGGCAAAACGTTAGATCGTCATCGGGGAAAAAGGGAAGATGGGGAGGATGCGTGCAGGTGTCGTGGGGCTGGTGTACGTCGGAGCGGTGATGGGAGGAGGAAGAGAGGCAGAGTGCAACGCGGGGACGGGTTCACGACCATCGGGCGCCGCCCTCTATGCCCGCGACGGTGCGAGGCCGACGGCGTTCTTGCCGAGGTGGTAGGCCGAGTAGTACTTGCGCAGGAAGACGTCGCCGACGATGATGAGGTCGGCGAGCGGGCCGGGCAGGTTGAGACCCTGGAAGCTCGAGATGCACGAGCCCTGGACTTCGAGGATGTAGTCCTTGCCCTCGAGCTCGAAAGGCTTGCCGTCGATGTAGAAGGTGAGCTTGGGCAGGCTGGGAACCTTCTCGCACTCGATGCTGTACTGTCCGTTCCAGCCTGTCGATCAAAGCACAGGGTGGGGAAGAGACGGTGCGAGTCGGGTCGGGTAGGAGGACGAGTCAGTCAGCGTGGACGGGAACCAACCGCCGACGCTCCACCCTCATCGCATCGAAGACTATCCCAACTCACCCTTCTTGGCGCCAATCTCGGCGTTGAGGATGTCGGCCGTGTCCTGGGCAAGGGCGATGAGCGAGGTGCCGGTGTCGATGGCGGCGGAGCCGTTGTCGAGCTCGAGCTCCTCGTCGCCGAGGGCGAGCTTGTCGAGGCCGACCTCCCAGTAGCCCTTGCGCTTGACAGGCGCCCAGTGGATCTTGCCGTCGTAGTGGTTCTCGTCGATGCCGCCAAAGGTGGCGACGCCGCCGTCGGACTCGGAGGAGCCGAGGTAGAAGGAGACGACGGGCTCGTCGAGGAGGCCCTGGTTGATCATCTGGTAGAGCGGGGGCACGATGCCGTTGACGCTGATGGTGTCGTAGGCGAGGCCGAGGATGCCGTCGAATTTGCCAAAGGCGAAGGCGAGGCCGGGCTCGCTGGTGGCCTCGGCAAAGTCCTGGCCCTTGACGGTGAGGTCGCCAATCTTGAGCGTGTCCTGGGAGACGATGCCCTCCATGGAGCCGGAGCCGTACTGGATCTTGAACTCGGTGCCGTTCTTCTTGTAGGACGACGAGGCGGAGCTGTCGTACTTCTTGTGGAGGAAGCAGGCAATCGACGAGCAGTGGGTCGAGGGGACCCAGAGGTTGGCCGAGCCCGTGTCGAGGATGACCTTGAACTCCTGCGGCGGGGTGCCGAGCGAGATGTCACAGAAGTACTGGGCGTTGAGGAAGTCTGCGGGTGGTGTGATGGCGGCGTGGCAGGGATGAGCGGCGGCAAGCAAGGCTCTTGGGTCAGCCGGGGAGTGCGTCGCATGTGTGCTCTCGCCAAGACGAGTCGAGATCAATGAGGCGCCACTCACCGGTCAGGGGGACGCCGTGGCCCTTCTTGGCCTCGGCGTACCAGGCGCTGGCATCGCTGGCCTGCTCGACGGGCTGGATGCTGAAGTCGTGCTCTGCATTGTTGCCCGACTTGAAGGGAGCCTGCTTGGCGCCGCCGTACTTGAGCTGGAGGATCTCGGCCTGGGCGGCAAGCAGCTCGGGGGTGAGCTTGGCAGCGCTCGGGAGCTTCTGCAGCTTGGCCCTGGTGGATGAGGGGGTAACCGGAGCAGTGACGAGATGGGAGGAGGAGGAGAAAGTCAGCACAAGAGCGTGAGGGAAGATTGTTTGGGGTCGACGAGCACCATCCAGGACGATTGGCTGATGCGCGCCACACGCTTGCGGCGGCGGCGAGGGGTGGACTCACTTGTGGACGCCGGCGTCGACGCCGATGGCGGCAGCGGCGAGGCCTGCGACGAACGTGAGGGAGAGATTGAGCTTCATGGGTGCGTGCGGGTGTCGGGCTGATTGGTTGTGGATGTGGATGTGGTGGTGTTGGTGGCGGTGAGAGAGGGGTGAGGCGATGGCGGGGGGTCGCGTGTGGAGAGAGATAAAGGGTCCGTCTGGCTGGGCGGGGCGGGCAGCCAGAGTGTAGAGAGGCTGAGGCTAGGGCAGCGGGGCAGGCCGGCCAAGCGAGCCCGGGGGATGGGCAGCTCAGCCAAGCTAGCCGCTCAGATCGCCCGCCTCAACGGAGGGGGGGAGGGCCGCGCGGTCCTGGGCTAGGTCAGGCAGGCAGCAGGGGGTAGTGGGCAGCGGGCCTGGCCTGGTCTGTAGCGTGACGGAGCGGCGCTTTGGCCAGAGACCTGGCCCTGCGCCGAAAGCGGCGGCAGCAAGAGGCAGGGGGCAGGGAGGCTAGGCTAGGCTAGGCTACAGGGCAGGCCAGACGAGGCCCGGGCCAGGCGCACGCAAGCCTCCACACCCTGCTCTTCCCTGCTTGCTTGCCTGCTTGCTTTGCTTGTGCTTTTCAGGCGCCGCATCTGGGCCACGACGGGCCCCCATCTGGCCTCGGTGGCCCCTGCTCCGACCCGGCGTGCCAGCCAAGTCATCGCTGGCCAGCCCCTGAGACCCCGCCTGCGACCAGCCTGGCCTGGCAAGCCAACCAAGGCTGTGCCGCCCCCTTGCGCGCGCAAGCCCTAGCCCCTTGCCCGCCTCTTGCCGCCATTGGCCGGTCGCCCCCCCCTCTCTTGCCTTTCTCGTGCGGCAGCCTCTTCCCTCGTCGACGCGCCCAGCCCACCAAAGCCTGCGTGCCGCCATCGCCCTCGCGCCCTCGAAGGCCGTCAGTCTGTCAGACGGTGTTCTGCATTCAACACGACATGACCTGGTTTCGTCAGGCGTCAGTGCGGGAGCAATGGAAGCGATGCTAGGGTCAGAATCGCAACATGGGCGAGGATAGCAACATGAGCGAGGATAGCAACATGGGCGAGGATAGGGTTGCCGTCAACGAGTCTCGAGGATGCTCGCGAAAGCGGTGAACGCAGTAGTGTCGTGTCGGATGCTCCCGGACTACCGATGCCGTCGCTCTGGGACAATACGAACTGCTTGATCGCACGGGGCAGGATCAGAGCGGGTGGCGCCTGTCGTTGTGCGAGAGGTGGCGGCGGCGACGTCCTGCGCCTGGTCATGGGCCGCGCGCGCGTCCGCCTGCGCCCGGTCGTGCGCCTGTTTCGTCGCCTTCCTGCGCGCCCGCCGCGACTCGTACTCGTGCCATTCGCCCTCGAGGCTCGACAGCAGGCCCGCAGGCATCTCGGCCCGCGGCGCCTCGCCAAAGTAGGCCATCTCGAGCGCCTCGGCCGCACAGACGCGGCGTCGCGGATCGTACGATAGCAGGCCTCGCGCCACCTCGAGCGCAGAGGCGGGCAACGCAGCGCCAAACGCGGCCTCAAAGATGGCCTCGACGGAGCGCTCAGTCGTCGAAGCGTGATTGGCCGTCGGTCCTGCCTGCTGCGGCAGGCTGCCAGCCTCAGTCGAGACACGGCCTTGTTCCGCAGGGTCGGCGTTGGCCGGCACGGCGGTCCCATCGCCGGCAGACTGTGCGTGTGCAGAGGCGGCGACCGGCTTGACCAGCTCGTACCACGGCAGCTCCTGCACCGCCGGCCACCTCTCCGTCGAGAACAGGCCCAGCGCGTCACTGATGACCTGCAGCTGATGCACCTCGGTGTTGCCCTGGAACGCCGGCTTGCGCGTGAAGAGCTCGAGAAAGATGCAGCCGGCCCCCCACATGTCGACCTCGGGCCCGTACTGGGTGGCGCCAAACAGCAGCTCGGGAGGGCGGTACCACAGCGTGACGACGCGGTTCGTGTAGTCGCCCCTCTGCCGCTTGAGGTAGAAGCGCGCCAGGCCAAAGTCGGCCAGCTTCAGCAGGCCCTGGTTGTTGAGGAGGATGTTGGACCCCTTGAGGTCGCGGTGCAGCACCGACTTGTGGTGAAGGTAGGCGAGGCCTTGGAGCAGCTGCGACGAGAGCGACTTGAGGTGGGCCGCCGAGAACTGGATCTGCGGATGCGCCAGGATGCCGTTGAGGTCGTGCTCCATGTACTCAAACACCATGTACACCGACGAGCGCGCCACCATCATTTCGTGCAGGCGCACAATGTTGTCGTGGCGGAGGGCTTGCAGCAGCTTGATCTCCCGCATCGCCGTGACGGGGAAACCGTCCTTTTCCGCCTCCATCCGGATCTTCTTGAGGGCCACCAGCACGCCCGTGCGCTGCGAGCGGGCCTTGAAGACCTGGCCGTACGTGCCTTCGCCCACCTGGTTGATCCTCACGTAGCCCTCGCCCGCCTCGGCCTGCATCGGGGCGAGGACGGCAGGCTCGGGCTCGGGCTCGGGAGAAGCCTTTCGCGGCGGCTTTTCATCGTGCGGCCTCCGTCCTTCCGCTTCGCCCCGCCAGCCTCGGTCGACGATGCGACCGCCCCTGTCCCTCAGACCTCTTCTCGTGGCATCGCTCTCGGGTGGTGATCGACGACTCCACGAGTCCCTGCCGGTACGTGGATTGGCCCTATCGTCTGAGCGCCGCCACGAGCGCTCCTGCGATCCCGACAATGGCACGAAAGGGTCGCCACCAGTCCCTCGCGGAGGGTCATCCGAGCGCTGCCGGTATGCCGCCTCGGAGCGTCCGTTGCGATCGCGAGGAGCCTTTTCAGCCTGTACGGCGCCGTTGGCCCTCTCGACCGCCTCGCTACTCGTCTTTTCTGGAGAACGGGTCGGAGCCCGCACGGTCTTCCAGCCGCCGCCGCGGACCGTCTGCACCGTCTGATTGGCGTCTTCGGCGGAAGTGCCGACGCGGTCACGACCAAAAGCGGCGAGGGAGCTGCCTTCCTTACGGCTGAGGACCCTACCCGAGTAGCTGGGCGAGCGGCTCCGGCGGGACGGCCGGTCATCGGCTCCCCGCGTGTCCCCGCGCTGGCTGGGCTCGTAGCGATCATGCTCCCGGCGAAAGCTACGGCCGTCGCGGTGCCGGTCTGCATCCCTGTCATCGCGGGCGAGGCGGCGGTGCGACAGCGGCGGAATCGCAGCCCTGGGCACGTCGTCGCGCGATCGAGAAGGGCGCAGCGGCGTCTCATTGTTGTGGGCCGTCGCTGTTTCGCCACGATCCGGATCCGCCGGCTCTGGGGTCCTGCGAGCGCCCGCGACGTATTGCTCGGCCCGAGATCGCCGCCGCTTGCTCGGTGTACCGTCGAAACGTTCGCCGTTCGAAGGACTTGTCTGGCCGTAGGTCCTCGTCGGTGGCGTTCGATCGCGAACACGAGCGGTCCTGCTCGAAGGAGCGAGGTCGCTGTCGCGGTCGTCTTCCCTGCGTTTGCGCGCCTGGGACCAACGATCTTGCTGTGGTCCGCGAAAGCGGCCTGCCTCATCATTGGCGAGGCGAGCCCGCGCATCGTCGCCACTCCGTCGGTCGGCGTCATCGCGCCCCTTGGCCGACGACACAGCAGGCCCGGGCGGTGTCCTCTGACGAGAGGCCCGATAATGTTCCGGAAAGTGCCTCGGTGAGGAAGAGGACGATGAAGCATCGTCGAAGCGACTTGGCATCGGCACGCGAGGAACGGGAGGTGGCGTGTGGCGGCGCCACTGACTCGCGGCCGGTCTGCCCGTGTCCGTGTCCGGTCCGCGCGTCTGAGCGAAGGGAGGCGATCGAGCGCGCGGCTCCGCCTCGTCCCGGTCCCTGCCTTCCCTCCCCGCAACTAGCATGCGCTCTCGAACCTCTGAATCTTGACGACGACGCCTGTCCCAGCCCGAGATCGGCCGAGCACTCTCGGTTTCAGCCCCCGGGCTTGCGTCTCTGCAGAACTTGTACCGATCCCTCTCCTGCTGCGCCGTTCCGGACCGTCTTTGTGGAGTGGCAAGATCGGGACGCGTCCATGACGTGCGTTCTGCTGATAGCTCGCGCGGTGGCTCCCTGTCCACGCTGCGATCGCGGAGCCTCTTTCGCGGAGGCGGCTGGTCATCGTCCGTCGCTCTAGGGTGCCGGCCACCATCGGGCCTAGGCTCCCGGTCGAGTCGTCGTCCGCTGTCGTCGTAGATGCCCCGTGGTGCCAGGGGTGCGCGGGGCTCCCGCCGGCCTGACACGTCCGGGCCTCGCCGGCTACGATCGCGATACGACGAGGCGCCGCCGCGGTCGGCATCTGAGCTCCGATCCAACGGACCCTGCCTGTTGTCGTTCAAATCTGATCGATGCGATCCGCCGTCTTCCGTGCGCGTGCTTCGCGTTGCTCGGCTCCATCGCTGTTCAGAGTCGTTGACTTCCTCGCGATGCCTTCTCCCGGCGCGCCCTGGTGGGGATGGCGAACGGGTTCGTGGCTGCTCCCTGCGCGCCTCCGCGCTCCAATCCGACCTGCGTCGATCGATGTCGTCGTTGATCTCTACGCGAGTCGTCCTGTCCCTGCCGGAATCGGATGGCCTTGCGGCGGTGCCGAGTCTTGCGCCATCGAGGTAATGCAGCCGGTCGCGATCGTCTCGCGGATCTCTGCGCGACGATACGGCCCGTCCGCCACGCCCGCCGTCATCAAAGGCATCGAGATCTTGCCTTGGTGCCGTGCGAGGGCGATGAACACTATGGTCTGGCGAAGCGACATCCGGGAGGCGCCTGTTTATCGAGATGGCTGGACGTTGACGGGGGTCCGAGCTGCTCGCATGTGGCTGCGAGCGCCCAACAAGCAAGCTGTCGTCGGCATTACTGTCCGCGCGAGCACGAGCAGGCTGGCTGGACGTTTCGTTCATGGCGAGGAAACCCTCAAACAGGGCGACCTTGGGCCGATTGTCGATGGGGCGTGGACACCGGTGAAGAAGCTACGGGCCTTGCTTCTCGGCCTCTGAGGCGAGGGACAGCTGCAGCGAGTAAAAGCTCCCGGCACGCGTCTCTTTTTGTGACGCAGCTGGCACGCTGTCCGGGTGCAAGGCTGGGCACCTAGATGTGGCCGTGGTAGCTGTGGTGGTGGTACCGCGCGCCGGCGCTGTGTGGTGCGGTCGAGTTGCCAGGGGATCCGAAGGTCATGATCAGCGGGTCAAGGGTGCTGCGATGATGGTAGAAGGTGCGGCGCGCACACGCCTTGCTTTCTCGCCGTTTGACCAGAAGTGAGGCCAGAGCGTCGCGCGTTTGCTCTCGACGGAGGGGGAGGAAACGAGCGGAGATAGGTTTGGCCGCCTTGTCTTGGCCCTGGCGTTGCCGGCTAGCGATCAAAGGCCCTTTGATCCTGGCAGCGTGTTTGCCCGCTGCTTCGTCTTGAGCTGTTGAAGGTGACGAGAGGGGTGGTTGCGCCGCGCGTGGTGCGGAAGGAGGCAAGGAGAAGAACCGCCACGACGAGATGGTGGGGAGGGACGAGAGGGAGCCAGTGAGGGGGACCCTGCCTGGCTTGGCCTGCCAGAGGGCTTTGCCTCACTCAGCCTGCTAGAGAGAGCGCCGCGCTTCCCACTACGCGATCTTCCGTGCCGCTGCCCGATTCAGCGGCCTCGACCCGTTCGATCGGGCCGACACCAGGGCCAGGCAGGGAAACGGCATGTCCGGCTGCCGAAACAAAAAGCTAAGCGCGCAAAGCCAGGGTGCTGCCGGCGAGGGGCGGCGGCGGCAGAGTGGCGGCAGTTCTGAAGCAAAGGTGCGTCTGTCGGGCGGCTGCCTCTCCCCAGCAGGGGGGGCTAGGTCCGGAAGTAGGCCGAGCCGCCGCATCTGCCTGCCTTTGTTGGCAGGCCAGGACCAGGCTACCCACAAAGGCCAGGCTGACTGGGCCCAGCCTTGCTCCGCTCACCTTCCAAAGCAGCCCGACCCGACCGAGCAAGGGCAACGGCTTGACTCTCTGGCTCCTGCATGCCTTGGCCCTGGCCTAGCCTGCCGACTCACGCCACCATCAGCTACCCGCACCGCGTATCTCCTTCGCCCAGCGCTCGACTCGAATCCACCCCCCCTCGTCCTAACGCCGGCATCGCCACCGCCACCGCCGCCGCCACCGACATCCTCTCGACCGTCTCTCCAAAGACGTCCGCCAAAGGGATCACGCGCACCCGCTCCCGACATCCTCTCGACCGTCTCTCCAAAGACGTCCGCCAAAGGGATCACGCGCACACGCACCCGCTCCCGCTCCTCGACACCTCCTTCGCCCAGCCTAAAGCCTCCTAGAATGCTGCCGACATCCGCGCACGCGTAGCAGCCCCGCACCGACTCGCTCGACGGGCCCAGACTGGAACCTCTCATCGCTCTCACTGCCGACCCAGCGCCTTGTTGCTGCGCGCCAAGGGCACCGACCTCCCGTCCATCCATCCGGCCACGGAAAACGCAGAGCTTGGCAGCGACGGGCCTGGCAATGACCGGTGGCGCATTCGACTACCGCTCCGGCTCGTATTCAGCACCAGGGCAAGACGAGCAGCGCTCCGCCTCCTCAAAGCCTTCACAACAGACTATGAAGCGCTCTGCCTCGGGCCCCGAGCTTGTCCAAGAGCGATCCATGGACGTCGATCTCATCATGGCACGCCAGCCGTCTCGCCAGCAGCATCCAGGCAATGGTTCCGGCGACGTTGGCAAGCCGGACGATAGCATCGCCTCGGTCGCAGGCGGCAGCAACGGCAGCCCTGCCCCTCGGCGCCAGACACCCTCAAAGCGGCCCCGCCTCTCCTCACCGCACGGGGCGGGTGCTGGCCCCGCCGCGAACAGCGCAACAGATGAAAACACGAGCAAGAAGAGGGCGCCCAAGAAGGCCGTCAGCTGCGAGGCGTGTCGGAGGCGCAAGCTCAAGTGCGACCGGGGCTGGCCCTGCGGAGCGTGCCAGGATCGTAACGAATCGAGCCTCTGCGAGTGGGCAGACGGCGTGCAGCCGCAGTATTCTGGACGCGATGCCGTCGTCGCGGGCGCCGTGTCGGACCGACTGGATCGGCTCGAGGCAATGATGGGATCCATTGCCAACCACCTCGGCGTCTCGCTCCCGGGCCAAGGGGCCTCGCGGGAGAGGACGGGCCCCGAGGAGGACGGTCCGCCTTCGCTGGCGGCTGCCGCAGCGGCTGGCGATGGAAGCAGCCACCGAGGTACTCTTGCCGGCTCCGCCCGGCCAGCCTCGGACGCGCCGGCCGGCAACGCCGTCGACCGCGGCAGCACCGGCAAGCAGTTCGAGAGCATCTATATGGTCGACATGCCAGGCATTGCGCTGGACAACGTCGAGGGCAACGCCGCTGCAACCCTTTCCAAGCTCGTCCCCTTGCTGCCAGACGCTGCCATGGTGCGGGCGCTCTGCAAAAACTACGTCAACGACCTCGGCACGACGCTCTACGTCATCGACGAGACCGATCTCATGAGACAGCTAAGACGTTTCGAGGCGTTTCGAGCTCGCTGGAACGACGGCGACCGCTCATTCCCCCACACGAAGCTGCGAGAGGAGGTCCGCTTCCTCGCGCTGCTGTTTGCCTTGTGCGCCGCGTGAGTCTACGTCCCGGACAGCTTCCCGCACACACAGACAACCGAGCGACGCCGTCGCGATGCTGATGGCTCCGTCCGGCGCCCTTCCACCCTTCACCGTCTCACCTCGGCCACACAGGATCACCATCTTTGGGGAATCGCCAGAGTCCGCGGCGCTTGAGGCGCGGTACGGCGGCGCTCCTTACACGGTCATGATTCCGGCGACGCAGCATGCGCTCGGCGCCGCCGAGATCTACGAGCACCTCGACATCATCAACGTACGCACAATGCTCGTCACGCACATGGCCATCACCACGCTCAAGGGTCCCAAGCTCGGCCGCGTCGCGGCGACCAAGACGTTTGCGCTGGCGTCGCTCATGAACCTCGATACCGAGCCCCCGACCGACTTGCCCGAGGCCGTGCGCAAGGACCGCATCCTGCTCTTTGCCACCCTCTGCACCGCGGACTGGATGCCGTGTGGAACTTCGAAGCGGTTGTGCTTCTTCGACGAGAGCTACCTCGAGTATCCGAGCCTCTTCGACGCCACGCTCGATCGCAACAACTACATGCGACCCGAGCCCAAGACCATGCTCGCGATCGCCCGACTCTCGCTGCGCGCCTCGTCGCGCGTGCTGATGCAGGAGGATGCGGCGTACAGGTACACCGAGACGCTTCAGAGCGAGCTCCACGCGATCGAAGCGGGGCTGCCACCGCGCCTGCGGTACGAAGGGCCCCATACGCTCGGGCCCGTCGAGGACCCAGAGGTCAACTTCCGCTTGTGGTCCGCGCTCATGGTGCAGCGCACGCTGATGACCCTGCACAAGCACTTCTACATCCAGAGCTGGACCCAGCCGCGTTACAAGAGGTCGCGCAGCATCTGCTTCGCCGCAGCCTCGGCCACGGTCCGGCTCTGCCGCGATGCCTTTTTCTGGTTCCACCCTCGAGACGACTCGACGCCCGAAGAGCGGCAGGCGCTCATCCTCGAAGGGCTCAAGAAGCGCCACTCGTCGGTGTCCAAGGTGTGGCACGTCGTCCAGATGGCGCTGATCTCGTCGCTGGTGCTGGTCCACTGCCTGTCGATGCTCGAGCTGCATCCGGAGGAGAGCGCCGGATGGCATCTGCCCACGCTCCGCGCCGACGTCTCGGACGATCTCAAATTCATGCGGACGGTGGTGCAGGCGCTGTCCCCCAAGCTCGAGAGCCTCAAGGAGAGCATGAAGGCGCTCGATCCGCTGACTTCGCTGGACAAGACAAGCAAGATATTGAGCTCAGACCGACCCCGCCTCGAGCCTCCGGGGGCCGCGTCGCCGCTGTCGACGCCCTCTGCGAGGGCAAGCCGTGGGACTCCGTCGCATGTCCCGTTGCCAGGTCTCCGGTCTCGGGCAGACGATGGGCACGGCCCTTCGCCGCCCAACGGTTCGATGCCACAAGGATTCGAGGAACGATCGAGGCGAAGACCACCGCCGCACAATGTGGCGTTCGCGTCCTCGGTCAAGAACTTTGACGATCTCGAGGCGCTCTGGAACAAGCAGCCCTGGTCGACGACATGGTCTGATCAGCGAGCGGCGGCGGCGTCGTCGTCGTCGTCGTCGGCAGCACCACTTTCCAGACCTCGCACCGAAGCCACGATCTCGAACGCAAGCTCACCATCGGCGTCGTCCGTCGGTCGACACACGGCAGCCACGCCGCCGACGTCTACGATGCCGCCGCCATCGACGCGGAGCCCGCACCCTTCGTTCGGACCAGGCTCACACCTCCTCAACGATGCGCCGACCGGCTTCTCGCCATCGCCAGGGCCGTCGACGCGACCCGAGACGGGCCCGCCACCCTTACCGCGGCCGGGTCCGCAGCTGGCACCGATCCAATCGCCGCCGATGTGGGGACCAGCACCGCCGCTGCCTCCAGCTCCCGCCCTGCCTCCGACAAGCGGCATGGCGCTGTATCCAGGCACATATGCCGCGCCGCTCCCGCACGCGCCTCAGTCGTTTGCCACGGGCAACCCGTCAACGTCGGCCTCGTCGACGCTGACCGACTGGACCGACGTCGACGGCGTGGAAGGAGCGGCGGCAGACGGGAGCGGGGGCGGCGGCGAGACGGCATCGTGGCTGAACGATGTGGCCAAGCTCGAGTTTTCAAAGGCCGACACGACGTTCCTCGAGCACCTCGTGCCGTACAACCCGCTCACCAACATGCTCGTCGAGAGCCTCGACGGGTTCGTGCAGAACCTTGATCAGCAGACTTCGATGTTGTCGTCGTCGGGAGCGGCGCAGGGACGCGCGGCGCACGAGGAGCAGCAGCGCGTCCTGTCCGGCCACAATACCCTCCTCTCGATGGCCGAGGCCATGCGCATGGACAGCTACATGTGATGGCGGCGGCGGTACGGCCAGTCCGGCATGGCACACGGCCGTCGTTCGCGCCCGCGATTTGGCCGGGCTGCGGAGCCCTTTGTCGATGCAATCGCGCATTTGCCCGCCTGAGTTGCGTTTCAGTGTGCCCCGCTGCCGCCCATGTCCCCGTCGATCGTCGCGTCCTGGCTCCTAGACCTCTTCGACGTAGTTTGATGGCAGTATGCCCACTTTGCCGTTCTTGACGCCTTGACACCATCTTGTTTTTCCGAGATAGCGGCACCATCGAGACGATTGCAGCGGGTGCGCGAGGGAGCGAACGAGATGGGAACGTGTCAGAACCCGCCTCTAAATTAGCCGATGGGCTGGGATGGCCCTGGGAATAGGTAGGCAGAACTCACCCGTCGCCATAGGCGAGACCGACGGCGGTCAACTCGACGACTTCACCCGCGACGAGACTCAGCTCGTCGCCATCCTGGGCGGCGTAGTCGTACAGGGCCTTTACGAACTTGCCGCATCCCTGCCCCGTCCCCTGCCCACCCGCCGCCGGAACTGCACCGGATGAGGGGACGGGATCGTTCGAGACTGGGGCAGGGGCGGAGTCAAAGTCGCAATAGGATGTAGGTACCAGACCCTGTGACTGGCCCTTTGCCACTTTGATCCACCCCGTCGATTCGACGTCGTCTTCTATCAGCTCAATGATGTCGCCCTCTGTCGTGAGCGGGCGGGTTGGATGAGAATGCGGGGGAGACGGTCAGATGGTCCGTACGGATCGACGCGGAAAGCAGGCAAGGCGGATCGAGCAAAAGCTCGCAAGGACCACTCACCCTGGACGCTCAGCTCGAACGGACTCGTCGCGTCAAAGCCGTAGACGACCCTGCCAACGGGATTGGCGCCGACCACGCTCTCGGGGATGCTCTTGGCCGTCCCAAAGTCTCCAGTCGACCTGCTTCCCGCTCCCATCGAAGAGGCACCGCCGGTCGAGGCAGAGGACATGGTGCGTCCCAGGCCGATGCTCCTGCGGATGCTGCTGCTGCGGTACGACGTTCCCGACGCGCCGCTGCCCGACGGCGCCGCCTTGCACTGAGCAGGTACCTTCATCTCGCACTTGGCATGCACCGTGTAGCCGCACGGCTTGCAGATGCACCCTTGCCGCGCGATGCCCCAGATCGTGCCGTTGCAGTACTGGCACGTCGTCGGGATGGTGAACGACGCCGGCTTGAAGCGGTGCGGTTTGGCCTCGCCCTGGTTCTCTGTCGGGTCGTGGGCAAATGGTGCGGGGCAAAGCCGCAAAACACAGGTGAGCGGAACGGGTCTTGCCCGATCGCAGCAGGACAGCAGGCGCACCCACCTCCAATGGCACCGACGATCCGCTCGACCTCGGCTTCGAGCAGGCAGATCTCAATCTCGAATGCAAATGCCGTCTTGAGCGACTCGAAGAGGTTGTCGAGCACCGCATCGGGGTCGCCCAGACCATCCTGCTTCTCGTAGGCATCGCGCAGATTCTCAAGGCCAGCGACTTCCTTACGCTTGGCCTCTGCTAGCGGGTCGAGCTCGGCCAGCTTGGCTCTGCACCGCAGCAGCCGGTTCTGCAGGAAGACGGTCGGCGCTGCCTCCACCGACATGTCGGGCTGTTGGGTGCGGGGAAGGTGAAGCAGTACGGTGGTCGATCGAGTCAGCCTCGGGTGATCGGCGCTCTCACCGCGCCCCGCGATCTCGGCGGGTGCTCACAGAGTCAAAGAAGACGGAACACGGCTCGAAACTCCACTCGCGCGGCTCCTGCCAGCTTTGCTTGTTGTACTCGATGAAGGTCTGCTGGTCTTGATCCGGATCGACCTTCTTTTTGCTCTCCTCGAGCTGCTTGTACTTGGTACTGAGCGCGTTGTGGTGGTCCGCAACGAGGGCGTTGGCCCTCGCCAGCGATGCAGCCGTGCGCTGGGTGGTCAGTGTCCACAGCGATTGCAAGCCCTGCAGAAGCCAACCAGTCCAGGGCGGTAGGGCGACCGTCAGCAGCCGCGCCGTCATGCTCGCAGGCGCCTACCTCGGTCTCTGGACCTACATTTTCAACCGCCGGCAGGTCCTCCCTGTAGAACTTCTGCTTTGCTGCGTTGGATACCTCGATCTGAAGAAGATACATGTTCTGCGGTACGTGGCGTGCAAGTACCGTGGTGGGCTGGGCGTCAGCAGGATGCTCCGATGCGACGATCGAGTGTGGGCCTACGTGCGCCCTGGCTCACCTTTGCGTTCCACATGTCGACCTGCGCAGTCTGGAAGCCCTTCTCGGCCCTATCCGCGTGCCTGTCGTCTGCGCCGGCCTTTTCCTTCTTCTGCCGGTGCGCCTCGACCTCGCGGCAGTGGTCGTCGTACTTGGACTTTGCCTTTTCCCGATCGGCGTAGATCTTGTCGCGATCGGAGAGCAGCTTGCTGGCATATGAGGTGTGCTGCGGTGGAGCGAAAGAGCGGGAATGGGCCGGCAAAGTTCCATCAGCCTGAAGGACAGGCGGATCGAGGCTCTTCTCCTCGGATTCTTGCACAGCTCGACTCACCTTCTTTCGAATCTCTTCGCGCTTCCTGCCGCTCGAGGCCATCTCTGTCGAGACCTTATCGAGTTCGGTGGCGAGGTGAAGGTGGTCCTGCGAGGCCGCATCGGTCGTGTTGAAGATGTCGGTCACGAACGCTGCCAGCGTGGCTTGCTGGCCCGTCCATTCCCTCGTGGGTGACGGTCCGACGGCAGCCTCATGGTCTCGCTTCGACTTCTTCTCGCGGTACTTGCGTGTGAGGACCGAGAGCTTGGAGGCGTACTCGCGCTCGAGTGCGGCACGCTCTGCGAGAAAGGTGGAAGCATCCGCCTCGATGGCGAGGTGGCATGCGATCGTGTTGGCGATGGGATGGAGCTGGTCCGGCAGGTGCTCGCCAAAGAGGGCGGTGGGCATGTTGGGCCCTCGTCGGCGCGGCGAGCTGGGCGTGCTCGCGGTGGACGTCGGCTGGCTGGCGTAGCTTGGTTCGGCGCAGTCCCGATGGGTTCGATGCGGGCAGCGGTAGGCGATGTCTGTGATGGTAGAGTGAGGCAGGAGGATGGCAAAGGCAGGGCAAAGCAGGCTGCAGCTGCGGCGCCAAGAGGGTGGGGGTCCCCAAATTCACTTGCACCGCCCTCCAGGCTGGGGTGCACCGTGCGCAAGGGGTCCATTTGCCAGGAGAGTCCACTTCGGCTTGTGGAAGCCACCTGGAGGCAGACCGTCGGGCCCGTAAAGCCCGATGCAGCGGGCGACCCGATACAGCTCTTCTTGGGGATCTGCGTCGAGCTTGGCTGTCTATGTATCTGGCTGGCAGAGGCCGGTGAGGTGGGGCGGGCGGCCTGCAGGCGGGCTGCCCGTGTCGATCCCGGAGCTGCAGCCGTCTTACGGAAGGCTGCGTGTCGCGAGCTGCAGCGCGGCCTGCCTCCACAAAGAAAGAGAGCCAGGCCAGCGCACGGACGTGAGGTGATTTCCCGGCGTGGCCTGACAAGCCCCGCCCGCCTGCCCGGCCTGGCTCGTCGGGCCCTAGCCTGCCTTGTCGAGATCCAGACCCTGGCCTGCCTGCCGGCCTGCCTGCCTGCCTGACTGCCTCCCTGCTGCCTGGACCTTGGCTGATGGGCTCGCCTGGCGCCGACGGCTGCTTGGCTTTCCAGAGGCCGACTGCCGCCGCCAGATGAGAGATCTTCGCCTGCTCGCCCTCCTGCCCGGCTGGCGGCGATTACCCTACGCTGGCCGCCCTCCGCCGGCTCTTCGGCTCTCGAGAGAAGGGTACGGTGAGATGCTCTCGGCGGGCACATCCGTTGTCGGGCCCTCGAGCGAAGCGGGCGCGGATGCCGCTCCCCACGTTGCCTCGTCTTCCCGCTGCTTCCCTTGCCCCCTTCGCCGTTACGCCCTTCCACGCCACCACCACCATCACGATCAACGCCTCCCAAGCGCTCACATCAGCTGTCGCCTGCTCCGTTTCCGTCAGCGTCGCCTCAACGTGACCTCCTCGCCTCGTCTCTTTTCCTCTCCATCCCCCCACCCCGCCTTCACCGTCCCGGCCTGTCCCTTCCCGCCTTGGACATTGACTGCTGCCATCCGCTCCACGCTCCGTCATGTCGATCCCGTTCCCGTCCATCTCGCTGCCCCAAGCCCTGGTCAAGCCGTTCCAGGGACCTGCCACCTCGATTGCGCGCGCCTCGCTCCTCGGACTCTTCTCGCGCCTGACCATTGGTCAGCTCGAAATCCAGTTCCTCGACGGCCAGACGCACAAGTTTGGCGATCCCACCCTCGTAAAGTCCAAAGAGAGGAACCACTCGGCCGCCTCCCAATCAACTTCTGCGCAGCTTCCCTCCAAGAACGCAGCGCAAGCCAGCTTCGCTGCCGCCAAGGCTGACGCTCCCCATGCCGTCCTTATCGTCAAGTCCGACACCTTCTGGATCCGCATGTTCCTGGGCGCCGATCTGGGCTTCGCGGAGAGCTTCATGACTGGCGAGGTTGACACCCCTGACCTTGGCGCCTGCTTCGAGGTGAGTCTCGGTCGGTCGAATAGGTTGCGCGCCCGCTGCGCTGGCTCGAGGGAGGCCCCGGGAGCTGACCCTCCTCTCCTTTGCGACGTCCTTATCTGCATCTGGGTCGTGCGACCACCTCGCAGCTCTTCATTCGAAACCGAGCGTCCCTGTCGAACCTCGAAGGCTACAGCATCGCTTCGTCGCTCGTCTCGTCCGCCCAGGCCATGCTAAACCGCCGCTTCGCCAACACCAAGGTTGGCAGCCTGCGCAACATTGGCGCCCACTACGACATCTCCAACGAGATGTACAAGGCGTTCCTCTCCAAGGACATGACCTACTCGTGCGCCATCTTTGACACGCTCGACGCCGACGTCACTGGCCCGCTGCTGACGCGCCTCAACCACGCATCGACCCAAGGCATGATGACCAACGGCCACACCGATTCGGCCGCCTCGGGCGCCTACGAGCCCATCCGCTTCACCGACGACCTGCCGACGCCACCAGAAGAGTCCGAGACCAAGCTCGAGGCCGAGGATGAGCTCGAAGTGGCCCAGCTGCGCAAGCTGCGCATGATCATCAAGCGGGCCAACATTCGCAAGGACGACCGCGTGCTCGAGATTGGCACGGGCTGGGGCTCTTTTGCCATGGAGGCGGTGCGTTCGACGGGCTGCAAGGTGGACAGCGTCACGCTCTCGGTAGAGCAAAAGGCGCTCGCCGAGGCGCGCATCGCCGAGGCCGGGCTGACGGGCAGCATCACTGTGCACCTGATGGACTATCGCGACTTCCCCCCCGAGTGGACCAACCGGTTCGACCGCGTCTGCTCCATCGAGATGCTCGAGGCGGTCGGCATCGAGTTCCTCGAGACCTACTTTTCGTGCGTCGACCGCGTCCTCAAGCGCGACGGCGGCGTGGCCGTCTTCCAGTGCATCACGATGCCCGAGGGCCGCTTCGAGTCGTACGTGCGCTCGGTCGACTTTATCAAGAAGTGGATCTTCCCGGGCGGCATCCTCCCGTCGGTCACGTCACTCGTCGACGGCGCCACGGCGGGTTCCAAGAACCAGCTGGTGCTCGACACGGTGGTCAACATCGGCCCGCACTACTCGCGCACGCTGCGCGAGTGGAGGAGACGCTTCGAGGCCCACTTTGACAACGTCATCCGACCGGCCCTGCTGCGCGACCACGAGGAGATCCGCAACCTGCCCGAAGTGGCAAAGGACAAGGAGATTGAGGTGTTTAGGCGCAAGTGGATCTACTACTTTGTCTACTGCGAGGTCGGCTTCACGAATCGCGTCATCGGAGGTGAGTCTCGAGTCTGACGTGCAGCGGCCCGTACATGGTGCGCGATTGAGAGAGCTGACCCCTTTGCTTCTTTTGGTCTCCTTGTCCTCTTCCCTCATCTCGACATCCCGCCATGGTGCTCGTGCAGACCACATCCTCGCCTTCACCCGCGAGGGCAACGTCACCCTCCCCGTCTGCTGCGGCTGAGCGCGACGCATCGCTCCATATCGCACCGACACGGAAGCCCACTGGAAACCCTTGGATCGTTGCGTTTCAAACCCCCTGCTTTTGCTTGGCTGCACTTGCTCTCTTCGTCAACTGCTCCTCCTGTCCATTCGCTCGACTTGTATCATCGGACCGTCTTGCTAGAAGATACCTTTTTGGCGCCCCGTCTCCCACGCTGTCTCCTGCACGGCGTGCGTCAACGCATAGCAGGGCGGAGGCGGTGCCGCTATTTTCGATTTCTGCCGGCTCATCTCAGGGGGCCGAGTGGATCAACAGACGAAGCCGGCCTTGTTGAGCCTCTGGCATACCTCCTCGAGCGTGCCCGCCGTCCTGGCAATCTGACGGTCCCAGCGCTTTGTGTACTTGTTCTCTCCCTCTGCCATGGCCGACGAGGCGCCAAATGCCCCCTCTGGACCGCCGGCAGAGTCGCCGACCTCGGCGGCAGACTGGGCTTCGGGTGCGCCGCTCGTCGCGCCCGCCAGTCCGCCCGCGATGGTTCCCGCCTCGCCACGTCGGTCCTGGTCGACAAAGTAGAGCACCCCACCCGATCCACCCACGCTCGCGCTCGCGCTCGCGCCGCCCGGTCGACCCTCTTCGACGAGATCGCCCACCTGGTCGATCCACGCCTTGAGCCTTCCCTGCTGGATCATCCTGCGTGCCGTCTCCTCGGCCCCTGCTGAGCTCAGATCGAGCAGCGCGCCAAGGCCGTGCAGCGTGATGTTGTCGTAGAGTCGCGAGGCGCTGAGCAGGTTGTGCTCGATCATGGCGCGATCCAGCACCGTGCTCGGTGCATGACGGGTCGAGGCCGGTCGGCTCGATGAGGTCGACGTGCCTGCCATGTCGGTGTCGCCCGACGCCGAGGCCGAGACGGTGGCGGAAGCGGAGGCGTCGGCGGCGGCGGCGGGCGCGCGTGTCGGTGCGAGCTTGGCCACCTGGTGCGGAGCGAGGAGTTTCTCAAACGCCTGGATCTCGTGGGGACGAATGATGTGGTCCAGGAACACCTTGCTGAGGATCGTGTACTGCGGCAGCGATTGGGTGCGTTCGTCGCGGATCAGCGTCGCCAGCGTTCGCGCACGCTGCGGACCGGCGGGGGAGAGAATTGATGCCGTGACGGCGGCCGAGCTGCGAGGACGGAGTGAGGGAGGAACAAGTGCAGACGCAAAGGTCGGTCAGGATCTCTTCGCTTGCGAGTGCGACCTGTCCCAGGGTGATCCGCCCCATGGCACTCACAGCATCATGTTGCGATCGACCTCATCGATCTCGGCGATGTAGCTGAGCTCGTGGTATCTGACCGCCGCCTCTGCAAACCTCCTCTGAGCATCGTAGATCCTGGCCTGGCACAGCTTGAACTGCAGGCCAAGCACTTTGGGATCCTCGAGCTCCGATTCCGCCTTGGCCTCTGACGAGGCGGCTGCAGCGGAGGTATCGGCGGACGAGGCGAAGGACGAGGTGAGGATGGCGCCGGGCACATTGTGGATGACGAGGCTGGCGCGCTTGAGGAAGACGTCGGCGCCGACGGGGTCGTCCCCCTCGAGCAAGAGGCGGACGATGCGCATGTAGACGCTGAGCTTGTAGTGGTCCGAGACGCTGCGGTGCCCCGAGTCGAGCGGGATGGCCTGGAGGACGCGGGCGGCCTCGATCCAGTCCTCTTCGGCCTCGAGCAGGCTCGAGAGCTGGGAGCGGAGGACGGAGGCCTGCTCCTCGAAGCTCAGCACGCGCGGCTGTAGCTTGTCGAGGGCGTCTTCGAGGATGCGCCTGCGTACGTCGGGTTCTGCGATGGCGGGAAGGGAACCATCGTTCATTTCCGACTCTGCGCCGCTGGACTTGTGAAGCTGTGCTGCGCTGGCGATTTCGTGCGCAAAGAGGGTCAGGGCCTGTCGTCCGACGACGAGGCCGCCGCCGGTCGAGTTCTGGTCGCTGAAGACGGCATTCTGGAGATATGCAGCGGTGATCTGGACGAGCTGGTCGGCATCGAGCTCCGAGCTAGGTTTGGCCAGGGCTTCGCCCAGAAGGGTTCGGTAGGAGGGGGCCCTTGTGGCGTTTGGCTGGGACGCGATGCTGGCGAGGCGATTTGTGAAGTGACTCAGGTGGCTCATGGCGAGAGAAGAGCAGTGTCGAGGATGCGGCTAGCAAAGCGACGTCGAATGACCAGCTGGGGGAAAGGAGCGATGGTGGTGGTGACGAGGAGAAGCGACAGGGGAAGGAGCTGCGGGTGATCCGACAAGAAGCTTGAGAAGAGCTCAGCTTGGCCTCGCTTGCCTTGAGGGTGCCCGGCCTCAGCCCTTGCCTGGCCTGGCCAGGCAAAGCCGTTTATGTGGAGTTGAGGGCAGCCAGCAGCGTCAGGCCGGCGGGCGGGGATGCTGACGCTGGCCTGGCCTGGTCTGGCTGGCCGGGCTGAGGGTGGCTGCGCTTGGGCCAGGCTCACCAACCTCGGAAGTCGGGAAATCAAGATTGCCAGTAGCGGGGAAGCGAGGAGCCAGGCCAGCCAGACAGGGTCCCCTCGGCCAGGTCCCCCGGCTCGTGCTGCTCTGCCCTGCTTGGTCCCTTGGTTCCCGCGCGACGCTACATTTCGATACCACCGCCGCCCCGACACACATCGACTCACATGCTCTCGTAGACTGTCGCATCGTCATGCAGCCCATAGCCATTGGAGAGAGCCTGGGCGGGCTGCTGCGCCAGATTGCCAGCAACAACACCAGCCCGCTCAATGAGCCGGCCCCCCACCTCCCCTCCCTCTTCTCGCTCCGTTACAACTTCAAGCCCGAGAGCGTCGCAGACAGCACCCGGGGCATCCTTCACCACCCGTCCCGCAACCCGGCTTCAGACTGGCAACTCGAGCTCGACGCTGCGTCTTCGACGTCGGCCAGCGCGCCCGCTACCGCGCCATCCTCGCAATCCCAGGACTCGGCGACCTCCAACAGCAGGGCGGCACACGTCTTCACCGGATCTCAGCATGCCGCCAAGGGGCTCGACTGCGTGCTGGTGTGGGATGCTGAAAGGAAGACGTACGTCCTGGACCGCATCGCCTCGACCTTCAATCTCAAATTAGAACGCTCGAGGACCAGCTTGAGCGATCCGGCCTTCGACGCCCTGTCCGGCACCGGACCGTCTCGAAAGCAGAAGCGCCGCCGGACCGACATGCAGCAAGCCGAGGGGATCGCATCAGCTTTCAGCAGAGCCCACGATCGTAAGGCCGAATCTGCGGTGCAGAGGGCGTCTTCGCGCCTTTCGTCGGTCACCCGCAGCGCCGTGACGCCCTCGTCGTCTTCCCGCGATGCTTCACCCATGTCTTCAGCCTCCAGAGGGCGGACGAGCCTGGGCCAAAGTACGCGCTTGACGGCGGCCTTGCCGCGACGCTCCGGTAACGGCAGCACCGCCTCTCGTATGCCCGTCGGCATCGAAGTCGAAGAGTTCATCGACAGCCCTCCTTCCCCGCTGTCTCAGGCAACGGCGTCAGCATCGACTTCACGACGAGATCAACCCGAACCCCCTCGGATGTTGCCCGACCTTGAATCCAGGCCAGTCTCGAAAGTCAAGTCCAGAGGATTGGATCGGCATAGTGCCGAAGCTCGACAAGCTGCCGAAGCGGACGAGTCCCGTCGAGGTCGGCGGATCCAGCCCGACGCTGCGGAACCGGCCGAAACATCACAGACAGAGCCCCAGGCTCGATCCGGCCTGCTGCGCCAAGACAGTACCGACGCGCGACACCCGGCGACGCGGGAGGGACAACAGCACAACGGCCGTCTACCTTCCCCAACGCCAGCCATCGAAGATGTTGGATTGGCAGTCGACGAGACTGTTCCAGGAAAGGAGGAAGAGGCGGCCGACCTGGATGACGAAGACGACCTGGCCCACGCACTTGAACTCGAGCTCGGCAATCTGTCGGAAGACGAGCCACAGAGGTCACCGACGTCGACCTCATCGCCGCAGCCACAGCCGCCGTCGGCAACGTCCAGGAAAGAAATCCTAGACACCAGCATCGACAAGGCGGCCAATAGGTTCACCCCAGAGGCCATAGCAGCCTCGACCACAGCAAGCCCCAACGTGGCTCGATTCCGGCTGAAGCGCAACCCAGTATCGAGGGGCGTGTCCGAGGACAGCCTGCAAGCTGGGGGTTCGACGCCTCTTCCGGTCACGCCTGCGCTGCATACGCCGTCAGGGGATTTGACAGCCTCGCCCGCTTTCAGCAGTCGCAGTCGAGGTGGCCACAGCGTCGCGCCGCTCGACGGCGCCACTTTTGCCCGGAGCGACATCGATAGTCCCATGGGCCTCGGCCTTCAGACGCTTGGGCATGCCGCCACGCCTGCTGGCTCACCCCGCATCGCAGAGGTACGAGACGCCGCTGCGGCGCGCGCCTCAACTCCACCTCCTACGACAGCGCAAACGCTGGAGGAGCCCATCGCGGTCGATTGGAAGCCCAAGCATGCCGATGATGCCAGGGGAGCGTCGGCGTCGTACGGCGCTGGGCACGAAGACTCGGTCGATGACGAGGACGAGGACGACGAAGACGAAGAAGAGGGGGCAGAGGAGGAGGACGATGATGACGACGACGGCTTGGACGACTTTGCGGCCGAGCTCGACCTGACGCTGGCGGACAACGATGCGGGCGCACCGCCGAGCGACGAAGCTGTGCCGGTCGAGGAAGCCCCTGCCGCCACCGATACCGCCACAAGCGCAAGAAGAGCCTCGAGGGTTGCACCGACTGGTACGACGAGGCAGCCACTTCGCCTGGCAGCTCCTGCCTCGTCGGACAGGTCGGGCGGTAGGAGGAAGGTCTACGGCCTGGGAGGCCCAAGGGAAGAGGAGGACGACCTCGAGGACAGCGACTAAGCTGTGGATCAAGTCGCCCGGTGGCTTCGGTTCCCGCATCGTGTCATGGCCCAGCGGGGCTTTGCCCGCGCCTCTGAAGCTTGGACACAGGCCCGGAAGGAGGCTCCGAGACTATTGCGTTGCTGCATGGGCCCCCGCGCTTCCTCGCAGCTCGAACGTACTCGATCCGCAGCTCGAACGTACTCCATCTGGGGAAACGCAAAGAGCCGGGCAGGAGCTTGCGCTTGAGCTCGATCAAGTGACGTAAAACGTCCGGCTGCCCCCGGCCAAAACCACGTACGGCGTAAGAGAACGCACAAATATCGCGGCGAATATCAGCCACATCACGATGTCTCCTCGTAGCATGTTGACATGGAGTGAGGTGCTGCGGCTCTGCTGTAATTCACGATGAATGAGGTCGCGGCCCGATGTGCTGCATGCTACGTAGCGGCGCCCGGGCCGCCTTGCCGTAATATCGACGTGGCAGTGGCGAACTGGCGGGCGCCGCCATCCGCGCTCCCTGATGTGTCCCCGCCGCCGGTCTACCACGTTGACCGGTTGGAGTGGGCCGTGTCTGCTATCCTTCAGGAAGCAAGCTGGGGAGCAGAGGTACCTCCAGCACTGATCGCGGCCGGGCCGTCGAAAGCTATAAAACCGCCTTGTCGTGAGCCTCGACTCGACCTCGATCTCCCATCACACACCGACACGAATCCCATCGAAACTTTCCCTTCCATCTTACGAGGCCCCCTGGCAAGAGACTAGACCACCCCATAACACCAAGGAAAGTGAGTTGGGAGATACGGGGCCATGGTATCGCGAGGCTCGTTCCTTTGATGAATCTGTCGCGAATATGAAGAGCTGATCGATCGCGAATACGATGCGTTCGCCGTTCAGAATGTACTCCACCTTCAAGTCGTCGATCCTCCTCGCGGCCTTCGCCGCCGTCGTAGCCATGACGGTCCTGCCCGGCGCTCAAGCCGCAACCACCTACACGTACCACGGCAACACGGCAGCATGGTGCCGCTTCGTCGACAATGGCTCGCGAGCCTTTGAGGGCTGCGTCCAGACAGGCTCGGGAACGTCGGGCAGCGATTTCTGGCAGGAGTACTCTTGCGACTTCGACGTGTGCCAGGCTTGCGCTGCCAACGGCGGCACGCCCGGCAACTGCTGATGGACGCGACTGGATCGCAATCGGGATGCTGATCGGAGCGACGAGCCGGCGCTGTGGGCCAGGCAAATCCAGTCCTGTAGCTACTCTGAACGAGCCGACGCCTCGGCTGCGCTTGGACAGGAGGATGGGTTGGCGAGCACATGCGATGGCTCATAGATCCGCCTTTTGTGAGGCTTTGAACTTCGTATGTGTCCACACACAAGCAGCAGGTGGCATCGACCGAGCATCACGTAGTCCTGTCCTCGGCGTTGGCAAGGATTCAAGGCATCGGGCGCACGAGTGTCCGTGCCGTTTTAGCATGAGTTGAAGTGGCGCACGTACGTTTGGTCGCGTCAACCCAGGTTCCTCGCACGCATGAGCCGCTTCGGATGCACCCATGTCGACCTAGTCGCGGTATGGTGTCCCTCGCCATTTCCTGGCTCGGACTCCGGAGCGGATATTTTCGCCGCACTCCGCCGCTCTCTGACTTGAGCTAGGCAGGGATGCGCAATTGTCAATCAACCAGCAGGGCGACAACAACAATGGCGTACGGCCAAACGGGGAAGCCGTGTGACAACAATGAAGACGCCGGGTGTGGGTACATGCCGCCATACGGTCCATGTGTGCGTACGTAAGACGGCTGGGGAGGCCCGCCGTTGGTGGCGGTGGCGAGAGTTCGACAAGCACGAGAGAGAGAAGGGATGGAGATGCCAGCGTGCATCGTGTGCAGCGAGCCACCGCGTACTGTACACCCTGCGCAGCACTCCGGCTGCAGCTCCCTGTGCCGGTCCCTTGGATTCGGCGGCTCCGTTCGTCAGTTCTGAACCGCACATGCGGTTCGCACGCAGGGCGAGGCAGGCGTCCCTGTCGCGGGAGAGACTAGACTGAGACGGCGCAGCGACGTCTCGAAGAGTGGCCACGGTACGGTGGGTAGGTGTTCGATTGGTGGCAGGCAGGCGGGCAGTCAGGCAGACAGGATGTCGGCGGTGCCACGCAGGGAACCCGACAGGCAGACGGCGGCTACTTTTCACCCTGCATCAATCCGATCTTCTTAGTGGCGCCGCTGCGCGTCTAGCCTAGACACCCCCCGCCACCAACCCATGCCAGCCTAGCCTCGACCTTTGCTCGCGTGCTCAGAGGAAGCGACCCGGACGCGGCTCGATTTGAGTGTTTCCGGGTGTCGCCATCCATCCACCCGCCAGGGGCCCGTTCCTCTCTGGACCCTACCTGCTGGCCAAGCGAGACCGAGAGACCCGTGGTGGCAGCAAGCAACGATGTTGCCAGGCGACGGCGATGGTGATAGATTGGACGGGAGTTGAAAAATTCGGCGACGACGAGGGCAGAGGCGAAGGCGTGGGCGACAACGACAAAGAGGGTTGGATGTTAGACGTGTCGTCCAGCGGGCGGACGGAATGGAGGCGGCGACGACAAATGGACGGGACCAGACGGAGCGGCCGTGCCAAGGTCGAGGCGAAAGTACGTCGCTGCAAGAAGGGGCTTGCAGGTGGCTCCAGATCTCGACGCCTCTTTTTCTTTGCAGTCCGCGCGTGCTTGCCCTGGCCCGTTGCGGCTTTCCGCCAGCGTCTCTGCCGTTTTCGATTAAACAGCCCCCGCCCTCCCTCTCTCTCGCCCTCTTGGCTCTGCTGCCGCCTCTGTACGCCGGCTTACTGTCACCCTAGCACGATCCACGCCGAATGTGGGCGCCATCCTCGATGAGTCGACAAAAAAAAATGCATGCCGGGGAGATGATATCGCAGCGCCAACCGCCGACTGCCTTCGACGCAAGTTCTGTTCATCGGCTTTCCTCGAAACCGTCGTCTTTGAGAAGGGGCTGCTTGCTTGCTGGCGTGCTTGTTCGTGCGGCCACGCGAGAGGCGGAGATCGCTAATCGGCCCTCGGTTGACAGCCAGTCAGGCAAGCACGCCCCAAACTCCGCCCAGCGTGGCCCTCGATCTGCGCTTGCCACGCTGCCCGCCCCGCTCGGCCGCTCGCTTTGGCGCCGGGCTTCGAGAAGCCCCTCGCCTGCCCTGCCGGCCTTCGAGTCCCGTTGTGACTTTTTGCAAAGAATAAAAGAATAGAGGAGCGCCACGGCAGTCGGCCAACGACGGACGTCAACCTTGGCCGATCGGAGCTTTGATCGCCTTCCCTGATCTTCGAGGACAATGGCGTGCTGGCAGCCCCGATGCCGGGCGGACGGGAGAACGATGCAGGAAGCCACTTTATCTCGTTTCGCCCTCGCTGTCTGGTCGCCCCGCCTTGGCGGCTTTTGATTCCGCCATCCCCGCGCGAGGGTGGAGCGTAGAGTGCGCGAGCCAAGGCCAGCACCGAGCGGCCCCTCATCGGCCCGTCTGTTTCAGCCGTTGCGCTACATACAGGGCCCCACCGTCCGCGTTCTCCAGTCCGCAGCGGTCGTACAGGCCATCGGATCGAAGCCATAGACGGAAACGATGCGCGAAAGCGTCAATTCTACTTCGGCTTAGACCTGGCCTGGACGACGGCGATAGACGTACATAGCGAGAGCAGGGGGTCTTCGCTCGCTTCCTTGTCCCGCTGCAAACAATGGAACGCAGCCATCCTCGCCAGAGAAGTGCCAGCACCCGAGCAGTCTACGGCACATCGCCTCCCTCGGCCATGCTTGGCAAAGAGACGAGTTGTAGAACGAATGGCGCTCTGTAGCGTGTGACCGCAGCACTCACGTCAAGATTCGCAGGCTAACAGACAAAGGAAGAAGTAGCTGCTTTATTGTTACAAAGGTGTGATTTGTTCCGAAGGGGATGGATATGTACGTGTGGGCTTGTCGCCTCCCTCTCGGCCTAACAGCTTTGCGCGCTACACGACCCGAACGGGGGACCCCACATGGCGAGCCGTGGCTCCTTAGCCGATCCGGGTTCCAGGAGTGCAGCGCAGCGTACTGTAACGTGTACGTTCTGTATGCTTGGCCCCCTGGCTGGCCAGAGACCCACTGCATCCCCGCCTGGGTATGCGTACGGTCCGTGGGGACCCCCTATGACCGGCCACTGCTCGTACTTGATACTGTACCTACATCGATGCTGTCGCTAGACGGCGACCAGTCGCAGCGGCGTCGATCATGCGCTACATGTAAGGCCGAGTGTCCGGGTCGCGAGATCCTCTGCAGGGAGCTCCGTTTGCTTGCTCCTGTGCGACATCTAGACTCGAGCACGGGGGTCTTGCACAGCACAAAACACGCGGAGAACGGCGCAGTCTCCTCGCATCAAGCGAGCGAAAAGATTGACGGCGAGGCTACGAGTGAGGTGAGTAGCCTCTGACCCGAGCAATCGTGAGCGTTGAGCCGAACGAGTCGAGTGTGCTTTGCTGTGGATGCCTCTCGAGTTGAGCCTGCTTCTCCCGACACGTCCGCTGCGCAAGGGGTCGACTGACAGGCGAAGCGAGCCTAAGGCGGGTTTTTCGGGGACAGACGGACCGCTGAAGCTCGACGGGACGACGACATGGACCTCCAGTAAGCGGTCCGACTCCGGATGCCGATCCCGAGCTAAGCGGGGAGACCAGGCCAGGCCTCCAGGCAACGGCCGAGCAGGCACGGCGCAGGTCTCGGCCATGGTCTTGACGTTTTGGGTTATGTCGACGATTCCCGGAGCCGCAGCCTCGTTCCGCTGTTGTGCTCACACCAGGATCGGGGTCTCTGTGCTGGAGGAGATCCACCCGTGTACGACAGCAGGGACTGTCGTGTCCGCTTGCCGGACTCCGGAAGTCGAGGCTGCTTCCGCTGCGCTCCTGTCTGACCCGCCTACAGCGTACAGCTCTGTGCAGCCAAAAAAGGTGCGCGGCGCGCGGGTGCGTCGTACGTGGCTGCGTGCGTAGCGTGCGAGCTACAGTATGTACCTAGATGGGCTTGTGCAGCATCAGAATCCACCACCGGCGCGTTGAGAGGGGGAGGAGGGCAGGTAGTTGCGGCAGCTCATAACGTTCTCTGCACCTTCACAGCCTTTCCCCTTCGCAGACCGCTGCGGCGGGTATGTATTGCTGAGCTCGTCCGCTCGCGGCAAGGCCTTGGTTGAGGACGGCGACGCAAGCTGGGTGCACTACTCCGCCTTGCGAGCGTCGTCCCCGGCGCCGAAGAGGGACCGAGACAGCGCTAACGTGGCTAGGGCAGGCGCTCTATCTTAGCTAAGAGACTAGCACGGGTACAACGTCAATCTCGGTTGGGCACCAGGCGAACTTCCGCTGCATATTACCAGCCGAGACGCCTCATACCTCACCGGTGCTCCAGCCATCCCTGCAGGCGACGACTGAGAGGCCACGACCAGCGACCGGTGCCGTAGCATACTTCTGAGCCCTCGCAGCAGAGAGCAAAGGAGAGAATCTCTCGGGCCGTCAGCGGTTGGATAGACTTTTCGGAGTCGAGGGACCGCAGCACGAAAAGAGGTCCAGCCCGATGCAAGGGCGATCTACACCACCTCCCATCGCATCTGCCAGGGTCGCCACCAGACTCGAGCTTTGCCCGTTGCGCTCTCGGTGACCACCAGGGTAGGAGTGTCTCCGTTAGGGTACGGCCGGCGCGAGTCCCCTTTTTGTTTGTTGATCCGACGCCTCCCCCTACGTCGGATCTCGAGATTCCGTCAGGAGGAGGCGGGGTCGGTATTTTGCTGCAGTACGAACCCACGCTGAGCCGCACCGGCGCATGGTCGAGCGTCCAGATCTCGCTGCAGGAGTCGACGCGCCGATGGACAAAGACTCGTCGCAGCCGCTCGTGATGAGGATCGCAGGTCGAGATGCAGGTGTCCCGATGGCAGGTGCTTGCAGGCTCCCGCTGGGCAGCACCGGCTTTTGCCAGTGCCGCAAGCTTTCTGAGTGGATGCAGAAGCGTTGAGGACGGAGATGGAAGAAGTGGACGGAGGTCGCAGCAAGCAAGCAAGAGGATCAACGGCGTCCGATGTACGGTCACTTAGCAGCAAGCAAGGAGCAGAGCGCAGCTAGGAATCGCCGTGTCCGCGTGCTCCAAGGTAGCAGCTGTACCGCAAGGTAGAAGCTGTACCGCAATCGGCTCGACCTGCCTCTATCTTTCAGGTGCAAGAGCAGGCAATGGCCGATTCGGATCGACCGAGCACCTTTCGGGATCTCCCCGAAGAGCAGAGGCAGGCAGACGTCCGATGAGGCTGGGCGACGGGGCCGCGCGAGGGCACTCGGCACGCGCCGACCAACCGGCCGACGCCCAGCCTGGCCAGCCTCCGCGATCTGGCACATCCAATGGGGAGGCAGCCGATATCTCACCGAGTACATCGGATCGGCCCGCGCGTGGCTACAGTGCGGAGAGACGGCTCCTCGACTGCAGCGGTGATGGTGGCGGGGGGTCGGCGATGATGATGGCGACGAGGGCCCTCGTTGCTGCATCCGACGGTCAGCGCCCTGCCGGAAAATTTCCGAGGCTGCTACGCCCGCCAAGGATCGCCATCGGGATGTGGTTTCGATAGCATCAAAGGCCGGGCCGAACCGATAAGTGGCGGCGCAGCACGTCCTGCTGAAGAGTAGCCTGCGTGCTTCGTTTTCTGGCCTGGCGCGAAGCACAAAAAGGATGGCGGGCAGGAGGCAGGCAGGCAGGAACGTACTGTAACGCACGGAGCGGTCCGAGGTCGAGTCGAAGGCGTGCGGTCCAGCGAGGCAGGTCCATGCGATGTGGTGGCATCATGTCAAGCTCACCTGCTTCGAAGCCTAACGGCGGCAAGGCACCTTGGCTGTCCGGCTACTTTTCCCGCCCGGGCGACCCGTTTCCTTGGAATCAGCTGCAGGCGCCGGCCTGTCTCATGCACCTCGGGTCGTTGCAGCGAAAAAAGCCAGGAAGGAGGAAGGCCCACCATCGTGCACGAGACCAGATCGACCCGGCCCGCGATCAGGCGGACAGGCCCGGGACCGGACAGGCAGAGATGGAAGCCTAGCCTTGACGTACGAGGGCGCAGGAGCCTGACTGGCCGGCTGCAACTCGATCTCGGCCGGCGACAACGACGACGACGGACAAAAGCCCAACACAACAACGATGGATGGCAAGCAAGCTACGTGATGCCAGCCATCGCTCCCCGCCCCTATGTCGGCTTAGCTGAGCGCGCAAAGGCGGTGGCAGGCGGCAGAAGCGAAGGGGCGGCCAGAGGCAGGGGCGGCGCAGGGCGAGGCAGGTGGTTGTCCCGCCGTCTGTCTGGTTGTCGGAATTGCCGCCCAGCCTACGTACAGCGCGCCACAGCGCAGATCCAGCCAAGATGATGAGACGCGATGCGGCGCGATATGTAGCTAGTTAGTCGGCGGGGGCTGATGGCGGCCGTCGAGAGCGAGATCGAAGATGCCATTTTGCTCGCCGTTTGGCAGTCGACGTCTTGGATGCTGGACAATTACAACGTGCGCTCGCGTGGCTGGTCGCCGGTGCGTACCGTACGTATGCTGCTTGGCTGCTTGTCCTAGGTTGCTGGTAGGCAGGCGGGCAAGCACGGTCGCTCCTTGCAAAGCCAGCTAGAGTAGGGAAAGGCGGGCGGTTCGGGTCGAGGCTGGGAGGGGCAGGCAGCGTGGCGGGAAGCCTGGAATGTCCGCCTGGGTGCGTTGTCGAATCAGCCGGGTGGGGCCTTGGCCTCCACTTGCCGTCCTTCTCGCTTTTGGCTTTCCGGGTGGATCGTGGCGTGCGTGCGCGCGCTTGCGTCGGTGGGTCTAGCGCGCAGCGTTTGGAGCCACAGCGAGGGAGGCGAGCATAGGCTGAAGGGCAGGGCAGGCCGAGTTTCCGGGTGACAGCCAGCAACATTATACGCAAGCTCGCTTGCCCTTCCGGGCCCACATGAAGATGTACCGCCGCTGTCGGTGCGCTGTGGCTGCCCGCCGTGCGGGCGTGCCGCTTCGGCCTTCTCTCTTCCTCGCCCGCCTGCCTCTCCCCACCGCTTCCGCCCCTCGCCCTCTCCTCCGTTTCGTCGCTCGGCCTTTTGCCCGCCTGCCACCCACCCAGTCCATGAGACGGGCGGCGCCGCCCGCTCTGGCCTGCTTTGACAGCCACCACCGACTCGACACCACCCGGTTGTCCCCTTCGCCTGCACCTCGCTGCTGCCACAGAGAACAGCCTCGCCGCTGGAGTGAGAGCCAGCCAGGCCACAGAACGGCAGGCCCGACAGCGAGACCACACCTGTGGCCCTGGTTGCCTCTACCCGCTCCGCACTTCAGAGCTTCCAGCTGCGTCCACCCTCACGACCACCACCGCCACCACCTCCCTCATCCCGACCACCTCCTCCATCCTCCTGAACATTCTCCGACGCCTGATCCTGCCGCCACCCCGCACCGCCTGCTCCATAGAGAAACGCAGCCCCTCGTCTTAACTCGACCAATCGAATTCGCCGCCTGGCAACGCCCCTTTTCCCCTCCGCCCTCCGCCACCGCTGGTCGCTTTGACCTGCCTGTCCAAGATCTTGTTCTCTGTGCATCGACAGAATCGCCGGCTACCTTATCTGACACAGCCACGCCCTTGGTTCGACCCGACCAAATCGTCTGTTCAGCAAGGCTCGACCCACTCGACGCCCAGTGTGCTGCTTGGAGCCTAACCCATTCGATCCGCACCGCTCTGCGTCGTGTCACCTCGATTCTTGCTGGCCAGCTAGCCACGGCTCCCTTCCTCCTTTCCTGATCGGTCCACCGACCGACAAAAGCTCCTCGCCTTGCGCCTTTCAGGGCCGAGCCTTGGCGTACACCCCGAACGTCGAACCTTTAATTCAGCCTTGCGCTTACCGGCGTTCTCCGATTTGCACCCACGCCACGACTCCGTCGCCCGTTCCGGTCCTCCGATCCCTTCATTTGGCACAGTCAGCTGCCTTCTGCCACGAGAAGGTCCTCTATCTCTCGTGCGGCCGGCGTTCGTCGGCAATCTCCGACAGTCGAGGCGCAGCTAGAGATCTCGCATCGCAGTGCGATCGTCCGACCGGCGACGGACCTGTGCTTAATCTCGCCTTCGACAATCAAACGAAGCACCCAGACCCACCCACCCTCTCAGGGACCGGCGCGACGCTTTCGAGGACGCCGGCGCCCGTCATCATCCGCCGGACACAAGGACTTCTCGGACGACACTGATTACAACGCCGACGTTCAAGGACCGGCATCACCGGCATCCGTTCGCTCGTCTTTGGGATTCGCGCCTCCTCTTTCGCCGTGCGGGCCCGTCTGAGGAGACTCTAGAACTGGCAAACGTGTCTGGCACCGGACAACCGAGCATCCTCAGCTTTGAACACATCTCTCGGTCGCCTCTCAATCCTCCTTCGACCACATTGTCTCCGCGCCACTCCCTATTCCAGCCCGACTCGTCGCAAGGCTGAAACGGTTGCCATCGCCCACGACAAGTTCAGGAGACCTCATCGCATCTCGCGGCCGATTGCTTCCTCGACGTCGCCCCGCCGTCGCCGCCTGGGTACGTCGTACAGCTCAGCAGCCCCAAATAGTCTACTGATCGACCCGACGCAGCCACCAGACCGCATCATAGGGTTTTCCCATCCGTCAACCGGCGCTATCTTTTGCTCCGAACGTAGTGATGCGGCAGCACGAGCGATCTGCGCCCGGTCCCGGCTCTCCCGGGCTTGGGCGGCCGGGACAGGCGCACCCGAGACAAGCCGGGCACGCCGTGGACGAGGATCCGAGGCGCTACGACCTCTCGGCGGAGGAGGACGAACTCTCGGACGATGAAAGCTCTTCCATCCCCCAGCCAAAACGGCGAGGAGAGGGATCCGCCCGCAAGGCGTCTGCCGCAACGCCAAAGGAGCGGGCTGGGCCGTCGGCCACCGGCAAGGGAAAGGCGATCAGCGCCGAACAGTCGCCCCATCTTTCACCCCAAGAGGGCGGAACGCCGTCGTTCAGGTTCCACCCCAGCTCATCGCCGGTCCGAGGGCTTTCGGCGGCTCGCGCCGACAGGCTCAGTGGCCCATCGAGGGGCTCGATGCAGATCCATATTTCGGATGATCGCTCGCAAAGCACCGCGCCACTCGACACGGACCGTCACTCGCCGCTTGCTCCTTCTTCCAGCCACGCGCAGGCATCGCCGACCTCTGCACCCGTCTCGGCAAGACCGGGATTCAATCGAGAGAGCCCTCGCGGCCCCCCCTCGGGCACGAGGGGTACGATGGCCTCCGAGGAAGCACAGAGGCCCAGCGCAGCCCACGAGCCTGGTGCAGCCCACGAGCGTGGTGCACGCGCGGCCGACATGCCCAGTCCTCCGCCGTCATGCGCCCCTCACCACCAGATGGGGCCGCCGTTGCCTCGTCACTCAGAGATGGCGTCGCGCGATCGAGCCGACAACGGCCTACCAAATCGTCCTACCTGCGCAGGCGACAGGCTCGCGCCTCTCCAGGCTCGCGATGATCTTACCCCGGAAGAAGGTGCGTGACACCGCCGTCCAGCGCCTTGCCGAGCCCAGCCATTGTTGACAACGCTGACCCGGCCGACGCCGTCTTTCTTGAGAAAACCGCCAAAACAGTCGACATCTTCTTGGACCTCATCATCAAGCATCAGCCGGCGACGCTGTCGCCCGAGAACATGACCAGAAGCGTCAATGCTCTCTACGATGACTGGCTGGCCATGTGTGCGACTAACAGCATCGTGGCCAAGCCGAAAAAGGCGCTGATGGATGAGTACGACAAGGTGAGTGAGCGCCCGATCGGCAGTTGTTGACGAGCGAAGTGGGTCTACGCGTTTCGCTCGCGGCCATCTTGAGCTGACCACCCGGGTTGATTCCTGTCGTCGAGCAGATCTACAAGGGCCGCTACGGTCCTGCTGCCGCCTCGCGCGCACGATGGATCGCAGAAGAGAGCGCCCGCACGTCGACGCGTCCTTCGCGCCCATCGGTCGACTCTGTCGAAGGACGGCAGCGCTCAGAGAGCCCTGCCACCGCCAGCAACATGGTCGATCGCGGTTCGCGACAGCCCCGCTCACCGCAGCGGTCCGATGCAGGGTCAAACATCGGTCAACCTTCATCGTCGGCGGATGCGGTGGCGGGCAGCGGGTCGCGCGAAAGCGATACCGAGGCGCGAAAGCGTAAAAACGGCGAGGATGGCCCGCAGGAGGGTCCGGACCGCTCGCAGCGTCGGAAACTCAACGGTCAAGCAGGAGGTCCCGGCGAAACCTCCAGCAGCGCGACGAGCGGGATTGCCAAGGTTGGGCGGAACGGTCTGGCGGTCCTGCCACCGGGCTTGTTCGATATCCTTCGCAATACGCTCAAGGACGACATCCTTGGCAACATTGTGCCGGTCATCCGCTCCGACCTGGCAGAGCAGTCGAGGGACATTGTCATGCAGAACCAGGAGATCATGACGCGGCTGCGCGGCCTCGAGGAGCTGACGAGGGCCCAGGACGTCTGCATCCGACGGTTGCTGGCGCGCGATCAGGCGGAGTGGGCGGTGCAGGCCGAGGCGCCGTCGCCGTGGCAGGCCAAGAAGGGTCTGCGCGGCATGGATGGTGAGATGGTCGCCGACGGTGGCTACCGATCCTACGAGCCGGGCCCTCCGGGTCCGTCTCCGTCGCAGCGGATCCCCTCGGGAAGCACCGTGTGGCCGTCGAGCGGCTCGCCGACGCTGGCGTCCAGGAGGCGCAGCGACTACCACATGGACGACCCGCGTCTTGCTGGCGGCATGCCTCCCCACTACCGCCCGCATGGCAGCTACGACTCGAGGCCTGGTCGGCTGGATGACCCGATCGCGGCCAACGGACGAATCAGCCCGTCCTCGCGCAGCGCCGTGCATCCCTTTGCCGGCGATCGGATCGAGGGCGAGGACCGCGACTCGATGCGCGCGGTTCCCGGCCCGGGCTCCTACCGCGACTATCCGCCGCCTCCGCACGCGCACGCGCACCGTGAGCGGCACCGGCATTCGCTGTCGGTCGACGACTGGAGGTCGCCTGCTGGCCTCGCCATTGTCGGTGCAGAGCAGGCGGGCCACCCTGGCGCGCAAAAGTATTCCTACGGCTCGCCGCACGCAGTCGAAGGCCCGGCCGGTGCCCCGCCGTACCGCAACGGCCCCGCCTCGAGCTTCCCGCGCGGTCAGCGGGGCATGCGCCCGTCTCCTCCGCCTCTCTCTGCACCGCCGCCGCCTCAGCCTGCATCCTCGACAGCCGCCGCGATGGCCGGCGGAGGCGCAGTCTACGATGGTCGAGCGACGCGACCTCTGGAGCACCACCCATTCGGCCGCAACGAGCTGCACCGAGAGGCTGCCTCGTTCGGCATCGACTCGCGACCGATGGCGGCTAGGCCGCCGTCTGGATTTGGCGCTGGTTCGCCCCGTCACCGCTAATACGACCACGACCCCATCGACATCGACAGTGAGAGCAACTCGGCCTGACACTGCCCGACCCCTTTCTCGCCATGGCCGGACCGCCGTGGCGCTGGCCACAAATGGCAGCTCCTCTCCTCCATGTATTTCTACTTGACTGCCGCCATGTTCCGTGCGCTCGTCTCGTCGCTTCTACTCGGCCGTCTTCTCCTGCAGGCAGGCGAGATGAGCAGCAAGCCGCCTCTTCCGCCCTTTCGCTCACTCGTCGTCCGGCCCCCTGTCTCCTCTCATCCGCCCTTCCCTCTAATTTCCCGCTCTCTCTCTCTTCCCTCTTCCCCATTACATCGTCTTGCGGCCGTCAGTCTGACGTAGTCATAGTCGTCTGTACCCTTGCCCATCCTCCGCCACCCTTTCCCCGCCCTTCCTACCCGGCGTCTCCTGCGCAGCGAGGACTTTGCCCTCTTACCTCTACCGTACCCCGGATCTTGCTAATTCCAATCAACCCGCCCATCCCTGCCCTTGATTAGTGAAGCGAGGCGAGCAGGTTCCAGTCGGGGCGCCAAAAATGACTTGGGGAAGCGCGGGATCGATGGCGGCTAGACGGCCGACTCGTCGATGCAGACGTATTCGCGGGTGCTGGCGCCGAACTGGATCGAGTCCCCGTTCTTGATTTCGTAGTAGCGCGAGGGGGGTACCTCTGCCTTGTTGACGAGGCATCCATTTGCGGATTCCAGGTCGATGAGGTACGGCCTGTCGTGCGTCGGCCGGTCGCAAAGGAGGCGAGGAAGTCGGGTCTTCCGAGTCAGTGCCTGAGTGCCGACAGAGGAAAGCGCCAAGGATGGATGGAAGCGACGAGGGCCTCACCTGACTTTGCGTTTTTCGTCTCCGAACTCGTTCCGTTCAACCGTGCGGCGGAACTGGATGACGGCGTGCTGCTTTGAGCACGAGGGGTGGTCGAGCGGGATATCGACGACGAGTCGATCGCGCCCGAGGAGGTAGGCCGACTGGCTTCCAATCGGGATCATGTCTAACGATATCCGGCCCGCAAGAGATGGAGGCAAGAATACGCAGATCGTGTCAGCGAAGGCGTGGCGCAGTGGAAAGCGGACGGTACAGACAGGGCAGCTTGGTACTGACCGACTTCCTTTCCGTCCTTGTAGACGTAGATGCGCCACGGCTTGGACGGTTTGCGCGCCTCGGGCGGTTCGTGGTACTTGAGCGCCACTCCGTCCTTGTTGTTGGACTCGGCGGCCAAGAGCCCCGAAGGCTCAAAGTTGGGCGCGTCGTCGCCGCCGTCGCCATCCTGTGCAGCTTCGACGCCTTCGGCTGCCGGTACCGGTGCCGGTGCCGGTGGTGGTGGTGGTGGCCGGGATGGTGTCGGTGCCGAGGAGGGACCGGGGGGAGAGCGCGAACGGGATCGACGTCGCGAGCCGTATCGATCTCTTTCGCGGTCTCGGTCTCGGTCTCGATCTCGGTCTCGGTGCGATGTCGTTCCGTTGCGATCCGAGTCTCTGCGGTAGTGCGAGGGAGAATCGCGGTGGGACGACGAGCGGTGCCTCTCGTCTTGCCTTCTGCTTGAGCTGGATGGGTGCCGCGAGGAGCAGTGGTCTCTGTCGCCGTCGTGGTGCGACCTCCGCCGTCGATCGTCGTGCTCGTCACCGCGACGATCCCTGTATCTGTCCTCATGCCTCCTGCTACGTTCACGTTCGCGATCCCTGTCTTTGTTGTCGCCATCGTCGTGATTGTGTCGCCGATGAGACGAGGTGCGGTATCGGTCGTCGTCGTCGTCATCGCGGCGTCGCGATGAAGCGTGGCGGGAGCTCGACGAGGGGCGATCGTCGTATCGACGTGCGGTGGGCGATGGCGAGCGCGGTCTTGGCGCTGCGGACGACATTGTGGCCGGCTTGGAAGTGGCGATGGGGTGGCGTGTAGGTTGGGACGGGTGACGGAGGGAGGTGAGCCAGGTCGAGGGAGTGGGCAAAGGTCGTCGTTTGGCGTTGGATCGGAAGTCGGAAGAGAGCGAGGAACCTCCACTCGTGTGCCTGCGGGGCGAAGGCCGTCGTTTTTCAGGAAAAGCGTTTGAGGCCAGGTTGCCTTCGCTTTCGCTCCTCTTTCGCTCTTCTCGCAACCGTCTTCTCTCCCTTCCGTCCTGCTCGCTCGCAGTCTCGGCCACTGCGCGGCAGACGCACAATGTCTCGCAATCAGGCAAACACAAGGCCATCGCAGCCCCCACATGGCTCCTCGAGTCGATTCAGCGGCAGCCGCCTTCCCTCTTCCAATCCCACCTCGGCCGGCTCGTCTAGCCGGTTCAACGATCGCCCGCGCAGCGCACGCGCAAACGGCAGCGAACCCCGCGATGTCGAAGGGGGCGCTGCATCCTCAAGCTCCCGCCCTCGAGCCCGGCCTGCTCAGGGCGGACGCGGCGGGGTCGCGGTCAATGCAGACGCCATGAGCTACACGTCGTTCGACGACGCCATCGACGACGGCGTCGAGAGCGAGGAAAAGGGCGAGCGCCACCAGTTTGGCCCAAAGGCGCACCGCTTCTTCCAGCAGGCCTACCGCCTCTACTCGCGCGCCGCTCAGCTGCGTCCGAGCTCGCCAGACGCCCTCTACAATGCCGCGCGCGTGCAGTACCTCCTCGCAACCCAGTTCTGCCTCCCGCCCGAATCCATCGCCTGCCTCGCCGACTCGGTGTTTCTCTTCAAAGCCGCCCTCAACCTCGCACCTTTGCCCGCACAGCAGGGAGACGAGCACCAACAGGCCTCGCTGCCGTCGCCCTTTTCCCTCGACGTCGTCAGCAACCTGGCCACGTCGCTGCAGAGCCTGGGCGAGCTGGTCGACGAGGTCGGCTGGCTGGACCAGATCAAGTCGGCAGAGAGGCTCGCATCCATCGCCGACTACTCCGCCTTCGACGCCGCCCCCAGCGATACCGTCGACCCGCGCTTCCCCACATCCGGCAAGCTGCTGCAGGAGGCCATCGGCTTCTTCCGCCAGGCGTCGCTTGGGCAGGAGCAGGTGCTGCTCGACCAGGCAAGCGAACCGCAGCACGACGGCCAAAGTCAAGCAGTGGAACCGTCGGAACTCGCCATTGCGACGCCAGACGACGATTCGGACATGGCCGACGACGATGCGTCGGCCCCAGCATCGACGCTCGACGAGGTCGGATACACGTCTTCGCTCGTCACCGTCGACACGTACGTCGACACGCTCATCTCGCTGCACGCCTGCCTGGTGACGCTGCTCGCATCGTGCGAGACGGTCGCGCACGCCCAGATCTGCACCGCCAACGCCATGGAAGCCCTCGACCGCGCGGCTGCCGCCCTGGACCCGAGCGCAAACTCTCGACTGCCGCCGCTCGACGAGACGGAGAGGGAGACCAAGGCGTTGGAGCTGCAACGCGCCCGGCTCAGCCTGCGCATCGCACACGTCACGCGCATTGCGGATCTGACGCCGGCGACGTTCCCGAGCACCTCCGAGGAAGCCGACGAGGTCGAGCAGCTGGAGCAGACGCTGCTCGAATGGTCCGGCAACGTCCTCGCCCCTCCGTCGTCGTCGTCGTCGGCGGGAGCGACGGGAGCGACAGCAGCGGATACAGCGACGCTGTGCGAGCTGGGCGACGGCGCCCTCTCGCTGACCCGGCTCCGTCTCCGTGTCCTTCGTCGCGCCTCAGCTTCAGCCTCGGGCGTCGGCGTCGAGGACGGAAAGGCGGGCATCGCATCGATCGAGTGCGCCTGGACGCTGGGCACGACGACGTCGCGGCTCTTCAACGCGGCGCTCTCGACGCTCTCGCCCACGTCTGCCGGCGGTGGCGGTGGCGGGGCGACGCAGGGTGTGGCGGTGCTGGGGGCGCAGAACACGTCGACGCCCACGACGCGCCTGCGCTCCTCGATCCTGTGCGCCCTCGCGTCGACTTCTCTCGTGCGATCCGACGTCGTCTTCGAGTCGAGCAACCTGCCGAATGCCGTGGGTAGCCGGGCCAAGCTGATCGAAAACGCACGCGCCTACGCCCGTAAAGGGTGCCTTGAAATCGGCCTGGGCTGGATCTTCACTGCTTCCCCCACCAGCGATGCTGCTCGCAGTGGCGGTGGAGGGACGAGGATGCCGGTGCACCCACACAACCACGGGGGGTGGGAGACGCTGAGTCGCGAATCCGAACTCGTCTATACCCTCCTCCGCTCCCTCTTCTTCCGAGCGGGCATGAGCGGGAAGGAGGAAGAGAGTCGGACCGAGATCCGAACCCTCGCATCGCGCCTCTCGACGCTGGCGAGTACGACCAAGGGCGATGTCGCCTTCCAACTCGCTTTTGCCGTCCCCCATCCGCTGCACCCACCACCCCATACGACGACGATGGGCATCGATAGGTTCCTGAGTGACCTCTGCGACGAGGAAGGTCAGTCCGCCCTTGGACCCGACGAGATCGAGTTTTGGTCGGCTGTCAAGCAGGAGTTTTTCGGCGTCGAGCACGTCGCTTAGACTCAATCTTGCGGACCCGACCCGATCGATGCCCTGGCTGAGTTGTAGGGGACAAAAAGAGGACCGCACAGGCGTGCTTGCTGCTGCTGGGATGAACAAGACACTCGCGATTGCCTCGCCGCTGCATGGCACTAGATGAACGGACACCGCCCGACGACGACAGGGCGACTAGGGCAGATACACGAGCTGAAGCCGACCTGCCGACCTGCCAGGCCTAGGTAAAGAGCTTGTTGACCGACGTCTCTGCCGAGTTCTGGGCGCGCAGCACCTTGGCGACGGCCAGCTCAAAGTCCTCGTGCGACACGTGCTGCCTCCGCTCGCGCAGCGCGTACATGCCCGCCTCGGTGCAGATGCCGCGCACCTCGGCGCCGCTGCACTGGCCCATCTTTTCCGCCAGGGCGCGCAGGTTGATGCCACGCTGCAGCGACATCTTGCGTGAGTGGATGCGCAGGATCGAGACGCGCGCCTCGGGACCCGGCGGCGGGAACTCGATCTTGCGGTCGATGCGGCCCGGTCGCAGCAGCGCCGAGTCGAGGATATCGATTCGGTTCGTCGCCATAATGACCTGCGAAGGCGAGACGCGCGAGAGGTAGGGAGGTCATACAGGGGAGTGGGACGCATAAAAGTCAGCCCTGGCATGGTCCTGCGTGACGAGCTGGTCGAAGTCGGGGGGGCACTGTCGCCGCCGCCATCACCCGCGGCACTCACCTTGATGTTCTTGGTGCCCTCGAAGCCGTCGAGCTGGTTGAGGAGCTCGAGCATGGTGCGCTGCACCTCGGAGTCGCCGCCGCCGGAGCCCTTGTCGCCTCTGCTCGATCCGATGCTGTCGATCTCGTCCATAAAGATGATCGAGGGCGCGTGCTCGCGCGCCATGACGAAGAGCTCGCGCACCATCCGGCTGCCTTCGCCGATGTACTTCTGCACCAGCTCGCTTCCGCTGACTCTGATAAAGCGGCAGTCGGTGTGGTGCGCCACCGCCCTCGCCAGCAGCGTCTTTCCGGTTCCCGGGGGCCCGTAGAGGAGCACGCCCTTGGGCTGCGCGATGCCCAGCGCCTCGAAGAGCTCTGGGTGTTTTACGGGCAGTTCAATGACCTCCTTGATCTCCTTGATCTGGCGGTCGAGGCCACCGACCATTTCGTAGGTCGAGTCGGGCACCTTTTCGACCATCATGAGCGAGACGAGTGGGTCGATCTTGTTGGGGAGGACCTTGTGGAGGGTGTACGAGTCGGAGCGGAGTGCGACGCGGAGCGAGGGGGTGAGGGTCGAGATGTTGATGTCCGGTGCGACGTCGACGACGTACTTGCCCTCGGGCTGCACCTTTACGAGGACCTTTTTCTTTCCCATGACCTTGACGACCTCTCCGACGTAGCTGCCCGGCTCCTGGAGCAGCTGGAGCTCCTCTCTGAGCAGGCGGACGCGGGCATTGAGGGTATTCCTCTGGGCCTCGAGGCGGCGGAGGTTCTGTGTCTTTTCGTTGATCAGGAGTTCGTAGGACTGGATCTTGGACTGGTAGAAGGACTGGATGCCGAGCGCGGGTGAGGATACGCCGGCGGCCGCGCTGGGCGGCTGGATGAGCGAGCCAGAGGTGCTGGTTGCCACTGCGGTCGACATGGCGGGCGCAGGTACGTGGGTGCAGTGAAAGGGGGCGCGGTGGACGAGGGGCGAGCTCCAGACCGAGACCGGTGGTGGTGCGTGGCGGGAGTGGCGGACGTGCGTGCGCGAAGCGCGATCGAGTCAGGAGACGGCGACGGCGGCGGCGGCGGCGGCGGCAGACGGGGTCAAGGAGCGGTCGCTGCGCGTGAAGAGCCGAGCAATGGAGCGAAAGAGGTGCGCAAAAGGATGCTGTGCTGTGGTGGTGGAGCGCGCTGGGCTCTTGGAGATGTGTGGCAGCGAGCAACAACGACGGCGGCAGCGATGGAGGTTGTGGAAAGGTGCAGAGGCTCAGAGGTCAGCTCGAGTCGAGCAGCCAGCTGCGCATGTGGAGTTGGGGGCAAAGGGCGACTTCTGGGCCGCGCCAGCCAGCCAGCCAGCCAGCCAGCGCCCAGCCAGCCTCGAGTCGATCACGCAAGGCCGTCTCTCGGCCGACAGGACCACCTCGAAAACGCCCAAGACTCGGGCCCGGACGTCGACCGCTTGCTTTGGCCACCGCTGCCTGAGCATGGCTCCGAGTCTCGACGGAACGCTTCCGACGTGGTTGCGCCCTGGTTCAGGCCCGTTTGATGGCCCCCTTCCGCATGCCTCCGATGATGTCGAGCGGGGACGAGCGCGGAGCCAATGAGAACGGTGCCATCTCCAACAGAGGGTCCTAGCAGGCCTGCCCTGCCCACGCCACGCCACGCCACACCACCCACGCCTGCCGTCAGGCCACAACTTTTCTCCACTTGGGCCTCGGCTCGGTCCGGCAGTGTGTGACAAACGTTGGCAGGTTGGGGCCTGTCTGCCAGGCCAGGCCCCTGGGCTCCGGATTTACCGCGGCGGCTGAAAGGCAGTCACCCGGTTACCCCGTCGAGCCCCGTCTTTGCCTCTGCCTCTGACCACCATCATCCATCCCCCACACCCGCAGCTGCACACGACCGCTTTCCGCCATCAGCAGCGCCGCCACCGCAATCCTTCGCCGCGCACCACAACAGGCGCCAGCACGCAATCTTCTCCCTCGCATCTCGACCTCGTAAAGAGCAGCAGCAGTGCACCCGCCAGGCGTGGCAAACATCGACCATGCTGCCATTCCTCTACCCACGAGCCTCGGGCTCCTCGTTGCGCCAGGCTGCCGCCATGATCGGCAGCGTATCCTCGAGCTGCGGCAGATCTGCTACCGTCGTCGCGAGGCGCCGCGCCACCAACGCACCGCACCAGCCCGCCACATCGCCGGCCAACGCGCTCCTCTTCAGCACCTCGTCCCGCGCACAAGTACCCTCGTCGACCTCAAAGGCCGACAGCGGCGCCCAGACGACCGGCTACGCATCTTCCTCGTCCTCCAGCTCCTCGCCTCCGCCGTTCCTACCGCATCGTCAGCCGAAGCAAACACGGCAAGGGCAACACGAGCAGGCCTCGACTCCAAGATCCTCAGACGCCTCTGATTCTTCAGCAGAACTGGCAGCTTCCACTTCGACGTCGACCGTAGACTCGGGCGCATGCGCTACTCTTTCCCCCTCGTCGCCCTCTGCGCCACGCTCTCAAAAGGTTGCAGCCACCACGCCGCCGGCCTCGGTCGCCGACAGCGCCGAATCGTCCAAGCTGACACCCTCGGAAGCCGCCGACCTGGCCAAGAAGCCCGACGTCGCCGCATCGATGCCCAACGCCACGCAGCTGCAGCAGGACAAGGCGCAGCCCCAGCCTGCCGCGCCCAAGAAGGCCCCGTCCGACCGAGGCACGAGATTCCGGGCCCAGAAGGCCGCTCTCAACCTGGTGGGTAGCGCACCTTCCCCCCCCCCCCCCTCCTTTCGCCACACGATGGCCTGGCCCCACGCACAACTCAGCGGACTCGGCGCGCCTCGACCCGCAGTAACGCTGACCTCTTATCCGCTGCACCCCTACCTCTTCCAACCCCAACAGACACCCGCGGCAGTGCTGCGCCTGCGCTCGCTGCTCGAGTCCGACAGCGGGCCCAAGCTGATCCGTGTCGGGGTCAAGAACAAGGGGTGCGCCGGCATGTCGTACCACCTCGAGTACATCGACCCGAGCCAGGCGGGCAAGTTTGACGAGCGCGTCAAGCAGGACGGCGTCGAGGTCCTCATCGACAGCAAGGCCCTCTTCAGCATCATTGGCTCCGAAATGGACTGGCAGGAGGACCGCCTGTCGGCCAAGTTTGTCTTCAACAACCCGAACGTCAAGGAGGCGTGCGGGTGCGGCGAGTCGTTCCTCACCTAGCCGGCGTTCGGCAGCTCGGCCGGCCAGCCAGCCGGGTGGCCCACGAGCGACGCAGCACCGTCGCCGCTCGCCATAGATCGGGCTCCTTCTCGTACTATCCACACACACTCTCTCCCTCTCCTTTTAACCCGGACGATCGATCCGGCAACTCCATCACTCTGCATGTCGAGCACCAATCGATGCGTCTATGCTGCAACGTCCATTGCCTTGGCTCTCGCTGAGACGAGTTGGACCCGCGAACGGGCTGCGAAACAAAGGGTGTTGGCCGGTAGAGTCAAGTGGTAACGCTACAGGATGGGCCGATGCGGGAAACAAGAGTGAGGAGAATGACGTGGAGTCTAGGAGATGCGGGGTGCAGGATCAGAATGAGGCTAGCTCTACCTCAGGTCGACGAAGCCGACTTGCCGCCGTCGTCGAGGACGTCGTTGCCGTCGCCGTCGCTGTTGCTGTTGCTGTCCGCCTCTCCCTTGTTCTCCGCCTCTTCCTCGACCGGGTGTGGCTGCTCGGCCTCGACCTCGACCTCGACCTGCTCCTCCCGCTTCGCCTCTATCCCCTCGTCGTCGACGGTTTCGACGCCCTGTCGTACCGCCTCAACTGCCTCCTCCTGCCCCGCCACCTCGACCGCCTCATCCGCATCGACAACCACCTCGTCCTCGTCCTCCTCCCCCTTCTGCACACTCGCCTCCCGCTCCTCCTCCTCCGCCTCCGCCATATCGGCCTGGATCGCGGCCGGGGCATCCTGGTCCAAGACGACCTTCCTCTTCTCGCCATCCAACAGCGTCAGGTCCAGCTTGCGCGGAACGACGCCGAGACGTCGGAAGACGGCGCCCATTTTCTGCTCCCAGATTGAAATCCACCTCTCTTCCCTCTTCTTCGTCCTCCCTCCTTGCGCCGCTTCGAGATCCGACACACCCTTGCCTTCCGCCTTCCGCGAGCGCGAGGAGCGGGGGGTGGGCGCGATCAGGGATGGATCCTCGACGTAGTCGTGCGGGATGCCCCGGAGGAGCGTGACGACTTTACCGCGCTGTCGCTGCGCGTCCATGCTGCCATCGTCTTGACCCGCCGACGAGGAAGGGGAGGAAGGGGGGTGGATGGCGCCGATGCGAGCCACCCTGCCCGCCATGTGGGTGTACTGCACCGCATCAATGACGGCGTGGTACCCGAGCAGGAAGACGTGCGACAGCCCCGGTAGATCCAGTCCGCGCGCGCTCGTACTCTGCAGCAGGTAGAGGTGCGGCTCCTCTTCCTCGCCTCCTGCTGCTTCCCGCCCCGTCGCCTCGGCGGCGTGCTGCTGGCCATCTTGGCCCGCCGAGGCCAGCCTGACCGACAGGCCGAGCGACTCGAGCGCGGCGCGCGTCTTGAACAGGCTCCACCGCGGGGGGATGAGCGCCAGCCCGCGCGACACGCCCTCGCTGGCAAAGCAAAACGCCAGCGCCTCGACGAGCTTCTCGTCGACCTCGTGCTCGGCCGGATCCGAGGGCGGCTTGACCACCTTGAGCTCCTCGCCGTCGGCGGCGTTCCATCCGAACCGGTCCTCGTCCATCTCGGGCTCAATCTCCGCAGCGGCGGGGGAAGCGGGGCCGTCACGGCCGTCGTCGAGGAAATCCTTGTCCGGACGCCGTTTGGCCAGCTTGGGCTCGAGGTTGCGCAGCGGGAAGCGAGAGAGGCGGCGCGAGAGCGGCGCCTCGTCGACGACGACGCACGTGTGCTCGATGCCGGCGGGCAGCGAGGCGGGACGGGCGTCGATCAGGGACTCAAAGTCGGCAGAGGTGGCCGAAGTGTCGCGCAGCAGGCTCCGGATGCCCTCGTCGGCCATGCTCGAGCCAGACAGGCCCGTCAGGTCAATCCACCGCCCGCTCGTCGCCGTGCTCCGCGCGCTGCCTCCGCCGATCCGCGTCTCGGACTCCTTGGCACCCGTGCGCAGCCAGCCGGTGCGCGCGCCGAAAAAGTGGCGCATCACCGAGTTGGCCGTGGCGCTGGCGCAGACGAGCTGCAACGGCTGCGCGCCCGCCGGCCGCGGCCGCGGCAGCGCCAGGCCGGTATCCGGGTTCTCGGCGGCCTTGTAGACCTGCCTGCGGATGTGCTCCGGTGGGCGTCGTTCGTCCTTGCGCTTGCCCGGCCGGTTCTCGAGGCCGGCGGTGAGGTGGCGCTCGCCGCCCGAGTACGTGGGCCGCCGCTTCATGATGGTGTTGAGCAGCTCGAGGCCGGGCGCCTTGTGCACCTGGTGCTTCCAGCGCTGCTTCTGGCCGGGGAAGCGTCCGGGCAGCTGGAGGATGGCGTCGGCCTCGTCGAGGACGAGGGTGCGCAGCGTGTCGATGCCGAGCAGCGAGAGGCCGGCGGGCGTGTCGAGGATGTCCTTGATGCGGCCCGGCGTGCCGATGAGGATGTGGGGCGGCGTGCGGCGCAGCTTGGCCTGCTCCTCCTCGGGCGTCAGGCCGTTGTCACCTCCGCGGACAAGGCACTGGATGACGGGGTCGAGCGAGGGCAGCACCGACTTTGGAAACAGGCGCCGGGCCCATGCCATGTACTGTGCGGCGAGCTCGTTGCTGGGCACGACAATGATGCTGGCGATGCCCGTCTCGGCGCGCCGCTTTGGCTCGGGTTCCTTGGCCTTTCCCTTGCTCTTCTCCAGCCTGCCGCCCGAGGTGCCGTCGAGGTCTCGGAAGACGATGCGGGGTTTTGCGAGCAGGGCGAGGAGGATGCCGAATGACTTGCCGGTGCCCGTGTGGGCTCGGAAGATGAGGTCGGCGTGGGAGAGGATGGCGGGGATCAGGGCCGACTGGGCGACGGTGGGGGCGCGGATGTGCGGGTGGGTGGCGACAATCTGCTTGCAGATGCGCTCATTGATGCCGAGTCGGTGGAAGCGCTCCGCCACGCCCTCGTGACTGACGAGAGGAGGTGTTGAAGGAGCCCGGTCGGGCGACTGCGTCGAGGTGGAAGCATATCGGACCGCCCCGCACGACGAGGACGCCGTCGGTGAGGCCGAAGAGAGTCGCTGCTGTGCTGGCCGGGTGAGTGGTGTTCGTGGCTGCAAAAGGCGCACGCTTGCGGAGCGGGAGCCGTGTCCCTTGCTGCTGTCTCTGCTGCTTGTTTCGGAGGTGGCGCCGTTGTCGGCGGACGTGGCCTCGGAGCAGCCGACGAGGTGTGACCTGCTATCGGCCATGGTCCGAGCCCATGCTGGAGGTGGCCGCGAGAAACCCCTGAGCAGCGATGCGGCGGCTGCCTTTGAGCCTCTTGACCTCAGCATGGCTCTGGGCGATGCGATACAGGGGCTGCGGGTGTCGACGTGCGTGGCGGTGGCAGGTGAAGCCTTCGGCGGTGCTGATGGTGGTGGCGGAATCCGCTTTCTTCCAGGCTCAGCTCCAAGCAACCAGCCTGGGTGAGCCACCAGCCGCCGAGCGAAAGAAAATTCCAAAAAATCCAACAGCGGCCAAAAGTGGAGAAGCAGCCTCGCAGGCCCTGGCCCTGGCTGTGCCCTTCGCGGATCCGGCCCAGAGAGTGGCGCGCCATCGTTCGTTCCAGACTCGCTCCCTCATATCAGACCCACTCGCGCCATCGTCATCGCCCGACTCGATGTCAGCGACCCACGGTTCAGAGAGCAGGCTCGCACGTCTCGCCAGCTATGAGGATTTTTGTAGATATTGCATCCACACAAAAAGACAATGCCGGGAATACGGAAACGCGAATGAAGGGAAGGGATACAGAGGTGGCTGCTGGCAGTACGGCTACCAGGAGAGTGGGACGTCATCGAGACCCTAGAGGTCACGCAAGGACGGGTGCCGGCCTCTACTGGGCGGGCATGATGGGTCGGTCGGTGGCCTTGGCGGGCGCGCCAGTCGACATCTCCTTCTTGATTGTGGCGATGGCCTTGGCCGGGTTGAGCGACTTGGGGCACGTCCTCGTGCAGTTCATAATGGTGCGGCACGCGTACAGCGAGAACGTGTTCTCGAGCTTCGTCTTGCGCTCCTCGGTAAAGTCGTCACGGCTGTCGGCCATCCAGCGGTAGGCCTGCATCAGCACCGCCGGCCCCAGGTACTCGTCCTGGTTCCACCAGTACGACGGGCACGAAGTCGAGCAGCACGCGCACAGGATGCACTCGTACAGGCCATCGAGGCGGCGACGCTCCTCGGGCGACTGCAGGTGCTCGCCCTGCGCCGGCGGGTTCTTGGACTTGAGGAAAGGCTCAATCGATCGGTACTGCTTGTAGAACTGCGTCAGGTCAGGGACAAGGTCCTTGACGACGTACACTGTGGGCGCGGAGAGAGGTGTATGGCGAGACAGAATAGAGGGCATAAACGGTCGTCAGTAAAAGGTTGGGAGCAAGAGAACGTCGGCACTGAGGCCCGACGATGTCATCGCGGGAAGAACCGCATGCAATCGCGAACAAATGTTGCGGCGCAGCGACATGGTCGCGAGTGGGCGACACTCACTGTGAGGGAGCGGGTAGATCTTGGACTCCTTCTCGCGGTCGATCCTGCACAGGCAGGCGAGTGTGTTGACGCCGTCGATGTTCATGGCGCACGAGCCGCAGATGCCCTCGCGGCAGGATCGTCGGAAGGTGAGCGAGGGGTCGACCTCATTCTTGATCTTGATGAGCGCATCAAGGACCATGGGTCCGGTCTGGTTGAGGTCGAGGGTGTAGGACTGCAGGCGGGGCTTCTCGGCAGGCTTGTCCGGGTTCCACCTGTAGATCTTGAACGTCTTGAGCTTCTGGGCCTTGCCCGAAGCACCGACGTCGTCGCTGGTGGGGGTGGCGAGCCTGGCAGTCGCCGTCGTCGAGAAGGCGGCGGCGCGGGCGAGGCTGGTGGTGCTGCCGCTGGCGACGGGTCGCACGGCGGCGCGAAGAGCATTACCTGCAAAGAGCGACATGGCGTATGCGGTTGTTGGTGCGGCGTAGAGTCGTGATGCAAAGGTTCGTGGTGGTCGAGATGGACGGAGTGCTGGTAGAAGCTCGGTGACGGAGGTCAAGTGTATATATCCAGCTCGTCGGGTGTGGAGAGCGGGAAGAGGATGGCGATTTGTGGCAAGCCAAGCAAGACTGGGGGCGGGTTAGGGTGGGGTCGGAAGGGGCGGAGCGAGGCGCTGCTTGATGCTGAACTAAGGCGACGACGAGGCGAGCAGGCGGGCGGGCAGCCAGCGCCGCCTGCCAGCCAGCGAGCGAGCGAGCCAGACCAGGCCAGGCGGGGCCCGGATTGACCATCATCCCCCCCGGCCCCGCCTGGTTGGCCTGGCCAGGCCTGGCCTGTGAATTGGCGCTTGCCTCTGGTAATCACGGCCGGCCGCCACCGCTGGCCAGCGGAATACAACCCTTGGGGCCGGCTGGCGACTGGATTACAAATTTCGACGAGCCAGGCGCGAGCTGGCCTGCAATTCCGGTCCAGGCCGACCGGGCGGCCTTTCTGGCTGCCTGCCCGCCTGTTCTGGCCGACGCCGTTTTGCAAAACGGCACGCTGCTGATTGGCTCCGAGCCGAGCCGGCGTGCGCGCGCGTCACCCCCAGCCTCGCTTGGGCCGGCGAGGCTGCCGGCTGCCCGACTTGCTCACGTAACCAGGCATGACGGCCGTGACCGTTCCCCGATGCCTGGAAATTTCAACTCTGGACCCCGATCCGGGCTTTGATCGGAGCCGAAGACAGCGGGGGCTTGTGGAGGCAAAGCGCAGAGTGCAGCCAGCGCTTGCCCCTGCGGCCTCTGTTGCTCTTCGGCCCTCTCTCCGCTCGACCGACATCGGACCATCCTACCTTTCCTTACAACCCCTTTCTTCAGCTCATTCCGAGTGGACAACCAAGGATCGCACACGCAAATATGCCGCTCATCGAGGTGCAGGCCAACGACAGGCTCGGACGAAAGGGTGAGCACCAGACCGTCGCTGGGAGGTCGTTCTCGAGCAGCCCGATGGTGCCGTCGCGCGGTGGTGCTCTGCGGTGGCTACGACAGTCGACGGCACCGCTAGCCTAATTCCAAGATCGATCACGCTTTGCAATATGTGGTCCGGTCCGAGCGGACCACGATGTCGAGCTGGCAATGGGCGCTGCATGGCCGTCGCTGCATTGCCCCGTGAACTAGCGAGGGGGGCTCTCCTCTGGACCGAGTCCGCGCTGTTGACCTGACCTCGTTGTCCATCTCCTGCGCTGCTTCGTGCACCTCCTTCCGTCTCTTCCCCGCAGTCCGCGTCAAGTGCAGCCCGGACGACACGATCGGAGACCTCAAGAAGCTGATTGCGGCGCAGACCGGCAACCCTCCGGAAAAGGTGAGAAGACCATTGCCGTCGATGCACGTGGCTCGTCGTCGGGCCGCCTCGCTGATCATCACGTCCCACTCTTCCTGACCTTACGCAGATCATCCTCAAGAAGTGGTATACTGTTTACAAGGACCACATTACGCTGGCCGATTGTGAGTGGATGCGAGCATCCGGGCCCTCGAGCTGTTCGGATGATGTGGGCCGGAGCATTTCGACTGACATCATACCACCTCTTGCTGCCCTTGCGACACGACCTGCCGGCCCCTGTTGCAGACGAGATCAAGGACGTGAGTGTCATGGCGAGGCGTGCAACCCAGGCCGTTGAGGGACATTTGCCGGTTCGAGTGCTGACTGGCGCATCCTGTCCCCGATCCATCCCCTCTGTGGCTTCCTGGAGCAGGGCTTTTCCTTTGAGCTTCAATGAGCTGCTGCTTTGCGGCACGAGTGTCGCTCTGATGCCATCCTGTTTCCGCAATACCATGTTATGAGGTTGCCGCAGACTGACTGTTGCGGCTGCCACGCGGGATGGCCGCGCCGGGACCGCACTTTGAGCCTTTGAGGCCGCGTCGCGCCTGTGCTGTGTGCTGCGCTGCGCTTGTCCCTGGCCCTCGAGTTCATCTAGAAGGAGGATGATTTCCAGAGCGATGTCGCTGTCGGTCGTCGAAGTTAGGCTACGCTAGGCTGGCTTGACCAGAGGGGCGAAGGCCGTCCGTCTGATCTGTTGAATCTGCCAGAGCTGGCAGCCGTTGGCCAGTGCGAGCTCCACATCGAGGGTTGCCCACGCCAGCCATCGTCACCGCCTGACCTGCCCGCCCTCCTTTGCCCGCCCCCACCCACACCATCCCAGCCATCACCACCCTCGCCCCATCCCCATCTCAAACAGTCAGGCACTCGCTCGAGCACGACCTCATCGATCTGCACAATACTCCCGCCATACCCCATCGTCCCCTCGACGCCCGCCGCCCAAGATGGGACTGGACGACTACCGCAAAAATTTCAACCAGAAGCTCGACAGCTTCGGCGAGGACGCCATGAAGAAGATCCGGGCGCAGCGCGAGGCCAATGCCGGCACGGCGTCGTCGTCGGACCGCATCGGAGTCAAGGACCGGCTCAACATGTTCAAGGGCGACAACCCGAGATGGAACAGCGACATCGAGAGGCGTAGACCCGGCAGCAGCGCAGCGGCCGAAGACGAAGAGGCGGCGGCGGCTGCTGCCGGCGCGGCGAGGAGGATGCCGCCCCACAGCGGATACATGGGCAGCAAGGGACCTCCGCCCCGCCGCCCGTCAGGAGGGCCACCTCGACCTCGTCTGGTGGACACCATTCCCACCCGATCCCCGCTGCTGCACCGCCAGCAGCGTCGACGAGGGGTGCGGTCCCTCCGCCGCCACCACCGCGGATGGCAAACGAGAACGGCACAGCCTACCCGCCTCCGCCTTACGATCCAGCCACTGGCGAAGGTGCACCGCGTCCGGCCGACGACTACTACACGTCTTCGCAGCCGGAACAGCAGCCAGCGTACGGCCAACACCACGAGGCGGCGACGGGATCGTGGCCCGTCCACAGCGAAGGCTACATCGAGTTTTCCAAATTTACGCCACAGGACAAGGAGGTCTTCTGGGATCTCTTGGATCAGGTGAGGGTCGTGTGTGCGCCGTCGCCTTCGTGCCGGCAGGACGATGTGCAGGGCCGCTGACACTTGTTCCTCTTTGCGCCCTCGTGTCGGACAGTATTTTGACCAGAAGCAGAGGGGATTGAGATGACCACCGGGCTGTCGTGGTGCGAGATTGTCGATTGGTACGACCAGATACTACCTGTCGCTCCCGGCGAACGCCTTGTGAAGCCCGGGCAGGACCTGACTGTGGTGCCAGTCGCGTCGCGTAAAGATGGTGGAAGCGGTCGGGTAGACGGTGGAAGCGGGATTGGCCCAGTCGGAGGTCGACCCGCTCGTCGGCATATGTACCCATGTCGGCTCGCAGGGATGGCTGGCCGGGGTTTGCAGCCGACCAGGTAGACGGGGCAGCGGGTGGTCTCTTATCGCCGAACAGGGCATGGGCAGGGCTCGGCATTCAGAGTCACGACCCTGCAACGCCTCGTTCCTTCGGAAGGCGGCAGAACGCTTCGGAAGGGTTCAGGGACACGTCGCAGAGATCCCTGTCGTCGGTACCGTACCAAGGCAAGGGGATCATGATGGCGTGCTCAGTGAGTGACCTTCAGGAAGCTGTCATGTCCGAGATGGGACAGGGGCACGGGAAGCACAAAGACCGATGGCCAGGGGGACGGAGCAGCGGCTTTTTTCGCGCAGCAGCGAGGACGCAACAGGGCTGGGAGTTGTCGGAGATGAGATGGCGCTCGAGGTCCACGAGTACCCTGCGCGCGTCTTGGATGGATGACGAGGATGCGGGGATGTCAAACCACGGCCAGGCGAGCAGACCCGGTGATGCGGTGCGGTGCGTGGTCCCGACAAAAGACCGACCAAGACGCTCTTGCTGCCTCAACGGACATTACAACGGGGCTGGCCACGAGGGCCGCCCATGATGCCGCTCTCAAGCGAACCCCTTCCGAGTCATGGACTCGTCGACTCCAGGTCCATCCGTGAAAGCCATCCGTGCTGGCGCATTCCTTGCTTTGCGCACACGTACTCCCGGGCTCGCAGCACCCTGGAAGGGGAAGTCGCGGGGTAGTTTGGCCCGCAGAATGCCACGTCAGTCGCGGCAAGGGGAGAACGTGGATCGTACAAGGTGGTGGCCGCGGTGGTGGATATACGCGCGCTGCGCGGCCCCCGCATCCCCGAGTCACACCAAATCGAGCGCGGATACATGCACTTCGAAGACGTTCCCCGACCTTCCCTTCGCTGCCTGTCACCGGCTACGTGGGGGCGACCAATGTCCAAGCCACAGCACAACACGCAGTTACCGCAAGCGCTTGCGGCTACTACACGCCCGAAAACGTCAATGGCCTCCCTCACTCGCTCCGGTACAGAAGGTCTGCGAAGGAAGACCGAGGACCCTTTTGGCAGGCGGCCAGCTAGCGCCAGGCACGAACAAAGGCCGATGAAAACACCGAAGCGGCACCCGCGCGTCCAGCACGTCGGTCGGTTTGCCATATTCGACGCCGGCTCGGTCGGTTCGGTATCGCCGTCGGACGGAGGCTTTTGTCGGTGAGGCTCTGTGACTCATTGCGTATCGCACGTCGACAGCTAGGGCGGCACAGCTTCTTCCGCCGACCGGCATTGTTGTTGTACGGCCTCGACGGAGGGAGGTAGGGGCGTATATCTACAAGAGGGGCGGACGTCCTTGGCCCCTTCTCGCTGCGGAGCCCCCGCTTTTCGACGACACCGAACCCTATCCCCGGCCTCTCCACCACACCGCATCCTCATACCTACTACGACCGTTCAATCTCGACAGGCTGAGTCGAGCCTGTGCCTGAGCCTGGACCTACCTCGCATCTTCTACCAACGCCAGCCTTGCTCGTCGCAGCAGCATTCGCCATGACCGCCTCTCTGCTCCCGCCGCCGGCGACCTTCGAGCTGAGCGTCAACGTCGAGGCGCGCGACATCTACCTCTTCCCGTCGCGCAAGACGTCAGCCGAGGCCTCGCTCACCGACCTGGGCCTCGCCTCGTCATCGGCCGCCTCGACGTCGTCGGCGACCAACAACCTCAACTCGGCCATCATCTACGCCTCGTGCGAGCTCACCGTACCGCCGCTCGATGCCCGCACCGCCTCCTCCTCCTCCTCGTCGGCGCAGCAGGGGCGGCGGAGGCTAAAGAGCCTCACGCTCTCGCTCGTCGGTCGCGAGACGATCGCGTTCCCCTCGGGCAGGTACGAGCAGAACGACACCCACGACGAGACGGCCAACTTTGACGAGTCCCTCGCCCAGCTCCTCGCCGACCCCAACGGCCTCGAGCCGAGAAAGACGTACCGCTTCGAGCGCAGCTTCTTTGTCGACCACTGCTCGGCGCCCTACCAGCGCTCCAAGTTCGGCCGCAACGTCATCAAGGTCGTGGCAAAGGCAACCTTCCACGGCCTGTTCGCCAAGACTCTGACTGCGGAAAAGGTGAGAGCCGGTGCTTTGCCCCATGGTTGGGACGAGAGGGGCTGATATGTTGCCGGGGGACGCAGGTGAGTGCTGACATTGTGCTCACCGCTCTTTGAACGCCGCCGATACAGCGGGTGTACCTGATCGACTGCGAGGAGGACACGGGTAACGAAATGCTCTGGTACGAGCGCACCATCGCCCGAGACTCGGACAGCATTGGCGTGAGTAGAGCAGCCGTGTGGCGCCGTGCCATGATCCGTTGCGACACGTGGACTGACCTCGCTCCTCCCTTCGCCATTCGCGCGTGCACCGACCAGCCCTACGTCCTCGACGCCCGCTCCAACATCTTCACGGTCGGAGGCTACCTGCGGCTGGGGTTCGAGCTGCTCAGTCCTCCGGCCAAGCTGCGTACGGTGGCGTGTCGGGCGTACGTGGTGCAGCGCTGCACGTTGCGCTCGCGGCGGTCCAAGTCGGGCCACACCGAGGAGGTGACGCCGGAGCGGGTGCGCTTCCTCGACCTGTCGCGCGACGACATCCGGCAGTCGGTGCTCAAGCTGCGGCGCGAGCGAGCCCAAGAGGGCGCGTCGGACGACCTCACGCCGGGCGATTTGAGCGGGCCGCTGCGCTTCGACTCGCTGGTGCGCCTGCCGGACGACGACCTGATCCGACCTTCGACGGCGACGGGCAACAATGCGGCGATCCGGTTCGAGCACAGCATCGAGTTGGAGCTCGACTACGTCGACGGCGAGGCCTGCGATGGCGACAAGGCCAAGGCGGCGGCGGCGGGACCGCTGCTTTCGGTCGACGGGCAGAAGCTCAAGCGCTTCCGGATCGCATGGCCGGCGACGATTGGGTCGTGCGTATGCCGCTGGGGCTCGATGACGCTGCCGCCGTACGCGTGCGTCGACCCGTCCCTGGGCGAAAAGGGGGAGCGGATGTCGCTGTGGCCGTTGGCGCCATCGCCGCCGCCGGTGTCGAGGAGCTTTGAGGCGAGCCGGGCCGCCGCTGAGGGGGCGGGGAGCAGCGACGTCGGAGGCTGCGCGGCGTGCACCTGCACAACGGCGCTCGACACGTTGCTCGAGTTTGAGCGCGGTGTGCTGCGGCAGCAGGAGTCCGAGATGCTCCAGTTTGACTCGGGCTACGGCGACCGGCCAGAGAGCTGGGAGTGCCAGCGCAAGAGCGAGCCAAGGCCATCGTGGTCGTCGTCGTCGTCGTTTGTATCGCGGTAAAGGGGGGGAGGGCGGGGCGTCGGTTCTGCAAAAGGAGAGGCACTCGAGTCAGTCTCGTGCCTGCCATGTCATGTCACGGTTAGCAAGGCACGTCGATATACCACTAGGGAATTGCACTTCTATGTCTGTCAAAAAGGAGTACGTTGCGTGCGCAGAGGAACGAGGACGATGTATCGGACGAGGCCCGGGATGGACGTCGGTGGAAGCGAGAGGCGGACGGCGAGGAAGAGATCGACGAGACCGAGAAGACGCCCGAAATAGCCCTCCCCACGCAATCTGTTCGGATGCAGTCCGAATGCAGTCCGACACCGACCTCTGGCTGACTGTGGGGGCGGTGCAGCGCGATGCGGTGCGGTGCGGTGCGGTGCGGTGCCTGACGGCAACAGGCAGGGTCGAGCCTCCCATGCCCGAGTCTCGTGGTCGTCACCACCGCCACCACCACCACCATCATCAACCCCTTCACTTTCTCGCCCCTCTCTCCTTATTGCTCTTCTCGCCGCGTGCCCTGCCACCATGTCCAGCTCTGCACCTGCCTGAGCTTACGGCCCTCTACCACCACAACAGCACTCGCGCCTATACCCCCTCGACCCGGCCGCACACCTGCTGCAGACCACATCGACATGGCAAGGGGCAGCGCCATCTCGGGCGCCCGCAGGGCCGATGCCTGGCTCGTATTCGCCATCCTCATCGTCATACAGATCGTATGCTTCAGAGGCAGCGCCCGCCTCAGGGACACTACCCCCACCTCGCAGACCGAGCCCAGACACGCGGCCACCTTCCAACAGACACCGCTGTGGAAGCGCGACGCCTCCCTCGCCGCTCCCCAGCAGCCCCGCACCTACGCTACCCAACAGCTCCACCTCAGCCAGAACCATGCAACCTCCAGTCAGCCACAGCACGGCCACCACGCCCACGACGACGACGACAAGGACCCGCCCGCACAAACAGAGTGCCATCCCATACCCATCTCATCCCCGCCCTCGGAAATTTGCGCCCACGTCATCCAGCACTGCGAGCCCTCCGGCCACATCGACTACCTCCGCTTCTACTACTGCGCCGGCGCCGCCCAGACCGACGGCGGCGATCACCACGACCACCCTCCCGACGGCGAGCCCCACCACCGGCCAAAATGGCGCCCGGGCCTCGCCGCGCTCCGCGTCATGTGCCTCGTCATCATCCTCTGCTGGATGCTCTTCCTCTTCAGCTGGGTCGGCGTCGTGGCCAGCGACTTTTTCTGCCCCAACCTCAGCACCATTGCGTCCAGGCTCGGCCTCAACGAGAGCACCGCCGGCGTCACCTTTCTCGCCTTTGGCAACGGCTCGCCCGACGTCTTCTCCACCTTTGGCGCCATGAAGACCGGCAGCGGCTCCCTCGCCATCGGCGAACTCGTCGGCGCCGCCTCGTTCATCGTCTCGGTCATCTCCGGGTCCATGATGCTCATCGCGCCGTTCCGCGTCAAGCCGTGGCCCTTTTGCCGCGACGTTGGCTTCTTCACCGTCGCCGTCGCCCTCATCCTCATCTTCCTCTTTGATGGGAAGCTGAGGATCTCGGAGTGCATCACCCTCATCTGCCTCTACCTCGTCTACGCGGCCACCGTCATCCTCGGCGGCTGGTGGCAGGAACGGCGGCGGCAGAAGCGGCTGATGCTCGCCGCAGCACGCACCGAGTACGACAGCTCGATCGGCGACGCATCCTCGCTCCGCAGCAGCATCCACTCTGGGCAGCATCGCGACGTGGAACGCAGCCAGCTCCTCTCGGTGCCCGGGGGTCTCGGCGGCAGCCCTCGCAGCGGCCTCAGCCCTTCCGAGTACGAGCCAGATTTTGACCCCTTCGACGCGTGGGCGGGGGAGCGCAGCCAAGAGGCGCCCACGGCCACGGCGACGGGCGAGCAACGCCTCGATGGCTGGGTCACGCCAGATCGCCTGCACGGCTCGGGCACCCTGACGCCCGGAGGCCTGACGCCCGGTGCAGCCATGTCCAGGGGCAACTCGCGCTCGCAACCGTCAAACCGGCCCGGCCTAGTGCCCAGGCACTCGCTCCTCTCGGCCATCGAGTTCCGCGACGTCGTACACAGCCTGCGTCAGGACGCCACGGCGGACCGGTCCATGGAGATCTTCCAGAGCTGGGACCCGGAGCGTTTCCTGTCCGACCGCCGTCACCATGCCCACCGTCGCGGCTCGTCGATGGACCGCAACATCGGTGCCGCCTCAAGCCCAGCTACTGCCCGTCGGGGAGGGCACGCTCGAGTGACCAGCTTGGGCGCTGGCTTCGGCTCCTCCTCGACGGCAGCGGCGGCGACGGGCCACGGCAGCTCCGGCAAGCTGGTGCGATCGCACGACACCGACGTGGATCCGGGGCAGGCCTTCGCTGGTGCTGCGCAAACGGGACAGGAGGCGAGCCCGTCGATCGACATGTCCGCGGCCACCATCGACGACCCATGGCGGGAGCATCTTCCCGGCGACGGTTGCGAGCCGCTTGGGTCGCCTGCGCTGCCCCTAGAGGGCCACGGGGGCAGCGGCGGCGCCGGCACTCTGGGCACCGATGATCTCCGTCGAAGCCTTCCCAAGCTGAGCATCCCACAGTGGCAGACTGGCTTCGCGCAAACCCAGCGACAGGGCGGTGCCGACGCGGCAAAGACGAGCAAGTCGGCACGAAAAACGCCCTCCATCCCTTCGATCAAGATCTCGGCAGGCGACGGCGAGGATGGACCCGACCGCCAGCCGACGTCGACGCTGCCCGGCGAGGTTCGTCTGCGTCCCCACCGCGGCGTCTCGGAACAGATTGTCTACCGACTGCGCGTCGTCCTCCGAGCGCTCTTCCCCGCCTTCCGCCACGTGCGGGACAAGTCGTGGATCGGACTGGCGATCAGCATCATCACGGCGCCGGCGATCATGACGCTGAACCTGACGCTGCCCGTGGTCGACGACGAGGCGGATGACGACGGCGACGACGAGAAGCGCAACGGCGATGCGGAGGGCGGGCTGCTGCGGCTCGAGGGCAGCGAAGTCGACCTCCTGGCGCGGTCGCCCTTGGAGCGCTACCGCGACGACCGACCCCATCAAGGTCAGGACGAGGACGACGAGGCATTCGAGGAGCGGATCATCAACCTGCGGCCGCAGTCGCCCGACGGCAGCGTGCGCAGCGCAGAGGAGCGGGTCGAGCAGGCCGAGAGGACGATGCGGGCCGAGCACGGCCAGCGAGACCTCGACATTGCATCGGCGCTCCGCCGCCTGCCTGAGAACGGCGGGTCTCCGCTGTCGTTTGGGAGTGGGCCCAAGTCGGCGGCGGTGCCGTTCCCTTCGACGCGTCCGCAACCCGGCGCTGCTGCCGGCGCTGCTGCGGTGAACTCGGAGGGCCACGACGCGCGCGGCGGCGGCGATGACGACGACTGCCTCCCCTGCGAGGAGCACGAGGCCGAGGTGCAGGAGCTGCGCAGGTCGTCGCGGCGGTTCCTGGCGCTGGCGCAGTGCATCTTTGCGCCGAGCTTTGTCGTGTGGGCCATTGTGTCGTCGGCGGGCGGCGACCACGCGGCGGTCAAGGTGGCGTTTGCGGCCGTGGCCGGGCTGGCGGTGTGCGCGCTGGCGCTGGTGGCGCTGCGGCAAAAGGACGCGGGCAAGGTGCGGTACCGGGAGCGCACGGTGGCGCTGGTCGGGCTGCTGCGGTGCTCGATGGGCTTCCTGGTGTCGGTCATGTGGATCATGACGATTGTCGACGAGGTCGTGTCGATCCTGCAGACGGTGGGGCTGATTGTGGGCATCTCGGACGCCATCCTGGGTCTGACGGTGTTTGCGGTGGGCAACTCGCTGGGCGATCTGGTGGCCAACGTGACGATTGCGCGGCTGGGCCACCCGGTCATGGCCATCAGCGCGTGTTTTGCCGGGCCGCTGCTCAACCTGCTGCTGGGCATCGGCATATCGGGGACGTGGCTGCTGTCGGGCGAGAGCTCCAAGCAGCCCTGGTCGCACGCCGACCTGGACGGCATCTACCTCATCGACTTCAGCCCGACGCTCCTCGTTTCGGGCCTGGGCCTGCTCATGATCCTCGTCGGCACGCTGGTGGCGGTGCCCATGAACGGGTTCTACCTCACCCGCCCGCTCGGCGTCGCCCTCATGGCCACCTACGCCCTCATCATGACGCTCAACGTCCTCACCGAGCTGTTTTGGGTCGAGCCCAGCAGCTTGGCCCGGTGAACCTCGGCGGCGCGGTCAACGTACCATGTGCAACTCTTAGCTGTAGCGGCACGAGAGCAATGGCAGTCACCTCCAAGCAGCTAAGATGTCGAGCGAAGCAGCAGACCAGGCGGAGCGTGGATTGCGGCGTGGTCGACGAGGGCGGGTGGGACGGAAACGAGCTCATCGGCCGAGAGGGGGCAGGCACCGCTCCATTGCTTGCTCTCGAGGCGGGCCAAGCCGTCTTGCTTGCTTGCTTGCTTCCCTCTGTGTGGTTGCTTGCTGCTGTGGAGAGGGAGGGAGGAAGGAACGTGGACACCACGCCCAACCGTCTGCAGGTTTCTTCCCTTCATGAACAAGGCCATACCCTCGCGAAGCGCGAAGATCTTCGCTCCCCTGCAACGACCGACCGGACACGCCATCTCGATGCGAACCGATCCTTTCACCCAGCCAGCGGCGCAGCGTACAAGAGTTCGTCTCGATGCATCTTCGACGTACGTTGTCTTCTCCGCCGCCGTCGATGTGGGTGTGCGCATGGCTTTTGGATTCGCACGTGCGCCTTCCGTGTGGCCGGTAAGGCAGGCCAAGGACGCGCTCTCGGTAACCGCGAAGCTGGGGCTTCCTGTTGCAAGCCGCGGACCAAGGTCGACGACGACGGGAGCAAGGCCAGGCCTGGCCAGGCCAGGCAAACGCCCGCACGCACGCCGGGCCAAATCATTTATGCGCCAAGAAGCTCGGTTCGACGGTCGTGCAGCCCACCGCCAAGCAAGTCGAACGAGGCCGGGCGTGGGCGCCGTGCGTTGCGCTGACCGACGTTCTTCCCGATGCGAGGTGAGGCGAGGCGAGGCCGTCGTAGCGAGGCGGGTTTGGGGACGTGTCCAAAAACAGCTCAGCTGCCCCCCCCCCCCCCCCGCCGGCCCCCGCTCGGAAGTCGACCGAGAGAGACGGAGAGGGGGGGAACGTGCTCACGGTCGTCGTGTCGTGCGTCGTCGCTCCACCAGCATCCATCTTCCGTCTACTGTTCGTCCGTTCGTCAGCCAGCATGGTTGCACGCCTCGTTCCGTCTGGCGGCGTTTGAGTTTGGTGCGCCGTCGGATCGCCCCGTATGTGACTGTGGCGGGCGCGGATAGGCTTGGCTCAAGACGAGGGTCTCGTGCGACTGCTCGTCCGCTCTTCCTTCTACCAATGATCTGCTCAGCTTGCGTGTGATCCTGCCTGTGAAACATCGGACGAACTAGAGACTGAGCGAGGACCGTCGCTCCAGGGATGTCGGATGGAGGTTCTCGACGGCGAGAGAGAAAGAGAGAGATGTAGATCTGGAGGTAGGAAGGTGCGGGCGCAGCGCTGGCGTCGACGTACGCTCTGGCATCCGTCTCGTCTGGCGGGCAAAGCCGTAGCGGGCGAGCTGCGGGCTGCGCGGGGATATGCATGTCAAACAACGGAGAGGGCGAACGTGCTCACCCTGCCTGACACCACAGCAGGTGGGTCGCCGTCATCCCCTTCGCCCGCTCGCCCACTCGCCACCTGGCCATACCGGTGCCCCCGTCGACTGCTCGGCTGCTGCCCGACAGCCATCGCTGGATGGTGAGCCAAGCCGGCGGATGGCATCCCGAAGATCCGTTGCTCCACGCACGCACCCACGCACACCGGCCTATGTGCCGCGGCGGCCGCCTTTGCTCCGCCTCGCTGCGCCCCCGCGCCTGGGCATGATCGTCGACCGGTATTTCCCCCCTTTGCCCGCCACCGCTCAATCCTCCTTGATCCCCTCGTGGCGACCCGGCAGGCGATACGGTGGTGCCTCCGTGCTAGTCAGGAACACGTCTCCTTGGCCCGCATTGATTATGGTACTGTACTTCAGGCGAAGCGGTGACTGTAGCAGCAGCGGACCTCGCTCGTGTCGTGTGCCGCCGCAAGCAGAGGTCGCTGCCTCGTTGCCCTCTGTCGACCGCGGTGTCGTGCGCGCCTTGGTCTCCCAACCCCTGCTCGGCCGCTGCTCTCTCTCGCCTGGCCACTCGTCGTCGATCCGGCGCTGCCTCGGACAGATCCACGCGGTGTCGAAGCGAGCAGCCAGAACCACCTTCACCAGTGACTAGCGTGGCTCGAACTCAAGCTTCGGAAGAGCGGGCGAGCCTTGGTTTGTGCCAATCTGCCTCAAGCCGGGCTCGCCGGCCACTTGTGGGCGTTCCGAGACCTCTTTGGACCACGCCCTTCTCGGACCACGGATCGGACCGGCCCTGTACCGCCCGGAGAGCGAGGGGCTCGAGAAGAAGGATCTAGCTACTAGCACTAGCGGGGGCGACTCCGGTCCTCGGTCTGGGCCGCGGTATAAGACGAGAGCGAGCCACGCCTCCTTCTTTCTCGTTGCTTGCTCTTCGTCCATCGGCCCCTCTCCTCCTCTCCCTTTCTGCTCTCCGCCCCCATCTCCACCCGTCCCCCTCCCCGCCCCTCTTTCCCTTCACAATGAAGCTCTCCGGCGTCTTTGTGCACCTCTCGACGCTGCTCGTCGTGGCGCTCGCCATCGAGGCGGCGCCCAACAGTGGCAAGAACTCGAAGCGCGCCTCGGGCCCCAACGTCATCCAGCTCATCTCGGACGGCTTTGGCCCGGCCTCGGAGACCTTCACGCGCTCCTACCTCCAGTCCAAGGACAAGACCAACTGGACCGTCGAGCTGCCCCTCGACAAGTTCCTCGTCGGCAACGTCCGCACCCGCTCCACCGACTCGCTCGTCACCGACTCGGCTGCCAGCGCCACCGCCTACTCGTGCGGCCTCAAGTCGGTCAACGCCTACATCGGTGTCGACACCGAGAAGAAGCCCTGCGGCACCGTCCTCGAGGCGGCCAAGGCCAAGGGCTACAACGTCGCCCTCGTCTCGACCTCGCGCATCACCCACGCCACCCCCGCCTCGTACTCGGCCCACGTCGACGACCGTGACGCCGAGGACGAGATCGCCAACCAGCAGATTGGCAACTACCTCCTCGGAAAGCAGGGTTCGTCTTCTCGCTTCGCTCTTTGGCCTGTCTCCGTGGTTTCCGCCGCATGCACGTCCGCTGACCTGCTGCTACTGTCCCGTTCTTGCTCTTGCCCACTGCCTCCTCAGTCGACATTCTCTGGGGTGGAGGACGCCGCCACTTCCTTCCCAACACCACCAGCCCCGGTATCCGCACCGACGGCAAGGACCTCGTCGCCCAGGCCAAGTCCGAGGGCTGGACCTACGTCTCCAACAAGATGGAGTTCGACACCTTCCAGGGCGGCAAGAACGTCAGCTTCCCCTCGCTCGGCCTCTTCACCGCCTCGCACATGTCGTACGAGATTGACAGGAACGCCACCGAGGAGCCCTCGCTCAAGGAGATGGCCCTCACCGCCCTCACGGCCCTTGCCCAGGCCGACGCGCCCTACTTTATCATGATCGAGGGCGCCCGTATCGACCACGCCGCCCACAACAACGACCCCATCGGCCACGTCCACGACATCCTCGCCTACAACGAGATGGTCGAGGCCGTCACCGAGTGGATGGACGAGCAGGCCAAGCAGGACGCCGAGGACGAGACCGTCCTCTTCTCGGTTGCCGACCACGAGTGCGGCGGCCTCACCCTCGGCCTCGAGAGGCGCGAGGACGAGGAGGCCTTCTACGGCTGGTTCCCCGACGTGCTGTTCAACGCCACCCACTCGACCGAGTACCTCGCCGGCCAGATCGGCAAGTACATGAAGGCCAACAACATCACCACCGGCACCCCGGCCCTGTTTGACTACATCAAGAACGAGGTCGTCATCAAGTCGCTCGGCGTCGCCGACGTCCAGGACGACGAGGTGCAGCGCGCCGTCGACCTGGCCGCCCTCGGCTCCGACGCCGCCGTCCCGCTGACCGTGTGGCTCTCGTCGATCCTCAACTGGCGCGCCCACCTCGGCTGGTCGACGACGGGCCACAGCGGCGTCGACGTCAACCTCTACTTCCACGAGTCGCCGCTGGCGTCCAAGAACAAGAAGAAGGTCTCGGCCTACCGCTCGCGCCGCGACAGCGTCACGGGCTCGCACGAGAACACGTGGATCGGCCAGTGGATCGCAAAGTACCTCGACCTCGACCTGCAGTCGATCACCAAGAAGCTCAACAACGGCTCCGACTACAGCTGGGCCAACAACTGGTCCGACCGCCTCAACACCTTCACCGAGAACCTCGAGCACTACCACGGCGGCCTCGCCCGCGTCATCCCGCCCAACCCGGCCTCGGTCGAGGCCATTGGCAAGGGAAAGCGCTCCGAGCTCGCCAGCCTGCCCGAGTCGTACCTCGAGAACGAGCACATCCTCCGCTCCATCCACGGACCCAGGAAGCACCTCTCGACGGCCGAGGAGAGGAGCCACGCCAACGCCAGGCGCCAGGAGCTCTAGAGCGGGTCGCCCAGACGCCCCCTTTCCTCCCTCCTTTCCCTGCCTATCCACCGCCCATTTTCTTCGTCTCGATCCTCGCAGCTTGAAGGCTGCTTGAGCGTAGCTAGACGTCCGCCTCTTACCGTTGAACTTCGCAATGCATAAAAGCCACTCCCGCATCACACTCTGGACCGAATAGGGGGTCGGTGGCAGAGTCGAAAGGTCCATTACGGCAGAAGAAGGCGTCGGTCGGAGAGCGGCGATGCGGAGCCTCGTGGCCAGTCGGGAAGCCGCCGAGGGGGTATACAATCCCGCTCTCACGAGACGCGGTGGCGTTGACACGCCTGGAACGAAGTAAGTCGAGAGACGAGGAAGCGAGGGGCGGGCATTATAGGAAGTGGGGGGGGGGAATGTGGACGACGCGCGCGCAAGGACCTTGCCAGCGATGGAGAAACGACGAAGAGGGGAGAACGGCAGTGCGAGGACCCGCCGCGACTCGATCAGACATTGACGCCGAGCTGCTCGTGGTCCTTGACCGAGGGGAGGAGCTGTCCGGGCGTGCAGAAGCCGACCTCGTTGCCGCGGTCGTCCTTGACACAGGGGCCGGTGGACTGGTCTCCCATGATGCCAGGGATGTTGATCTGAGGCAGGTGCAGACCGAGGCCGGTGGGGGTGGGGAGGGGAAGGCTCGGCAGGGTGAGGACGCTAGTGACGCCGCCGATGATGGACGTGACGATGTCCATGGCCTGCGGGATGTCGGTGGGCAGACCCGGAAGGGCGGGAGGGGCAGGGACGGCATCGGCGGGCGACACCTTTGCCGCCTCAAACGGAGGCGAAACGGGCAGCGGCGGACCGGACGACGATGCGGGCGTCGGTGTCAGGTTCTCGACGACCGGAGCGCCGGCCGCGGGGGCGGGGGCGGGGGCGGGCGAGAGCGGGGTGTTATGGAAGAAGTCGAGGTTGGTGGGCAGCACGGCGAGGGCGGCGGCCATGAGCTTCTGCATCACGCTCGTCAGACTTGCTGCTGGGTCCGAGGGGTCGAGGAGCTGGTGGTCGTCGCTCGAGGTGGCGGCCACCACGGGCGTGGGTGCCGGCGTCGGGGTGGGGAGCAGGTTGGGGATCAGGTTGGCCACATCGCTCGCTCCCGGGATGGCGTCCAGGGGCAGCGAGGGCAGCGGCGGCAGCGAAGGCAGCGTGGGTGTCGGCAGAGCCAGATCCGGCAGCGTGAGGATCTTGTCGAGCGAAGGGGCCAGGTTGACGCCCATGTCGAGTCCCATGTCGCTGTGGCGCGGGCGCGCGCACAGGGAGGTGAAGGAAGCTCGGCCGAGATCAGTCTCGAAGTGTCACAGGTAGGAGGCGCAGAGCATGGACCTCGTACTCACAGTTGCCTCGCAGACAGGGGAGCAGCCTGGGCCTGGCTGCTCAGCAGGGCAACGAGGGCCGCAACGGTGCCGGTACGAGAGTCGGTAAAGGTGCGCATGTCGTGGTCGTCGTTGGTGGGTCGGTGGTGAGCAGAGAGATCGATCGGCGGGTGCTGGGCAAGGGGGTATGAGATGCAAACGAATGAGAGTGATCGAGAGAGCGTGGACGTCGACGACCGAGAACAGGGATGGGATTGGGTAGAGGGGGAGGAGGAGGAAGAGGGGCGAAGGGCAGAGGTGGGGAGGCAAACAAAGGCGCTTCGTCTAGACCGACGGCGGCTGGATGCTTATATCAACTCGCCCTCTCGCTCTCTGTCCTTGTCTCTCTATCCTCGACGTATCGTGCCATTAGCTCCGCCCCGCCCCCGCCCAGTGGATCGAAACGCTCAACAAACAAGGTCGCAGCCTACCTGCTTCTCGGCTCGTTTAAGGCAGGTCAGACGTATCTCCAGGGAGGGTCGAACGTTTGCGGCTTGCGAGAGCCGATGGGGAAAGCGGGAGAGGGGATACGCGGCTCATCGACGAGGAAAGGAGGGAAGGGGGCAAGGAGTACAGGACATGACATGCTACGAGCCTCGTTCTCGCCAGAGCGGTAGGAACCCGAGACGTCGACGACCAGAAGGCGAGGGAGTCAACTCTACCTCCCGTCCCCGCATCGCCGTCTCGTCTTCCGAGAGGGGCAAGGCGAAGCGAGGTGTGGGGATCGTGTGGAAGGAGGAAGGGGCCTGGTCTGTTTATACGGCGACTTGTCGACCTCATGTGGACACCCTGGTCGACTCGTCTCTTCTCAAAGATCAACGAGGGCGGCGGAGGCGGGAGCGGGGAACATGATGACGGTGAGGAGAAGGAGGTGGGGATGCACGCCGCATGCCAGGAACCTTTCCCCCCGCGTTCCTCCTCTCCCGCTCTCTCGCTTGTCGGCCTTTTCCACACCACAGCGCTGCACACGCGCACCTGTCGAGTTGCGAAAAGGCGAAAAAGGCGGACCTGTCCCACGAGACAGGTCGGGTCGGGTCGCGTCCAGTCGAGTCGAGTCAAGAGGGTGTTCCGCCGGTTACGCTTCATCCCCCCCCGCATCCTTCCTCCTCCGCGGCTACTCGCAGCGCATCGCCCCTTCCACCGTTTCTACGTAAACGTCGTCTCTACCTAGGTTTGTTGTTTGCCTAACCGCTCCGACCGCTAGTCGCCGCGGAGGCTGGCTTTCTGGGCGAACGTACGATCAATCTTAATCCCTCATGATCCGCCGCGAGCCAAGCCCGGGGAAGGGCCTCTTGCTCCATGTCAGGAAGTGTATGTCTGCGGTCGTCCAACATACGCTGCCGTCATTCGAGCCGCGCTCGTCGAAGATTGTTCAGAGTCTGGGCGTCGCTGCTGCAAAGGGCGTGGTGCGAGCGTGGGGCGTGTGGGGCTTTTCCTCACGAATATTCCGTGGCCTTTTCTTTTTCCCTGGAACGGGAAACTCGCTGGCACCACTTCGAAGTAGGTCCGGGCCTTAAACAGCAGAGGAGCGAGTCGCTCTGATCAACGACACACAGGCAAGCGAGCGCAGGCTTAGGGAGGGTGTTATGTGGTGTTTTGGTATACTGCAGGCGGGTCGAGCCAGAGGCCTCGCCGACTACGAGGGGTGGATGCGGTGTGCGCGTGGGTGACAAAAGAGGGGAAGCGTCGGTGCAGACGAAGAAAGGAAGCGCGGGCAAAAGGACAAAACAAAACACGTTGAGCGGCAGGGCAGGATGGGAGCCAACGTCCGGATGGGCGGCAGGAGAGAAGAACGAAGGGTGGTCGAGGCCAACGACGACGGTGCAAGGACAGGAGTGCCTGCCTGCTGGACAGCCGGTGGGACGGGCAGTCGGCGAACGCGAGCGCGTGTAATGCGAGACTCTAGCGTCGTCGACTGCCCCTCTCAAGATAGACCAAATCGGCGCCTTCACTTCTTGTAGTCGGGGACGAGCGAGCGGCAGTAGCCCTCACCGTCCTCGCAGGGGAGGAAGGCGTGGAAGTGCTCGTAGAGCTCGGCCTCGAGCCTCTCGCAGCGGTCGTGCTTGGCCTCCTTCCAGTGCTCCTTGATCTCGTCGATGGTGTGGTGCCACTCCTTGGCCTCGACGTTGTAGTGGTTCTGCCACTTGGGCTGGACCGAGGGGATGAGCGAGCCACAGAAGCCGGCGCGGTTGCCCTGCTTGTCCTCGACGCAGGGGAGGTAGGGGTCGAGGATGCGGTAGACGTCGTCCATGATCTCCTCGACCTTGGAGGCGGCGTCGAGCTTGCAGTGCTTAAACACCTTGGCCATCTCCTCGTGGTCGTGCTTCCAGTCGTGGTGGTGGTCCAGGGGCGCCTTGACGCTGCGGACAATGACCTCCTCGACCTCCTTGACGGGCTCGTGCTCGTGCTCGTGCTCGACGACCACAACCTTGGGAGCCTCGGTCTTCTCGGTGCCGGTCTCGATGTTGTTGGACACCGCGGAGAAGGCGGCGAGGGTAGCCTGGATCGGGAGGAAGTTGGCCGAGTTCTTGATGTCGCGGGTCTCGATGCCGTTCGAGACGCCGGCGAGGAGGGCGCCGGTGGCCTGGATGGGCACAAAGGCTGCGTGGTTGTCGATGTCACGACGGGCAGTCTCGCTGTTGGACACGCCCGAGAGCGCGGCCAGGGTGGCCTCGATCGGGATGAACTGGGCCGAGTTCTCGATATCACGACGGGCGGTGGCCGAGTTGCTCACGCCCGAGAGACCGGCGATGGTGCCCTGGATGGGGACAAACTGGGCGTGGTTCTCGATGTCACGGCGGGCCGTGGCGCTGTTGGAGACGCCGGAGAACAGAGCACCGGTGGCCTGGATCGGAACAAACTGGGCGTGGTTCTCGATATCGCGGCGGGCGTTGGCCTCGTTGGCGACGCCGGCCAGACCGGCGAGGGTGGCCTGGATCGGGACGAACTGCGAGGCATTGTCGATGCCGCGGCGAGCGTTGGCCTCGTTGGCGACGCCGGCCAGACCGGCGAGGGTGGCCTGGATCGGCACAAACTGCGAGGCGTTGTCGATGCCGCGGCGGGCGGTGGCCGAGTTGCTCACGCCCGAGAGACCAGCGATGGTGCCCTGGATGGGGACAAACTGGGCGTGGTTCTCGATCTTGTCCTCGTGCTCCTCGACGGGCTTGGCCACCGGCTTGACGACGTGGTCCTTGTCGTGGTAGACCTTGGTGGTGTGCTTCTTGTCGTGGCAGATCTTGGTGGTGTGCTTCTTGTCGTGGTACATCTTGGTGGTGTGGACCTTGTCGTGGTGCATCTTGGTCGTGTGGATCTTGTCGTGGACAATCCTGGTGATGTGGCGCGCGTCGGGGATCGCACGGACGACGTGGATGTGGTCGCGCTTGACCTCCTGGTGCTCCTTGGTGACGGGAGCGGCGCTCACCGAGGTGGCGGCGACGGCAGCGGCAACGACGAAGGGAGTGACGCGCATTGTGGTTGTTTTGGGTTGGGGGCTGGTGGGAAAGAGAAGGTGAAGGGTAGCAACGAGATGGGGAGATGGGGGAGAGTAGGGAGTCTAAGAGAGAGTGGCAAGGCAGGGGGAGAAGAGAAGAGTGGAGTGGAGAGTGGAGTGGCAGATGATGGGAGCAAGAAGGAAGGCCGTACACCACCACGGCTGCCTTTTGTATCTTGTGCGGGCGGCGAGAGTGTTTTGGTCGAGGACGACCAACGTCGACCGCTAGGCCTTGGAGGGCCCGACGGCTCGCGGGCGCGTCGAGAGCTGCTCCGCCAGGAGGACGGGCAGGCGGAGCTGCGCCCACCGCTCGCCCCGTCGGCTCTCCTTGCTTGGCGGCGAGGGCTCCGTAGCCGTCGGTTGCAGAAGAGAGATTCTGGTCGGACCGCTTGGCGCAACTTGCCAGAATCCTGCCAGAGACGTTCGAGGCGATGTTCACGCTGGACGCCGAAAGGGCCCAGGCCGATCGACCGGCCGTAGAATCTGCAGGGATGATGAAGCTGGCAAGGCGAGTCCGAGAGGCTGACGGTCCAAATGCCGTCAGGGGCGTGACATGTGCCGTGGGGCTGGACTGGTCGGGACGGGGGGCGGAGCCCAGCGAGGTCGCCCTCTTCCATGGCATGGGACCATCGTGGCGTTCGTAGATTCTGCACCCTGGCTGTGCGGCGACGACGGGAGGAATGAGGCAGAGGGTCGGGCGCGAGGATGACGGGCCGACCAGGTCCCAGTGCGCGGCGCGGGTTTCAACATCGATCCCGGCGCTGCCTGGTCGACTGAGCCGAATCATCCTGAGGCGCCTGCGGGCGAGGCTGGGCGACGAGTGCGTGGTGCCGTGGGACGCCTGGCTGCGGCCGCTGCAATGTCGATCTCTCGGGCTTGTGCATCTGCGCCGCAGGAATGGAGACGTGGGGCCAGCCAGGGCGGACCGGCCGCGCTATGGATGGACCATCTTGGGCTGGTGCGGGAGCTTCGAGGTCCGGATCGTGGGTCGGAGCTACTTGCCCTGGTTGAAGCGAGCCGGTGCCAGCCAGGCACTGGGTCCAGGGAGCGGCGACCAAGGCGAGCAGCGCCAGTTTGCGTAATGGATGACTTGGGCCAGTGGACAATGTGGCTGCTGCAAAGAAGGCAGCTGCTGCTTTCCCGGAATGTAGCGGCGAGAGGGGCGCGGGCAGTAGGCTACCGGTAGCTCTGCGATGAATCCTGGCTGCGATGACGGGGAGGGCAAGAGAGGGAAGGGCGACGCCGGGCGTACTGCACATGCTCAGCGTACGCAGTCTGCAGCTGTGGCACGGGGATGGCGACAATGGCTTCGGATGCTGTGCCGAGGGGAATGGTGGCGACCCGTCCATTGAGACATGATGGTGATGACGGACCCCCTATCCAACACTGCGCCAGCCAGGCCTCGGGAAGGCAGGCAGGCCAGGCTGCGCGTCGCGAGCCTCGAGCTGATATCGCGCGTCGGTCGGGTCGGCCGAGGTGGAGGGTCAAGGCGCTCAGGGTCCAGCCTGGAAGCCAGCCAGCCTGCTTGATCCTCCCGCAGCTCTGCGATCCCTCTTCACCACCACAACCGCCCACCACCGCGAGCGGGGCCTCTTCCGACAACCTCCTCACGCCCTCCCCCTCGACTTCCCTTTGCACTGCACGGCTCGCTCCCGCCTGACGCAGCGCCTACACTCACCCAAGCAGACTAAGCCAGCGCGCCCGCCGACCAGGAACCTCGGTCCTTGGCCCCATCAACATGTTCGGGGACCAGGCCAACAAGCTCATTGCCGAGGCAAAGGCGGCGCAGATGCTCGGGTCAATACGCCCTTACAAGTGAGTCCCAGGCACCTCCCTCGTCGTCTTCGTGCAGCATCGATCGAAGTTCCGGGCCCGTCATCGTTGTGGCCACCCGTCATCGAACTTCGCGGGCCTCGATTGTCCGCCTGCCTCGACCCTCGGCGCCGTCGGTGCATCCGACGGGCTGTCCCGACACCACATCGGCAGACGCCGACAGAGCGGCGGGAGGGCCCCGGGAGGGCCCCGGACCGACGACCCGTACGCGTACAAGGAGCTGGCTTCCTCATCCACCGGATCGGCTCCGACCCGGCTGCTGACCTCCTGTTCCACCTTTGCTCCTTTGTCGCCCCCCCTGCTCCATCAGCGATGAGCTCACCCGCCTGATCTTGCTCGAGACGCGGCAGCTGCACGCGCACCTCACCGACCTCGTTTCGACTTCGGACTCGTCCGATCCCTCGGTGGCGGCGCAGCTGGTGACGCACCACCTCTCGGCGCACCGCAACAAGCGGTGCCTGCTGGCCTACCACGCATCGCGGCTCGACTCGCTGCAGACGCAGCTGTGGAAGAATGGCGGCAACCTCTCGCAGACGCTCGACGACGACGGCACCAGGGACAAGCTGGCCGCCTCGGAAGTCGAGTACGCCAAAAAGTACCGCGACCTGGTCAACGCGTACAAGGGCGAGTTCCTCGACGTCCTCGACCTCATGGCGCCCCTCGAGCGCAACGGCAGGGAGGACGCGGGAATCGCGGGCGCCGCGGGCGAGTGGAGCCCACCGCTCGACCTGCTCGTCACCGTCGTCGCACTCAGGGATGCCCGCGACGTCCAGACCGACACGGGCAGCATCTCGCTGCGCAAGGGCGAGAGGATGAGGGTAAGGAGATCCGAGGTCGAAGCCCTCATCGTCAGGAGGTGGGTCGAGGTCGTCGATGACTGATTGCGAGCCGAGCCGAGCCGAGCTTCAAGGTGTCAGCGCGGTGCTCCGTTCGCGACGCATCGGGAGGGCTAAAGTAGAAGCATCTCTATTGGTAGGGCGCAGAGGGGATGGCGCAGGTCGACATCGAAGGCGCAAGGGCCTGGGCCAGGACATAGACGAGGGTGAAGTCGAAGGGCTGCGGCTACTACTGTTGTACGATTAATCGAGTCTAGAATGCCACGGGCGCTAGTAGTAGTCTTTCTTGTCTGCAGAGGGAGGGGTTGGCGTTGTGAGTCGAGAGGGCCCCAAGTCCGACGTTGTCGGCTGTCTTCCACCCGGCGAAGCGGGGCGAGGCGGGGCAGAGCACCCTGCAACGGGCCAGAAGCACCGCCGCCGGTCATCGCTGCAGCGAAGACAGGAACTGAGGACGGTGCATCTGCGCCTCGTCGCCGCCGGTGCTCGGTCGTTCGTATGCGAATCGGCCGTCGTTTGCCTGGTCGTATTGGGCCGACGCCGGTCCTTCCCTCCGCCAGGTCTCGCCGGCGTAGGCTGTCGTCGTCGCAGAGGACGACGTGTTCGGCGGGTAGAGGGGGGCGGAATCGCTGGCTGTGTCCTGGAAGTGTCTCGCAGCAGCCAGCGAGTAGCGCGCCGGGTCGGTCTGGTGGTCTAGCTCGGAAGATCGGTAGTCTTGCAGCGTCGATCGATATCTCCGATGAGCCGCCTCTGGGCTATCAAAGTTGTGCTGAGGCGCCTCGATGTGCTGCTGGTGCTGCTGGTGCTGGTGCTGCTGCGGCTGGTGGTGTTGGTAGAGATGATGGCGATCTGGATACCCGTGTCCGTTTGCCTGCGAGCTGTACGCGGGAAAACTGACCGGCTGCTCCTGAGCCTGCGGCTCAAGCTGTGGCGTCCAACGCATGCCTGCGGCAGGTTGCGGCTGCCGGTCTGGTGCCACTTGAAGAGGAGCCCAGGCGGGAGCGGGCGCAGGGAAACCGACCGCGCTGACGTGGTGCTGCTCGACGGTAGCCCCAGCGTAGGCAAGCTGTGAGGCCTCAGCTTGCGTTGAAGTCGAGGTCGCGGCCGAGGTGTCGAGCTGCAGGGCATTGGCGGCCCCGTGGCCAAAGCCCTGGTGCGGACTGGGCAGGTGGCGAGCGTGGGCTTCGTGAAGGGCGTGATAGCCTTCAGAGGTACTGAGCGAGCTGGAGCCCGGGTTTGGGTAGCCAGTGTATGCGCCGGCCTGCTCAGTGATCGCCGGAAGCGTGTCCAGCGGGCTCCCCTGATGTTGAAGTGACCAGGCGGGCCTGCCTTCGTTGCTGATCGGCGGCAGCTGGTGGTCCTGCCAGTCTGTGGCCTGAGCTGCGGCCCAGTCGGCCGCAATGCCGCGGGACGGCGTCGTCTGCAGCGCGCTGCTCGTGCCTCCTTCGTAGGAGTCGAAGGCGGAGACGTCTGCAGTCCTCAGGTCGGCGCCGATGTGCTGCAACGCGCTGCTCAGCGGGTCGGCCGACTCGTCGACCGTGGCTGCGGCATCCCCGCTCGACTCGAAGCGTTCGGCGTCGCGGAAGCGGACCAGCTTCTCGAGGGCCTGGTTGCTCTTGGTGAACTCGACGACGGCCCTTCTCAGCTCGTCGTACGGTCCGCTGAGGAGGTGGACGCGGTGCTTGGTCGCTTGCTGACCTTCGGTGAAGTCGGCGCACTGCCTCCACGACGTCTTGCGCGCCTTGTTCTCGCCTCCGGCGCCCGGGTCGACGGAGCGAAAGACCTCCATGAAGAAGGTCGGCGGTGCCGTCAGCTCCACCAGAAAGTGCCCGAGCGGCTGCCGGATCCCCTCCTGGCGCTCGGCCAGCGTTGGCTGCGTCGGTCCGTCGAAGACGCAAGACTTGATCGACGTCCAAGACATTTCGAGCTTGAAGCCCACTGCGTCCGAGTTGAGGTACCACGAGAGCATCTGCAGCCGACGCGAAAAGAAGCAGACTAGCGGGGCGATCCGGCGCCAGCTGCCGATGCAGAGCGCGGTGGTCGGGAGCGCGGTCACGGCTGCCACAGGAGGCCAGAGCGCATCATGGGGTATCAGGAATGCCATTGTCAGTTCGAGGCTCCATGTGGAACGCCACGCTGGGCTTTGTCGTCAGAATGGGGATGTGCAGCTCCTCATTGTGGCTGCCGCAGGGTCATCGAACTCACAGGTCTGCACTGGCTGCTTCTCGATGACGCGAGTCGCGCTGCGCGAGGCTGTCGTTGTCGGCGTCTTGGACGTCGTCTTCGTCTTCGCCTCGGTGCTCGCGGTCGACTCCTTTGGCGCCTCGTCGGACCTGACGTCCGCCTGCTTGCGCCGTGAGGGCGGGGTGTAGGAAGCGGGGTCCATCCCGCGCCGCTCGAGCGTCTTGACTTTGGCCCGTCTGTTGCCGGAGGGAAGGAGGCGTCCGAAGGTGAAGTGCGGTCAGCGGCCGCTCGATCCCATCGCGAGGCGCGTCACCGCCTGAGTGGCCGCAAGCACGATGCCAACAAAACGTCAAAGCGAGGCTCACCTGTTCTGGAACCAGACCTGGACGCTCCTCTCGGGCATCCGCAGCCTCTTGGAGAGCTCCTCGCGGACCTTGCCTGTGGGGTTGCGGTTTTTGGCAAAGAAGGCTTCGAGCGATTCGAGCTGCTCCGGGCTGCACTTGTTGCGCTTCTTGCGCCCTCGTGGTCGGAAGGCGGCGCTGGTCTTGCGGCGACCGGGCTCGGATTCGGAGCTGGACTCTTCGTACTCGTCCTCGTCCCCGTCCTTCGCCTTGCCCTTGTCATGTGAGCTTGACGCCTCCGAAGGGTGGGTGAGCTGCGAACGGCCTCTCGGCGACAGAGTCCCGGCGATGGAGGTCGCAGCCACCGATGTTGAGCGCGAGGCGTCGCGATTCCCGTCGCTGTCGCCGAGGTGGAAGCTCCCGCTTGGCCCGTCACCGCCATGCTCCGTAGGATCGTTCGACAGATAGACGTCCAGGTTTCGGCGTTTGAGAGCGGGCGGCTGCATCGCGTCGGGGCTGGCGCTCGCCCTGACGCTCGTTGAGACCGCTTGACTCTGCCAGGTCCAGGCGCTGTGCCTGCCCTGCTCGTGGTCGCCAAACTTGTTGCGGCTGAAAGGCGCATCGTGACCGCTGATGGGCCTGTCCGTCGTCGCCGGCCGATCGAGCAGCGTCCGAGGTGTTGCCGCGTCCAGCGTCGAAGCAAGGCCGTCGTGCGGTGCCAGCGTAGCAGTCTCGGGTGTCAGGCTTGAGGACAGTGACGAGGACTCGGACATGGCTCGATGCAGGTCCGCCGCCGGGTTGAGTGTGAAGCGGGGCGACGACGTCCTTGCCCACGAACGCGTCCTCATCTGCTATCGCCGCGCGTCTCTGGCGTGGTAGGCAGGCGGCCGTGGTGGTCTCTGGCGTTGCTCGACCCTATGAAGTCCGGAGCGGGGGATGACGGCGGCAGCAGCGGTGGCGCTGGTAACCAGCGAATTCCACAGGGGCGTTCCGGAAAGCAAGGTTATTGGGAGAGGGCGGTGTCTGCGAGTCGATGAAGGATGTATGAAGGCAAACGAAGAGGCCGGCCGGGGGTTATAACAGGCGGATGACGGAGTGAGCTCTAGGTTGGCAACCGGCCGTGCCAGAAGAGTAGAGGAGAGAAGAGTCGGGCAGAGCAGGGTAGGCAAGAGAAGAGAGCAGAGCAGAATCATGACACCTGAGCGGAGGGGCGCCCTCAATGAATGCTTGAGGAAGAGGGCGAAAGAATGGGTGGGGAGCCCGGGCGCGAAACGGCCTGCCGCAAATGAAGGAGGGAAGGCTGAACGAGAACCGCCCTCCTTCTCTCGGCGCGTCCAGCGTAGGACGGAGGACGGAGGACGGCCTCTGCAGCACGCCTACAGCGTCCACCGTCCGCAACGCCCTGCTCGACTGGCCAGCAGCTGGCCAGCAGGGTGACGCCGCGCAGCGCAGCGCAGCACGGAAAGGCGTAGCCAAGGCGAGCCCCGAGGACCCCACCAACATGACAGCAGCACCAGCAACTTCTAGGTTCGTCATCCGGCCTCGGGACTCCCCCCGATGACTGCTGATGCAGCCAACTCTTCTGAGCATCGTGCAGATGAAGTCGGACGGGAACACCTCGATCCCCGGTGCGACCAACGACTGGACGCCGCCGTCGCCGCCACCGCCGTCCTTCGCGGCGGGCAGACGATCAATTGATCGGGCCCGCACCACGGAAAAGGGGCCGCAGAGCCGCGGTAAGCTTTCGTAGGACAGGATTACGCATCGCGCGCGGCCCGACCACGCTCACGGTGGGACAGAGGTCCAGAGGCAGACCCAGTCCATCACGGCGGGCGGCGCGACAGGTACGTTCTCGCCCGTCGCCGAACTCCACGGTCGGCCTTGGGGCGAGGATGCGCTGTGGCGGCGGCCGGGCCGGGTAGCACGGATCCCAGACCCCTTGACCTCGAAACCGGGCACACGTGAACCGGCTGTCGAGCGCAGGGAATGCGGGCGCAGCCAGCCTGTTCGTGCCCAACTCGACCCCAGCGCGCAACGGTTGCCTCTCCTTGGCATGCATCCTTTGAGTGCAAAGGCCATGGCGAGGCGAGCTGCCACGCTCCGTTCCGGTAGGGCATATGCCAGATACCGGGCTGCCAGGTGCAGAACAGCCACAAGGCACAACCATGGACCGCTCGCAAAGGGGGGGAGAGCGCAGGCGAGGAAGGAGAGCAAGCAGTGATCATTGTCGTCGGCGTGGCGCCACGACCATGCTCGCCTGCGGGTCGCTTTTGTCCCCATGAACCGCGCGGCCAGCCGCAGCGAAGAGGCAGTCATGTCGGTCGACGGTCGGGGCGATCCTGCTCATGATAATGGCGGACAATGACGCTCGCCTTGCAGGCCTGACGCTCGATCTCGACGTGGCATGACCGCCTCTTCGTGGGGGGAGTCGCGCTCGGACCCCCCCCCCCCCCCTACCCCTTCCCGCGGAGGCTTTGGTCCCCACTTCTCGGAATGGTCTGTAGTGCTGGGCCTACCTTGTCGGAGAGGCAAAGCCGAACGGAAACGCTATCTGCGCGGTCCATTGCAGCGACCAGAGCCTATCACTCACCGAAAGTCAAGCGCATGCCCAAGGCTCGCCCTCCGTAAGTCCGAAGGGTGCCGGTGACGAGATTGGCCGCCGCTGGATGATGGCGTCGTCGAAGTCGATGTTGGCGCCGGCGCGTCGGACTCGAGGCTGATGGCAAGGCCGGGGCCGATGTCGATGTCCGATGCTGCTGGTGCTGCGGGGCGCGGTAGGGCCTCGAGTGCGGGTGGAGGCGCTGGGCCGATGATGCTGGCAACAGGCGTCTGCATGGAACGACACCCGTGGCTTCCCAAGACGATGGAGGGGCGAGGGACCATGACGGATGCCGCTCAGCACGGCGGATTCTTATGCAGAAGAGAGTCGCGCTCCCGCCGAGGTGCCGGATGCGACGCCGCCGTAGGTTGGACAGCAGCGGTACGCGCTCCTCAAGCCAAGGCTAGGCTGTGAGTGCCCACACATGGCCCGCCACAGGAGTCCACTCGAGCTCCTGTTTGCAGAGCCCCTACAGAAGGCTGCCGCTCAGGTAGGGAGAGATCGACCTGTGCCTGGTCAGTCGCCGTGCCCGCCACCGTCTCTTGTCCACCAGGTCCGTGTCTCGTCCTCTGCTTCCCCTGTGATCTGCGAGCTCGCGTACAATGGCCCCGAATCTCACCTTCTGCAATGGAGGTGCCAGAAGAAGATCACTTTGCTGGTGGGTTGCGCTGATTTGCACCATTCAAGTTGGCTTTTGGAGCAAGCTCCTCTTTCCCCTTTCTTCAAGGCACCGTGCGAGCCGCGCTGCCCCCCCACTCCTGTCATCGGCATCAAGTGCTGGTCATGTCGAGTGAGCGATCACTGTCGCCGTGGCTGCCATGGTAGGCTTGCGGCGCAGAGACTGGCGATTCGATGTCGTAGGCCAGACACGGATGCTTTTGAGCAAAGGCAAATGACGCCGAGGCAGGCCTCGAGGGCCCCTCGTCGAGCATCGCAGTCCAGCTGCAACGGCAGGGTCGAAGAATGCGACTCATGCGGCCAGCATCTTGCCAGGCCCGCGTGCGCCCTACAGCTCCGTGGCGTTTGCTATCGGAGGACCGTATTGTCGGGAGCGTCCATCCGGGCTCTGGGAGGCCATGCAGGGGTTGCGCAGAAATGCCGAAGCTGAAGCCGCCTGTCGTCGATCTCGTCACAGCTCTTGCGTGCAAGGTACGAAGTTGACGAGGGCCATGTCCTTGAGCTCCCCATCCGTCCAGGAAGCTAGTTGCGCCAGATGCCGGCACCTCGGGCACCTCTGGTACGTGCACAAGACGGCGCAAGCAGGTGAGGCTGCTTGAATATCGGGTAGCTCTTGCGACGCCCAAGGGGAGATGCGGCAGGAACCAAGATGGTGGCCACGCCCGAGGATGTTGGATCCTGCCGTACATCAGCTGCTGGTCGCCTCCCGATTTGTCGGCTGGCGAGGATGATCGACCGACGTCGCGGCGAGGGCGCAACTGGCCTGGCCGTCCACCGGTGAACCTCTACCTGCAAACGAGATCAGGTGCGCGCAAGGGTCGCAGCAGCTGCGCAACTTGACGGCCGGCTTCCCACGGCAAGAGGCAGATGGGAGAAGCTAGGCAGCGTGGCATAGCGTGGCCTGCCTGACCTGCCTCGCCTGCCGGCCAGCCTCGTTAGCTTGGGTGAGTGTGTGCCGCGCGAGAAGGCGACGAGCCAACCTGCCGCCGGTACTGCGTTGCTTTGTGGAGGGACACGCGCACGGCGATAGCGAGGCGGCGCCCGATGTGACTCGCTCGCGATGACGAGCGCGGACGGACCCTGCTACGCTGTTATCCTGCTGCCTGGGCTGGGGCTTGCTCGCTCGTCGAGGTTGGGGAGGGCCGAAGATCCGAGCAGACATAGCATCCTCTCTCTCTCTCTCTGGTCCGGCAATCTCACGCCAGCTCCTCCACCTCGATGCCGCGGCCGAGGCCCGCCTGTGGACCCTATCTGCTCCCGGCGCCCACCAAGAGAGAGATGGCCGTGTGGGCCAGAACAGGACGGATTCCAGGAGGCCACGCGACGGTGGGCAGAAAGGCGAACAAAGCGGCGGTCGTGAGCGATGGCGGGCGGGGGCGCTCTAGCTGGACCGGGCCAGTCGGCCAGCCGGAAGTCGAGTGGAGACGAGTCGAGACGAGCAGCAAGACGAGACCCAAAGGCAAGCTACCGCCGCCTGCCGAGCCGCCGGAAAGAAGAAGAGATCAAAAGAGGGTATGCTGCGCTTCCGGGCAGCTCATCAGCTTGGCGCGCGCCCAAGGGGGTGTCGACGACCAGCACCTCGGTGGGAAGATAGACGACGGGCAAACGAGAGGGTCGGTGGACTGGCGAGGTGGGCCAGGGCCGGGGCCTCTCTTCTTATCGGATGGAGGATCGCTGAAATCTGCCTGGCCGAGGAGCGGCCGGCCGGTCCGATGGCGGCGGTTGGCTCTGCGGACCAAGGCCCGGCGCGGCCCAGGCAGGCAGGCAGGCAGGCAGGCAAGGTGGAGCTCCCCTGCCTTCCTTGCTCTCTCTCTGCTGGGGGGGGGCAGCGGGCGACCGTGCGCACCAGGCGGCAGCCGCCCAAAAATTGGGGGGCCGGCGCCAGCGCCAGCGCCAGGGCCAGCTGCCAGCCGGGTTGCGTCAGAGCGCTCGACGACCGGAGTTCCAGCCTGGCCTGGCCGGCGTGCTGGCGCAGGCGGGCCAGCCGGCCAGCCAGTCAGCTCGGCCCAGGGCCGTCTCTCACGCCTGCCTGCTTCTCTGGCCGGCAAGCCAGGCTGCCGCCCGCTCTTCTAGCTCATCCCTCCCTGCCTTCTCTTTCTGAAGACTCTAGACCGCCGCCCGCCAGTTCTTCCGAGCGTCTCCCGCCACCACCATCATCCCCTCACCTTCGTCTTCCGGCCCGTCTGCTCTCACCCTCATCGACGCCAAAGCGTATCGACACCTGGAGCTCATCCTTCCTGTCTCTCTCAGCCTCGACGGTTTGTCTCGCTGTCCATACGGAAGCCGGATCACTCCCGAGACCACCGCAAGCCGGCGATCGCCACATCCGCTTGTATCCCCAGCCCCCTAGGCCCCGCCCCCCCACCGGATCGATCCGCACGCCCACCTTTGCCCAACATGCCCGCTTCCTCGGCTCCCGCCTTCGAGGACGAGACGATCATCGTCGGTGAGTGCCGTGATGGGTGCATAGCGCCCAGGCGGATGTACGCCTTGGGACGTCAGCGGCGAGCCTGGAGGGACTTGCGGAGGAAATAGAGTCCAACAGGGCGGCGGATAGGCGGCTGCGCCCGGACATCGGATCGGCCCGAAGGAACAGGACGGAGGTCACTTGCTCGACGAAAAGGCAATGTCGCCGAGACCGGTACGGCGGACCCCTGGGTGGATCGGTGCAACGTAGGAGTGCAGCGAGTTCCGCCTGCTGCTTCACCAAGCACGTTGCTGCTCTGCCTCTGGGCCTCGCCTGGGCCATCCGGCTCCGCCTTGGCTCCTTGCGCTAAAGGGTTCGCAAACTAACCTCGAGCCGCGTCGGATCGCCCGATGCCTCCCGCACACCATCTCTACGCAGTCCTCGGCGCTTCTGGTGATCTTGCCAAGAAGAAGGTGAGTGCCTCTCTCTGCGGGCCATTCTTCCTGAGCCAGAAAGAGCCTCGCTGGACTGCCTCGCTGACTCCCGGGTCATGACCGCACGCGCGTCGTCTCGCTCGATCCGCCCGCCCTGCACAGACGTTCCCGGCGCTCTTCAACCTGTTCAAGCTGAACCTGCTGCCCAAGCAGACGCACATCATCGGATATGCTCGCACCAAGATGGACCAGCCCACGTTCCACGAAAAGATTTCGGGCCACCTCAAGGGTCTCGACACGGACGAGGGGAAGCAGGCCAAGGAGGGTTTCCTCAAGATCTGCAAGTACATCTCGGGCCAGTACGACGAGGATGAGTCGTTCCAGAAGCTCAACAAGGAGATGGAGGAGACGGCGAGCGGCAAGGGCGACAAACCCCCCAGCAGGCTCTTCTACATGGCGCTGCCGCCCAACGTCTTCACCGTCGTCGCAACGGGCCTCAAGAAGAACTGCTACAACGACAAGGGCCAGAACCGCATCGTCATTGAGAAGCCGTTTGGCAAGGACCTGGAGAGCAGCCGCGAAATGATTGGCGCGCTCAAGGGCCTGTGGAAGGAGGAGGAGACTTTCCGTGAGTGGCAGATGCGAAGGCGAAGACGTTGACGACCACGGGTTCCCCGCCCATCGCCTCTCCGCGACCTGCCGACGACTTCCGGCGGCGCGCTGACGTCCACTTCCCTGCCCTGCCCCGTTGCTGTTCGGCTGCCGCGTCGTCTCTTGCGACACGCCAGGTATCGACCACTACCTCGGAAAGGAGATGGTCAAGAACCTCCTCATCATGCGTTTTGGCAATCCGCTGATCGACGCCGGCCTGAACAACAAGCTGGTCGACAACGTGCAGATCACGTTCAAGGAACCCTTTGGCACCGAGGGCCGCGGCGGCTACTTTGACGAGTTTGGCATCATCCGCGACATCCAGCAGAACCACCTGTCGCAGGTGCTCTCGCTGCTCGCCATGGACCGGCCCAAGTCGTTCTCCGCCGAGGACATCCGGGACCAGAAGGTCAAGGTGCTCAAGGCGGTCCCGGCCATCAAGGAGGAGGACGTGCTGATCGGGCAGTACACGGCCAGCGGCGACAAGCCCGGCTACAAGGACGACGACACCGTGCCCAAGGACAGCAACTGCCCCACGTACGCTGCATTGACGCTGTGGGTCAACAATGACCGATGGAAGAATGTGCCGTTTATCCTCAAGGGCGGAAAGGGTGAGTCTCGAAGGTGGCGGCGGCAGCGAGGCCCGGGCCGCGCTCGAGGTGGCAGGTAACGTGTTGCAGATTCAGCTGACCCCACTCTGCTGCCCCTTTTTTTGTGCTGGCCTCGCTCCCCGTTCGTTGTCTACCGCTTGTCTTCTGCCCATCTCGGCGAACCGGCACCGCCCCCGTAGCGCTCGACGAGGCCAAGGTCGAGATCCGGGTTCAGTTCAAGGACACCGAGGGCGGCATCTTCCAGGACATTCCGCGCAACGAGCTCGTGATCCGCATTCAGCCCAACGAGGCGGTGTACCTCAAGATGAATGCCAAGAAGCCTGGCCTGGAGATGAACACGCTGCCGGCGGACCTGGACCTGACGTACAAGGAGCGGTTCAGCGAGGTGCGGATCCCCGAGGCGTACGAGGCGCTGATTCTCGACGCGCTCAACGGCGACCACTCGAACTTTGTGCGCGACGACGAGCTCGACGTGAGCTGGGCCATTTTCACGCCGATCCTGCACGCCATTGACGCGGGCAAGATCAAGAACGAGCCGTACCCGTACGGCAGCCGCGGACCGCCGAGCGTGCACAAGTTTGTCGAGAGGTACGGCTACAAGCGCAGCAACCAGTCGTACGAGTGGCCCACGACCAACGTGCAAAAGGTGCAGGGCCGCATGTGAAGCGGCGGCGGCGGCGGTGGCAGCCCGAGCAGCAGCCTCTCTTCTAGCTAGCAGAGTAGTGCCTCGATTCCACGGAACAAATGCCAAATCATGATAATAGCCAGCCAGCCAGCCAGCCCCGCGGCGCACCCGTTGCGCGGGTCGCACCGAAGAGATCGACCTGGATGAGGGTACGGTGGCGCTTGCGTGCAGCAATAATCAGGGCGCCGTGGTGGTGTCGAGGACGTCGAAGAGGGGTCAGAAGGAAGCACACCGGCGAGACGAGGTCCAAGCAAGGCCTGCCTGGGACAAGGGCGCGCCAAGCTTGGACGTAGGTACGGCCGTTGGCGTACTGCTGACTCAGTCTCGAGGGCTTTGCGGTCGCTCGAGGTGCTGCATGCAGGCGAGGCGAGGCCAGGGTGCGCTGCGTGCCAGCCAGGACCCTCCACATCAGTCGCCCGCCTGCCGCTTGCACCGACGGGGCTTCCTACCTCTTGGTCGGCCTCCCAACTCGGCCTCGCGGCTGAGTCTCGTTCCAAGCTGCCCCTACCACCTTTCCATCCATCGTCCATCGTGCATCGCCCACCGTGCATCGCCCACCGTGCATCGCCCACCGTGCATCGCCCACCGTGCATCGCCCACCGTCCACCGCCTCGTCGTCGCCACCTTCTTGCCCTCCTCTAATAGACGCTTCCGGAGACGCCTTTCCCCCTCGCCTCGGGCACTGGCACCTTCAGCCTTGGCCATGCCCCCTCGACGGAGCAGCCGTTCGGGCGCTCCACAATCCCGACCCAACGCAAAGCGTTCCACGGGCCGGCCACCCGACGACGAAGAGACCTTCGACGTGCACTCGGTCGACGACAGCAGCGATGACCACCCACCCCCTCGGCCACGCGCCGCTCCAGCCAAGGCAGCCCACGCTCGACCATCCAAAGCAGCGCCAGCTGCGCGCTCCGGGACAAGGCGGCCACCGCCCCCCTCAAATGCCGAGGTAGTCGACCTCTCGATCAGCGACACCGCTAGCCAAGCCGGCTCCTCGGCATCCGCTGCACCAAAACATCCCGTCGAGGACCAGGACGACGATGACGACGACGAGATGACGATGATCGAGTTCGAAGACGTCGATGTGCCGGCGCAACATCAGCAGGACCACGACTCGGATGAAGAGGCTGGACTCGAAATGGAGGACGTCGACATCGATGTCGGACCGCAGCAGCCCGTGACTCCATCGGCCGAGGATGAGCTGCGCGACATGTACGCCGCCGCCTACCAAGAGGCGCTGAACAGGGACGAAGGAGATGGAAGCGGCTATCCCGACGACGACGATCCCGACGCGGGCGGCGACGAAGGGGCGCGGTTGCCCATCTTCAAGGACGGCAAGGGACAGCACCGTGGCATCGAGATCTCGATCGGCACCAGGGGCAAGAAGCAGGACGACAAGAGCGAGGCCGCCAAGAAACGCGCAGAGACGATGCCCACCGCCCGCGATCGCCAGAGCCGCATCAACGCCCACAAGCTCTACGTGCTCAGCATCCTCGCGTTTGCCCGCATCCGCAACAAGTGGTGCAACGACGACAGCCTGCGCGACCATCTGGCGCAGGCCGTGCCCGACTACATGATCACCAAGTTCAAGGCGATCCACCCCAAAAAGGTGCCAGAGCAGCGCGAACGGGTCCGCATGTTTGAGAGCTTCATCACCGAGCTCGCAAAGTGGTGGGCCGGGCGCTTCCGGCTGGACCCGCGGATGACGGCCAAGGCGGCGCTCCGCCAGCCAAACCAGGACATTGCCACTGGCGTGCTCCCGCCGCCCGGAAGCAGGATCGACGGCTGGATCGTCGAGAGCGCCGCCGATCGAGAGAAACGCCACCGCAAGGAGCGGCAGGATCGCCTCAAGAAGGAGGCCGACGGCCAGGCTTCCATCGCATCCAGCAGCCGGAAGGGCAAGGGCAAGGCCGTCAACGGATCCGTGCAGCCATCTGCTGCAGGCAAGAGCGCGCACAAGCACATGGAGATCACCCTCTTTATGCCGGGCACAGTCGTCCGGCCCGTATTCCTGTACCTGCTCCCGCCCGCCGAGGCAATCGGTTCGCCGGCAGACCTGCTATCGAGGGCCGAGGCCCGTTCCGGCTCGAGGGAGACGAGCGCCCAGCTCTTTTGCGCGCTCTGTCGCTCGCTCGGCATCCCCGCTCGCCTGGTCGTAAGCGTGCAGCCCATGCCCTGGAGCGTCGGCGCGAGCAAGCTGGCCAACACTGCGGCGCCCGAGCCCAAGGCGAACAAGGGCAAGGCCAAGGCCAAGTCGAGGCTGCCAACGAAAACCGCGCGCTTCACCACCAAGCCGGACGACGAGCTCACGAGCGATGACGAGGACTTTGACGGCAATGACGCGCAGAGCAGCAGGTCGGCAAGGTCGACGCGGTCCACACCGCGCTCAAAGGGCTCGAGGGTCCTCACTGTCGAGTCGGACAGCAGCCTGTCGGACCTCAGCGGCGTTGAAGAAGTCGAGTCGCCCAAGAACAGAGCGGCCCGGGCGAATCAGAGAGCTGAGCGGGACAACGAGAACCTGGCTCGCAAGGCTGTGATGTCGGCCGTCAAATCGCCAGGGAGTAGGCGAAGGGCTCAGTACGACGAAGGCATCGACTCCGGCGCCACCTCGGATCGAAGCGCCGCGAGCGGCACGAGCGCAGCAAGCTCGCCGAGTTCCCGTCAGGCAAAGGGCAGGGCAAAGGTCAAGGCGAAGAACAGCAGCAAGGGCGATGGCGGCGGCAGCGATGCGGGCGAGGATGCGGAAGGGGCCGATGGCGGAGGCGATGGCGACTACCGCCCTGCCAAGTGGCGCAACCTGGACGCCCCCCTCAAGGTCGAGCCCAAGGCCAAGCTGCGGCGCAACAAGCCCAAAGCCCTCAAGCCGACCGAGCTGGCGCCTGAGGACGACAGCGACGTCGAGCCGGTCGACCTGCAGGCTCCGCCGACGGTCTGGGTTGAGGTTTTCAGCAAGCCGTTCCAGAAGTGGATCACCGTTGACCCGGTGCGCTCCGTGGTGCGCGCCGCGGGCAGTCGCTGGATGGAGCCGTCGCCGACCGACAAGCAAAACAAGCTGGTCTACGTCGTCGCCATGGAGGAGGACGGCTACGCGCGCGATGTGACGCCGCGGTACACCAACAAGCTCAACAGCCGGGTCGCCCGCCTCCGTCCTCCGACGCGATCCAAGAACGAAGATGACTGGTGGGCAAAGACGGCGCGGGCCATCCACCGCCCGCAGCGCCTGGATCGCGATGCGATGGAGGACATCGAGCTCAATGAAAGCGCCAGCCGCGAGGCGATGCCGACCAGCGTGGCCGGGTACAAGGACCACCCGGTCTACTTTTTGGAAAAGCACCTCAAGCGCGACGAGGTCGTCTACCCGCGCAATCGTATCGCCACGTTCCAGGGCATGGACGTGTTCCGGCGCTCCAACGTCCTCACGCTCCGCTCCTCGCGCCAGTGGTTCAACGAGGGTCGGGTGGTCAAGGACAACGAGGTGGCGCTCAAGTGGGTCAAGTCGAGGGGCTACACGCTGGCCAACAAGCGGGCCGAGGAGCAGGCCAAGGCCGAGGGTCGCGAAGCGCCCAACGAGGGCCTGTACGCCGAGTTCCAGACCGAGCTCTACGTGCCGCCGCCCATCGTCGACGGCAAGATCCCCACCAACTCGTTTGGCAACATCGACCTCTTTGTGCCGTCGATGCTGCCCAAGGGCGCGGCCCACATTCCGTTTAGCGGCGTCGCCAAGATCGCCAAGAAGCTGGGCATCAGCTATGCCGAGGCCATCGTGAGTCGTTCCGCCTGACACTGTCCATCTGACGCCGCCGTTTGCACGGGCTGACATGGTCCTTTCCGGTGTCGATGCCGAGGCAGACCGGCTTCGAGTTTCGCAAGCACCGCGGTATGCCCAAGATCACCGGCATCGTCGTGCCCATCGAGCACGAGCAGACGGTCCTGGATGTGAGTGCTTTTGCTTCTCTTCCGTTTCCTCTCGGTTGTTGACGCCCTTGCTGGCCCTTCGACGCCTCCTTTCTGCCCGCTCGATCAATCAGGCATATTGGGAGCACGAGCACCTCGCAGCCGAGCGGGAATCGACCAAGCGGCAGGAACGCGCCATCAAGGCGTGGAAGAAGCTGCTCAACGGGCTGAGGATCGCCAAGCGGGTCCGCGAGCAGTACGGCAACGGCTCCAAGGCGGTCAAAGGCTCGGCCGCGGGCACCTCTACCGCGCACGGTCACGGCGATGCCGAATTGTCGACTTGGCGCCGGGATGATGGGTCCGTCGGAGGCGACGGAGCCGGCGGCGGGTTCCTGCTTGACGATGAAGAGGAGGAGGAGCAGGCGGAACGTCCGAGACTCTTGGCGCCCTCTGCGCCTTCGTCCGTCGAGCGTCGAGGGGGAGGCATGGAAGAGATGGAGGTCGACGCCGAAGAGATCGCGACGACATCCTCACCTCCGCCCCTCGCCACTGCGATCGCCATGCAGGCGGAAGCAGACGAGATCGACGACGAAGAGCAAGAGGCTCCTCGACCACGGCGGACGGGTCCCATCGTCTCGCACGATTCCCTCATCCAAGCCGAATCCCGCGCCCCATCCGCCACATCCGCCCCTCCTCCTCCTCCGACGACGACGGCGAAGAAGCGCGGTCGACCCACCGCTGCTGCTGCTGCTGCCAAACCGCGCGGTAGACCCCGCAAGGCATCAGCACAGAGAGGAACCAAACGATCTCGACGCCAAGCCGCCGACGATGACGACGACGATGACGGGGAGGAGGAGGAAGAGGAAGACGCGCGGGGTCCACCTGCCAAGCAACGGGCGTCGACGACGGCGACGACACGTACGGGTACGAGGCGATCATCGAGACGCTCGGCCGTTGCCGCCACCTCGAAGCGGGGCGTCTATACCGAACCGGCCAGCGACGACGACGACGACGACGATGAAGAGTGAGGGCCAGTACAGCAGCCGAGATACGGGCCGACACAGTGGCGGGGAGCGACGTCATTGGTGACTTTTGAATCAGAGGCCACGGCCGCAGCCGGTCGGTGCCTGTTAGGAATACAATTTCTTTCGGAGTCTAGGAGCCTGGATTGGGGGGATTGATGGAAGCGGGGGAAGATGGGGAGGGGAGAGACGGAAGCCCAGTCTCTCTTTCGGTTTGAAAGCACGTGGCATGGTGGGCCGAAGGCGATCAGAGCCACGGCTGCCAGGTCGGGTCCTGTTTCGTTGGCGCCGCAAAGAGGGGGGCAAGCGCGAAGGAGGTCAGTCGGACGATGCCTCTGGCGAGTGCGGATACCGCGGCGCGCCCCGGCGCGGCGTCAGGGGCAAGGGCAAGGGCCAACTCACCTGGAGCGCCAGCTTGCTCGGGTTGCTCGCCGAGTTGATGAGGTCGAGCACCGTCTGCGAGATGGGCGAGATTGTGGGCTGCTGCGGGTTGCCCTGTCGATCGACGACGCCGAACGCGATACGATGCGCGCATGCAAAGGAAGGAAAAGGAAAGAGCGTTGAGTGGACTGTACGATCCGCGCCTGCTACCAGGCAGGACCGGCGACGACGACGACGACGACCGGGACTCACGCGGTCCATCTCAAACTTGCAGCTCATGAGGCGTGCGCGCTTGACAATCTCCATCGAGTTCTGAAGGACAATCTCGCGCGGCGCCTCGGTGATGCCGGCGGCGACGCCGCCGCTGCGCTGTGCGCCGCTGAGCCAAAAGTTGATCTCGTCGCGCACAAAGACGCCGAGGTACTCTTCGAGGGCGCGCTCCGGCTCCGTGAGGCAGCGTCCGAGGGCCATGAGCGACGACGTCAGGATGCCCTCGATGCCGATGGGCCCGATAAAGTGCTGGATGTTGGGCGACAGCCGGAAGGGCGTCGGGTCCGTCGACTTGAACTGGGGCGCCTGCGGGTTGAGGGTGGGCACCACGTCCGACATGGACACCTGCCCGCTCGAGCGCGAAATGTGGATGCGCGTGGGCAGCCGCGCCGAGATAAAGAGGCAGTAGGTGAGGAACATGGTCGACGCCGTCTGCAGCGTAAACTGCTTGCGCATCAGCCACAGGTCCGACGGCGTCGAGAGCGAGCGGATCATGTAGCGCGACAGCACCGTGTCCGGCACCATCTTGACGCTGATCTCCTCCATGAGGTCCATGCGCAGGTTGGTAAAGTCGACGTTGCCGCGCCCGACGCCGCCCTCCCAGGTGGAGCGCATCTTCTCGACCCAGGCGATGACCGGGTCGTCCTTGCCGATGCCGATCTCGTCGCAGTGCTTCTCAAAGATGTCCGAGAGGCTGACAAACGACGCGTCGTGGTCAATCAGGCGCACCTGGGGCGCCAGCGGCACGGCGACGGGCACGTGGAACGTGAGGCCGCGCTTTCGCGTCTCCTTGCGCCGCTCGAGGATGCGGTTGAGGAAGCGCAGCAGCTGGAAGATGCGCTCCTCGCGGCGGCAGTAGCGCCCCGACGGCAGCTGCACCGCAAACGAGTGGCGCGTGCCCTTGTTGCTGAGAATCGTCAGCCTGCGCGTGCACAGGCCCGCCGAGCGCGTCATCTCAAACACGGGCAAGAAGCGGCTGATCTTGACAAAGTCCGAGTTGTTGTCCTCGAGCCGCAGGTACTGGCCGGGCACCTCGACCTCGTCAAACTTCTGGTGCTGGAACTCGACCAGGTAGTGGCTGCAGTGCTCCAGGTGCTGCTTGCGCGGCCGCCGGTCGAGGCTGCTCTCGTACCGGTCGCGCCACCGCTGCAGCTTGGACACGTAGTCGCGCAGCGTCGGCTTGCTCTTGACAAAGTCCTCCTCAAACGACGACTTGAGCGGGCCCGGCGGCAGGTTCTCGGCGAAGCGGATGACGTTGGCCTGCGACGACTGCGGCAGCGCGCCCGTGTCGTTGGGCATCGCGGCGCGCTGGATGTACTGCTGCAGCGCGTCGTTGAGCAGCGCGTTGGTCAGCCGGTAGATGTCCTCCTCGTTGGTGGGCTTGAAACGCTGCTGGATCTGCTCGGCGATGTTCTCCATGGTCAGCGTCAGCAGCGGGAAGGCCGTCTTTAGGATGTTGAGGATCTCGTCGACGTAGTCCCACGGCTGCCTCTGCTGCAGGTTGGGCATGCCCGGTATGGCGCCGGGCTGGCCGGGGACGCCGGCAGCGCCCGGAGCCACCGCGCCCGGAGGCAGCTGCTGCTGCTGCTGCTGCTGCTGCGGCTGGCCAGGACCGGCCGGCTGTCCTCCAGGAGTCGCCTGCTGCGATGGCGTCGCCTTGGTCGGGCTGCCCGACGCGTCCTTGGAGCTGGCAGCCGAAGCCTGCGCGTCGGCGGCACCGTCGGGCTTGGTCGGGCTGGCAGCACCGGACTGGGAAGGCGTGTTGGACTGGGGTGCGGCGGGGGATCCGGCGGCGGCGCCGCCCATCGGCGTCGACGGCGTGGCGGCGTTGGCGCCCGCGTTGGCGGCGCTGCTGGCCGCGGCCATCTGCTGCTGCTGGCGGGCCTGGGCTGCGCGCTGCGCGGCGATCAGCGTCTGGCGCTTCATGGCCACGTAGTCCTCCTTGGTCGTGCGCAGGTGGAAGTAGAGCGACTGCGGGAACGTCTTGGCGATCGACATGAGCATCTTGCGCGCGAACCGCACCTCCTTCTGCGACAGCGACTGCAGCAGCTGCGGGATAAAGGTGATCCAGTACCAGATGGGCGCGTCCCCCTTGAAGCCCTCGAATGCCTGCCAGACGGTGCCCTTGGCGTCGTCGCAGTTGAGCAGCCAGAGGACGCGCAGCAGCACCTTGCGCACCTTGGCGTTCTTGTAGAGGCCGGCGGCCTGGAGGTAGCAGCTGACGGCGTTGCCGGCGGCCGACGTGTCGCCGGGCTTGTCGCGGAAGATGCGGTCGTTGTAGCGGCCCCACTCGGTCCACGCCTTTGCCAGGTTGAGGTCCATCTGGATCGCCGTGCCAAACGCGTGGTTGGCCTCGTCGTTGAGGCCGAGGCGCGCCATGAACATGCCCTTGAGCGTGAAGAACTCGGCCTTCTGCGAGGCGGCGAAGAACATGAGGTTGGTGTTGTTGATGACGTCGAGGCCCTGGGTCAGCTCGTTGGGGTTCTGGTAGTGGCACTTTGCCTGCTCGCGCAGCTTGAGGAACGCCTCCTGGATCTCAATGTTGGGCAGCGTGTAGATCTTGGTCAACGAGCTGATGCAGACGTCGTTGAGGTAGTGCTTGCGTGCGACGTGGGCGAAGCGGTTGATGATCCAGGCCGTCTCGTGGTAGCCGCGGTAGGCGTACGAGTTGGTGCTGGCGCTCTGTCCGTCGCGCTGCTGGATGACGGGGACGAGCGGCAGGTAGGACTTGTTGACGGCGCTGAAGACGTGCTGGCGCCAGGCGACGAGGTCGCTCCAGGCGTTGATGTCGTCCCACAGGTTGGGCAGCCGCTCGCGCCACGTCTGCATCAGCGTCTTGAGCTCCGACGAGCGCTGGTCGAGGTTGGACGCGTTGGTGTGGGCCAGCGAGGCAAAGACGGTGCTGGCCTCCTGCAGCTCGACAAACTGCTGGAAGATCTGCAGTAGCGGGACGTGGGCCACGGTCACCGTCGACGGCAGCGAGTGCCACTTGCGCAGCGTCAGCTGGATCGCCTCGTCGCAGATCCTCCCAAACTCGGCCGGCTTGTCCTGGCCCGCCTGCGACTTCAACAGCGCCATGTACGCCTCGAAGACGCGGCGGCGCGGCGTGGCGCTGGCCGACAGGCTCTCGAGAGCCGTCTCGAGAATCTCGCGCTCCGTGGTCCAGTCAAAGAGGCGCCAGGCGCACTCGAGCAGCAGGTCGTTGTTGCCCTCGGCCTTGGCGAGGTCGGTGAGGATGTCCCACTGCTGCAGCTTGGACGCGCACAGCGTCCAGTGGTCCTCCCACAGGCTGTACTCGGCCTCGGTGAAGTTGAGCATGCCCGAGCGCCCCTTGATCTGGGCAGTCTCGTACATGGCCTGGGCCTGCGACCACATGCCAATCTGCTCGTACGAGATTGCGGCGTTGGTCTCGGCGTAGACGCAGCGGCGCCGCCAGAGGCCGTAGAACATGTCGTCCTCGGACAGCTCGGCAAAGAGCTCCGCCAGCGCGTCCTGGCCCGCCTCACGGATCGCGTCGTCCTGGCGCGGCAGCGAGCGAAGCAGGTTCTGGAGCAGCTCGATCGACGTGTGCCACGCGTTGAAGCTCTTGCCGAGGTACTTGAGGACGTGCGGCGGCAGCTCGAGCTGCGGCTTGCACGCCAGCGCACCTTCGAGCAGCGTCTGCACCACGTTGGGCCGGCGGCTGACCTGACGGAGGTTGTACTCGCGCGTCAGGACGCCGATCAGCGAGCGCGTCACCTCGTCCTGATTCTTCTTGGGGATGGCGCGCCAGGCGGCACGGAAGAACGAGACCCACACCTTGTGGGCCGACTCGGCATCGGTGTAGAGCAGCGCTCGCAGCGAGGCGATGAGATCGCCCACCTGCATGCCTCGCAGCACCGCCACGAAGCCGGCCGATCCAGCCCCGGTCGCCGACTGGCGCGCCACCGTGGCGGAGCTGGGCGGCAGCAGCGGGGTGCTCGAGTCGACCGAGCCCAGCAGCAGGTCGAGTGCCTGGTTGAGCCAGAAGTGCTCGGCAAGGTACTCCCAGCTCTGGTGGCCGAGCAGGTAGAGCATACGCCCGGGCAGCGAGCGGACAAGCGTCCGGTCGAAGATGGCGATGAACTTTTGGCGGATCTCGGGGTCCTTGTGGCGGCATCCCAGCAGGAAGGCGTTTTCGAGCCGCACCGTCAGCTCGGTCCGGGCAAAGGCAGGCGTCGTGTAGATCGAGTGGATGAGGTCGAGGTAGTCGGCGAGCAGCTGCTCGTTGTCGCGGTCCTCGAAGCCCATCATCTTGACGAGGATGCCCGCCTTTTCCTTGATCGTGGGGAAGGCCTCCTTCTGCTCGAGGATCCACTTGCTCATGGTCCCGAGCAGGAAGCGGCAGAGCTCGATGCTCGACGATCGTTCCACGAGCTGGACGAGTGCACTGAGGAACCACCGGCGCTGGTCCTGCAGGTTCGAGATGCGCTTCTTGAACAGCTCGAGCACCAGCATCAGCAGCTTGAGGCCGGGGTCGTTGGGTGCGACGGGCGCCGTGGCGGCGAGATGCTCCTTTGTCAGCTTGCTCAGCGCCTTGGTCAGGGCCGGCAGGTGGGCGTCGATCTGCGCGTCGGGGTGGTGGGAAATAGGGGCCAGGACGCAAAGCGGGACAGGGTTAGCGAGCCATGTCGAAACAGTACCAGGTCCGTACCGGGTCGAGCGAGCCCTCGCACGGAGCCAGCGCCGCTCACCTTCTCCGGCTTGCTCTGCGACCAGGCGTCGAGCATGACGAAGACGCTGTAGAGGTTCTGCGACTGCTTGAGGCCCTCCGAGATGGTGTTCTCGGCAAACTTCCTGAAGTTGGCAAGCTCGTCCTGCACGGCGTCGCCCTCGACCTTGGGCTTGCTCGCGGCAGACGAAGGGTCTGCAGCCGCGGAGGCATCGCCCATCTTGGCGTCCTCGTCGGCCGCGCCATCCGCCTCGCCGTCGGCGTCCGCATCGTCCTCCGGTGGCGGGTCTGGAATCACCTCGAACACGCGCTCGAGGATGTGCCGTTGCGCCTCGGCGAGCGAGACGTGCTCGGTGGCCGCGCTCTTCTCGAGCAGTTTGTGGAGCTGGGGTACGTGGGCCGCCACCCACACGTCGCTCTTGTCGGTCACGACGTAGCGCAGCGTGTGGAGGGCGTTGCAGACGACGGGGATGTTGGCATCGGTGAGCTCCGTCTGGATCAGCGGGCGCTGGAAGACGGCGAGCTTGATCTGCACGTCGGACCAGTGGGGCGCCTTGAGGACCTCCTTGAGCAGGTTGGCCGCCTTGCTCACGACGCCGCCCCTGGCAATCGGCTCGACCGAGAGCGAGATGAAGCGGACCAGGAAGCCGACCGCCATCTCGCGCAGGTTCATCGGCATCAGATAGTTGTGCTCCGCCGAAGTGGCCGCAGCTGAGGCATCGGCTTGCCCGGCAGTCGGAGCAGCAGCGCCGGGAGCCGCGGCGGAGGCTGCGTTCGAGGTCGAGGTCGAGGTTGAGGTCGACACGGAACCACCCGCGGCGTCGATGCGCGCTCGCTTGCGGCTCTCGTCCTGGTCGCCGTCGTCTCCACCGCTGCGCTTGCCGTTGTCAATGTCGTGAGCAGCGTCGGTGGCGGTGGCCTTGACCTCCTTCGAGGCGAAGTGGTCGGCTCGGCGCTTCTCCCACTTGAACAAGAGTTCGGCCAGGTCGATCGAGAGCATCCTCGACTCGGAACTGGAGCTGACGAGCAGCCCGAGCTTGGTCAGGCTGCCCACGATGTGAGGCACAAACATCTCTCGGCTCGAGTAGAATAGGTCGGCGTGGCGGACCAGGAGCGACAGGATCGCAAACAGCTGCGGACCGTTGTGGCCCTCGTCGGCCAACTGGCGCTTTGTCCACTTGGCCCACTGAGGGGGCTGGCCGCCCTCGGCCAACCCAGCTCGCTTGGGCAGCGCGGGGACGAGGATGTCGAGCGCCTTGCGGACCATAGCGCGGCCCTCGGACTGGTGCGCGCGGAGCAGACCGACGTACACCTGGCCGACGATCTTGATCGGGCTCTCAAAGACCTCGAGGAAGCGCGCGATGAAGATGTAGGCGACATTCTTGACCGTCACGTCCTCGGCGCTGAGGTTGGCCCAACCAAACTTGATCGTGTCCTTCTTGGCCTGGCCGTGGTTGGCAAGGTGGTGAGAGCAGTGCTCGAGGATCATTGTCGACATGTGCAGCAGCTCGATCCGAAGGCCGTCCTCGCTGCACAGCGACGCGGCCAGCTTGGGCTGCTGGAAGGGCTTCCAGACGCGGTTGACGATCTGGTGGATCAGCGTCGAGTCGATGATGCTGGCGAGGCCGCTGTCGGCAGGCTTGTCGACCGCATCCCCGCCCTCTGGCTTGCTGGCGGTGGCGGAAGGCTGAGCAGACGCGGTCTCAGCGGCCGCGGCCGCCACCGCCTTGGGCGCCTCGGTTTTGGCCTTGTCCGCCTCCTCCATCGTGACGTCGCCGTCGGCCTTGGCTGCTTCGGCCTTGACCTCGGCCTTTTTGTCGGTGGCTGCCACCGCCGCCGCCGCTGTGGCCGGTTTCTCTGTGCTAGCGCCGCTGCTCGCACCCGCCACCACCGCAGCTTCCGCCTTGGCCGTTGGCGCGCCGGAAGGGCCAGCGGTCTCGGCCGCGAGGCTATGGCTGGCGAGGAGCATCGGGTTGATGACGACCCGCAGCATGGCCGTCTTGAGCGGCTGGCTGGCCTTGGCGTCCTCGAAGAGAGCAAGGAAGCGCGACATCATCTGCCTCTTGATCTCGACGCTGGCGCGTATGCAGAGGTGCTGGTAGATGAAGCGGGTGGTGGGCGTCAGGTCGAAGGCCACCTTGTAGGTGTAGGCGTCGAGGATGGCGACGTAGGCGTCGAGGTGGGGCTCGACCTCGAGGTAGGACGTAAAGAGCCGGATGAGGTTCTTGGTCTCGAAGCCGTTGCGCGTGGTGGTGTGGGCCTCCTGCCTGCGGCGGTGGCTGCAGGCCGGCGAGCGCCAGTAGGCCACCAGGCGCTCAAAGACGTCCTTGTGCTTGGTCAGCCAGGCCGGGTCGCGCTCGACGAGCTGCTCGACGATCGTCATCCCAGCAAGCGCCTGCGACGCCGAGGCCTCGTTGGCGAAGAGCGGGTAGAGGTACTTGGCGCGGCCGGCGGCCACCTGGGCGCGCAGGTCCGGGCCGTCGTTGGAAACTAGCGAGAGACGCACGACGCGGAGGAACTTGGGGTTGCTCAGCTTGTCGCCCTCGAAAAAGTAGGAGACCGCTTTTTCGGCGAAGCGGTTGAGGAAGAGCGTCAGCGGCTTGGTGAAGGGGGTCGCGCCCGATCGCCGCAGCTGCGACTCGATCTCGGCCACCGTCGTCGTGAGGCGCGGCAGGAACTGGAACGACGCCTCGGGCAGCAGGCGGAAGACGTTGACGACGGCCACCAGCGTCTTGATCTGCTCGTTGTCGCTGAGCGAGCCCAGCGCGGCGCGGTGGAGCATCGGCGGTTCGGCAAGGCTGGTGAGGTGATCGAGCAGCTTGGTGCCGATCTCGACCTTGAAGTAGTTGGTCAGCAGCTGCAGCAGCCGCGCCAGGCCATCGAGCCCCGCCGCCGTCAGCCGGTTGCGGTCGGCGAGCGTCATCAGGATGGGCCGCAGGCCGCTCTGGAGGAGGTCCTTGGGCAGCTTGCTCTGCTGCGTCAGCACCGTCTTGAGGCTGTCGTAGGCCACCTGGACCACCTCCTCGGAGCGCGAGTAGAGGCTCTTGAAGTAGACCGAGATGATCTTCATCCGCATCTGGTTCTGCTTGGGCGAGAGGAAGTCGTTGCACGCCATCGCCGACGACAGCAGGCGGATGGCGACGACGCGCAGCTTGGTCACCGCCAGCATGTTCTTGTACTGCGACGTGCGGCCGATGAGCGCCTGGTCGTCGGCGTCGGCCAGCGCCAGCGCCTCGGTCAGCACGCGGAAGAGCTCCTCGTTGAACTCGGGCAGCGGCGGCGTCAGGTTGAGCGCGAACGTGACGGCGTCGATGTGGCCAATCTGCATGCCAAAGGGCAGCGCGCGGAGCGGCTTGGTGAAGATGGGCGTCAGCAGGCGCTCGCGCTGCGGACTCAGCAGCTCCGTCACCGTCGAGCCACGCAGCTCGGCCAGCAGCTTAAACGCCGACTGGGTCGTCGCGCGGACCGTGGCGTTGGAGCTCGAGAGCTCCGGCACCAGGATGCCGATGAGGTAGGTGAGGTGGCTCGGACGCTCGGGCACCACGGGCTCCGGTTTCGGCGCCGGGCCAGCCGAGGCGGTGGCAGCGCCTCCTCCGCCTTCGTTGGGGGCAGTGCCGCTGGCGGCAGCGGCGGGGACAGCGGCCGGCTTGACGGCATAGGCCTGGCGGATCACCTGCAGGAGCGTGTCGCTGACCTCGTCGATGTTGCCGGGCGGGTCGCTGGGCATGTCCTTGAGCATGAAGAGCAGCGCGCGGACAATCTCGAGCTGGTGGTCGCGCACCCAGATCTGGCCCAGGTCCGCTCGGCGCACCAGCATGTTGACGCCAAGCCAGCCGCCCGTCTTGCGCTGCCAGAGCTGGTCGTAGCACTGCGAGCAGAAGCGGCTGGCGAGCGAGTGCATCACAATGTGGCCCAGGTCGGCGCGCGTGGCGGGCGTCTTTTCGCAGGCGGTGAGGAACTCGCGGATGATGCGCAGCTCGAGCTCGATCAGGGGCGCAGGGTCCGAGCCGGCCTCGTTGGACGAGAGCGTCTGCGTGAGGCCCTCGAGCAGCGACGTCGTCATCGGCCACAGGTGGCGGTGCGACGCGCCGCTCGGCATGGGCATCTCTCGCCGGATCTCGGCGGCAAAGACGTGGCGGCAGACGCCCAGCAGGAACTCGGCCGCCCCGTCGCGCAGCTCGTCGGCCTTGGTGGCGTCGAACAGACCCTTGACGACGCGCTCGAAGAGGGCCTCGCGCGCGGCGTCGACGAGGGGCCCGTCGAGGAAGAGCGCGGCGGCGTGCCTGAGCAGTTCAAACGAGTGCTTGCGGTAGTAGACGTCGTTGCGGCGGATGTTGGCCAGCGCCAGCTCGGTGATGGGCGTCAGCGACATCGACTGCGCCTTGCCCTCGAACTGGACGGCAAACATGGGCTGGCCCGGCGAGGTGTAGGTGAGGCGGGGCGGGTCCTGGAGCAGCTTGCGGTTGCGGCCGCCCATTTTGCCAAGGATGCGCATCGTGGTGTGCGAGTGCTGGTGGTTGTGGGGCAGGGGCTGGAGGTGCTGCCAGAGGGCGGCCATGATGTCGTGTGCGTAGGGGGCCATGATCGGGTCGAGGAACTCCTGGGTGAGGTTGTCGATGCAGAGCTCGAGCGTGCGGAGGCCCTGGCTGACGAGCTCGGTCGACGACTGGAGCGCCAGCACCAGCGGCTTCATCAGGTAGCTGAGGTACGGCAGCAGCACGCTCAGCCGCACGGGCACCGTGAGGCACAGGTCGACAAACACCTCGCGCCTCGATGGCTCGGCGGCGTTGAGCAGCGCGTTGAGGTTCTCGAGGAGCACCGGCAGCAGCGGCAGCACGTCCTTGTACAGCAGCTCGAAGCGGCCGCCACCGATGCTGCGGAAGAGCGCGCGGAGCAGGAGAAAGTAGTTGGTCGGCTCGGCCGCCTTGCTGGCGAGCTTCATCGACTCCATGATCAGGTGGCTCAGGTGCGGCTGCAGCACCACCTCGTTCTCCTCGGGGAAGATCGTGACCGCCATGAACGCCATCTTGAAGAGCCGCAGGCTGACCGACGCGTGCTTCTTGTCCGACTTGCCCAGCTCCTCGAGCCGGTCGACGAGGAAGCGCAGCAGGATGCCCACAAACCGCCGCGAGACGCCGTCGTTGGACAGCAGGTTCTGCGGTATCCCCAGCAGCATCGGCGTCGACAGCATCTCCTCAAAGAGGAACGGCATCTGCGTCGTGAACACCTCGTGGAAGACCTGCGCGTCGAGGTCGATGAAGACGGTCGTGAAGAGGTCGAGCACCTCCTTCTCCTCGCGGCTGTCGCGGTCCTCGTGGAGCGACCAGCAGCGCACGCCGTCGACCAGCAGCCTGCCCGCCGTCTCGCCGTCCGGGTGCGCCGCGTTGCGGTGCTGCAGCACGGGGATCAGCGTCTTGAAGCCAAACAGGATGTTGCGCAGCAGGAAGCGGGCATCCTTGAGCGGGTCGCCGGCGACGTCGGTCATGGTGGCGGCGGCCTGGATCGGCTTGGCCTTTTCAATGTCGATCGCGCCGAGCGGCTGACCGGGGGGCGTGGGCACGCCGGCCCGCAGCGCTTTGGCCTTGTCGACGTCGTCGCGCAGCCGATGGAGGCTCGCCAGCTTCTCGACGAAGGTGTCGAGGATGCCGCGGAGGATCTCGTTGGCGCCCTCGGGGTGCTTGGTCAGGATCGTCTCGACGAGATTGAGCAGCAGCTTGACGCACATGGTCTGGATGCTCGGGGCCAGCGTCGAGTCGTGGAGGATCTGCGAGTGGATGTGGACGACGCGGACCAGCTGCGCCGGCGTCAGCTCCTGGCGCACGTGGTGAACCAGGTCGGCGAGCATGCTGATGGCCAGCGGCCGCTGGGTCTCGTGCGAGGTGATGCCGGTGCCGATGAGGACCCGCTCGTCGAGCAGCGTGTCAATCTGGCCGACAAAGTTGGCGCGGTACTCGGTCGAGAGCACATGCCGCGTGGCCACCAGCAGCTCCTTGCGCGTCGCCGACGCCTCCGGCGGGCAGTCTTTGAGCAGGCGGACGCTGATCTCGGGCAGCACGTGGGCATACGGCCGCATCACCGGCGCCGACCCGCGCAGCACGTAGGCGAGGAACGACATCGTCTTGACCTGGGCCACCACCATGTCCGTGTAGAGCGGGCGGTTCTTGATGCCGGGCGCGACGCCGACAAAGATCTCGCCCTTGGCCTTGGCCGCCTCGTGCGCCTCGCGTTGCGGCTTGGCCTGGAGCGACAGGCAGCTCTCGACAATCAGCGGCACAAAGACGTGGATCGCCTGCGCCACCACGCTGCGGTAGCTCTGGAAGATGAGCACGATCGCGATGGGGCACTCGGTCAGCACCTTGAAGCTCGACATGCTGCGGGCAATGCGCGTCGATTGCACAGCGGCGGGCGCCGCGTTGCTGCCGGCAGCCTCGGTCGCTGGCGAGGCGGCCGTTCCTCCTGCAGCTGCGTCGGTCGATGCCGCTGCCGCTGCTGATGCCGGTGCTTGTGCTGCTGCGGCGGCAGCACCCGGCTGGGCCTGTGGCTGCGAGAGCTGAGATGCCTCGCTCTTGAAGGCCTCCTCGACCGTGGTGCCCATGCTTGTGTAGAGCGTCTTGACGAGCTCAAGGAACGGCTGCACCTGCTCCTGCAGCACCGCCTTGAAGGAGCGGTGGAGGTCGATGATGACCTTGAGCGCGACGACGGCGTTCTCCTCGTTGTCCTGACGCAGCACGTTGAGCATCGACGTCATCAGGCCGTCGGCGAACGGCTTCACCAGCTCGTGCTGCGGCAGGCGGTGGATGGTCTCGACGACGACATGCCGCAGCCGCTGTGCAGAGGGGCAAGGGTGATCACGGTAGGCGAATGCAGCGGAGCGCAGCAAGGAGAGGAGGAGAGGAGAAGGGGCGGATGATGTGCTGAGCGATGGTCCACGCGGGGACATGCGCCGAGGGACAGGGGCCAAATGCTCACCTGCTCGATGGCATCCGCGCTGAAGCTGCACGGTATCGACGCGAGCAGCTCGATGTAGGTGGGTATCATGTGCTTGAGAAAGCGGCCATAGTCGACGTTCTGAAAGACCTCGAGAAAGTCTTTGATCTCGGTCGCCGTCGCGAGGCGCACTCGGAGGTCTGGGCAAGAGTCGAAGAGGCGGCGGGGAAACGGTGATGGCACGCAGAGACCGAGATCAGCTCCCGCTCGACAGTCAGCACCTGCCCTGGTGGGCCTGTCTGGCGCATGCTCGACGCAGCCCAGCACGCCTGCTCACCATTGGACTTGTCTGCCAGCCGTGCTGCGAGCGCCTCTGGATCCGGCGGCTGCCTGCGGGCGGCGCTCTCTGGCGTCGCCATGGCGGGCGGCGGTGGACGCTAGGCGAGGCCGCGCCAGGTGCAGACAGGATGCCTCGCTGGACGAAGAGAGGAAGCCAAGCTGCGTCCCAGGCCGAAGGCGAGGTCGAAAGGGAAAAGAACGAGGTGAAGCCGTCTATATGCGCGTCAGGTCGTAGGAGACGCCAGCATTCGTTCGAGGCGATGGTGGCGGGTGATGGAGAGGGGTCTGGATGCTAGCCGGAGGGGACGACGGGTATATCCAGCTGAAAGGGTTGGGACGATGACAGGGTGGGTTGACAGGCTCGATGGAGCGTCCCGGCGGCGGTGGATGGCGAGCAAATGCGCAGGCGGAGGAAGATGGCCGGTGCGTCGACGCGATTTGGTGAAGGCGAGGTGATCCGACAGGACGAGCGCGAAGCCGAAGACGGAAAGGGATGATGACCGCGGGTTGAGCTCAATCGCTGAGACTGACGCTTGGCAAAGGCGAAGGCGAGGGCGAGGGCGAGGATAGCTTGTCTGCGCTTGTTGTCGAGCGACCGAGGACCGACGCGAGGCCACGCGACTGACGAGGCCGGAGACAGGCTATCAGAGAAGGGTGAGTGGAGAGCAGCGCCAGAGAGCCCAGCTTCGAAGGATGACCTCGAGGCTGGTGTGGGGCGGATGAGGGTCAGGTGCAGTCGCGAAGGTCAAGGCGGCGCTGCGGGGTAATGCGGAGAAGAGGGAGGATGTGGTCGAGGGAGGGTCGTCGGGCCATCCAAGCTCCATGGCTGGCTGCTGCTGCCATCCACCCACCCGCCAGACCGAGGGCCTGGCAGGCAGGCAGGCAGGCAGGCAGGGCAACCCGATTGGCTTGTCCCTAGATCGGGGACGGTCCGGGGCACTGCACCGGGGCTGCATCGGGCGTCGGTGGATCGCGCTTCGGCCAACAGCTTCCGACTGACCGACTGACCGACTGGGGCTGCCTGGGCCGCGGCCTTCCTTCCCGCCCCTCGGCCCTTGCTTGACCCTCCCACGTTGACTTTCACCTTGCCTCCTTGCTATACCTTCGTTTCCCACCACTGCTCTCCGTTTCCCTGCCGCTGCACCCGCGTCAGCAAGCGCTGCGGTCGTCTGGCTCCTCAAGGCCAAGAACTCCAGCTCACGCGGCGGCGGCGACGAATGGCCCCTCTGCCCCCAACCACGGCCCGAGCCAACGGTCACGTCCCTCGACAGCAGCGCAGCCGCAGCGGTTCCCTTTGATACAAGGCCACCCGGATCTCGAGTCCAACATCGCTGCGCTGCCGAGTACCTCCCCGGCCTCCACCTTCTTCGACCCCCAGCGCTCGCTGCCTGAACCAGGCGGCCGGCGGCGGTGACCTCGCCCAGCCGACGCCATGGCGAGCCTGCTGCTGCGGCTGTTCCACAGCGACTACTTCAGCCCGCACCTCGCCCTCTCCTACCTCCGCACCTACTCGGACAACATCGGCATCACCTACTACCTCGTCTCGCAGCTCGAGACCGCCTTCCCGCCCGAGGAGGTCGAGTTCTACTGGGCCCAGCTATGCCACCTCCTCATCACCAAGCCCTCCGAGTCGCGCGCGCTCGAATGCTTCATCTTGCGCAGGTGCGAGGAGTCGGTCCACGTCGCCCTCTTCACGCTCTGGCACTTCCAGGCTTCGCTCTACGACCTCTCGTCGCAGCCCCACACGGCCTCATTCCAGATCTGCCAGCGAATCTTCAACAAGTGCCAGCGCATCCTCTTCGACGACCCGCTCCGCGCATCGTCGTCCTCGCCCTACGGCGCATCGTCGGCCAGGCCCGCGCCTGAAAAGATCTCGCCCCACAACCCGCTGGCCAGCATCGTCGGCATCGGCGCCGTCCTGGCCAGCGTCCCCGGCATGCCCAGGCTGGCGGACGTCTCGGGCAGGATCGCAATCGAGCAGGCGAGAAAGAAGCCGGACAGCACCGACGGCGCCTTCACCACGCGCGCGCCCGCAGATGAAGCTCAGGACGACGACGGTGCCGACTTGGTGGCGAATGACGACGATGACGACGACGACGAGGCAGTCGATGCTGCCGCCAACGTTGCCGCAGACGATAGCGCCGGTGAGGATGGCGAGGGCGCTGAGCGGAGCGCGTCCGCGTCCGCGTCTGTCAAGCCGTCGTCGGCCTCTGCCACCAATGGCGCATCTCGAAGTGCAGCCCTGCATCGGACAGCGGCCGCTCCAATGGTCCGGGCAGGGACCATGCCTACGACCATCGACGGGGCACACTCCGGCGCCGGTTCCGCGCAACCCACATCCGGAGGGCCCCTCGCCTCCACGGACAGGCCCAGGCAGCAGCAGAACCCCTTTGCGACGTTTGCGGCCGGCTTCAATGACTTCAAAGACAAGGCGGCGGCGGCCGTCGGCGAGGTGTTCGGTCAAGCGGAAGCCGGGCCCTTGCAACGCAAGGCGCCGGTCGACCCTCCGGCCTGGCATCGGCAGGGCTCCGCGAACCGCAACGCCGCCTTTGCCAAAAAGGCGGCGAGCTCCAAGTCGGTGCCCAACCTGGTGGCGGCGCGCGGCTCGCTCTCGGCCTTTTCCTCGTCGGCCGCGCTGGCGTCGGACTCGCAGGCGCAGAGGGAGGCGATGCTCGCGCTCTACGACCGCGATGCCCGGCGCCGGCTGCTGCGGTCCAACTACTGCCGCGCCCAGACGCAGTTTCTGCTGACGCTGCAGGACATTTCGGCCAGGCTGCTCCTGCTGCCCAAGCCGGCGCGGCTCTCGGCGCTACGGGCCGAGCTGACCGCGCTCAACCACAAGCTGCCCGCCGAGGTCTGCTTCCCGGTGTGGTGCACCGCCGACGAGCGGGACAGTTCCGGGAGTTCCGGTCACGGCCATGGTCATGGCCAGGACCCGGCCACGGCCAAGAGCAGCTCCAGGCAGCCGAGGAGGCACCACCGCGTCATCCGCATCAACCCGGGCGAGGCCGTAGTGCTCAACTCGGCCGACCGCGTGCCGTACCTGCTCAACGTCGAGGTGCTCAACAACGATCTCGACTTTGATCCGGACCGCCGCCAGAACCGCGAGACGCTGCGGCGGCTCGTGACCGAGGAGGACCAGCGACGGCGCAAGAACGCCTCGCCCGCCGATATACCCGTCATCGTGGCCGACACCCTCTTTGACGGGCCGGCGGGACAGGCAAACGTCAACGGAGGCGGCCGGCACGCGGTCGACGACGATGCAGTTGCCGAGCGCGCCAGCGACTCGCGGCCGGGCACGCCGCGCCGGGCGATCACGCCGAGGACGGGCGAGCGCGGCGACCCGGCATCGTCGGCGGGCGAAGGCAGATCTGACACGCCGCAGCTCGAGCCGTCCCCGCGGCTGCCGAGCACCCCGCTGCCCGCCGAGGACGAGGAGGAGATCGATCTGACCGAGCAGGCGTATGGCTCCGATCTGGCCGCGTTCGGAGAGGAGAAGGAGCCGACGTCGAGCGACGAGGAGGACGACCTGGCGCAGCGGAACAAGACCCACGACGCCGCCACGTGGACGTACGCACGCGAGCACGGCGGCGTCGAAGCGGGCAAGCCCTCTGCCAACCGGAGAAAGAGCTTCTCGCTCGACGAGTACTCGGAGCGGATGCGCACGGCCGCCGTGATGCTCTCGCAGCTCAACAAGAGCACCAACGCTTCGGCGCAGCCCATGGTCAACTACGGCCCCAGCGCCAGCTCAAACGCCCAGGGCGGCTGGAGCAGCTGGATCCTGCCCACGAGCTGGTACGGCGGCGGCGGCGGCGGCAGCGGGTCCGCCACCACGGGCGAGAAGAGCGACATCGGACAGGGCACCGCCGGCGTCAACACTCACCTCCACGGCAGCGGCGAGGCGTCGCGGGCCTCGATTGCCGGCTACGAGCGTCCAAGCCAGGTGGTTGGCGGGTCCTCGCGGCTGCTGCAGGCCGACACGGACGCGATCCGCAAGCGGATCATGCAGGAGATGATGGCGCTCGAGGAGGAGCGGACGCAGCGGATGCGAGCGGGCGGCAAGAACCTGGGCCGCAGCCGCAAGTCGAACAAGGCGCCGGCGCCCGAGGACGAGGAGGCGGTGCTGCGCGCCGTCAACAAGGACGACCCGTCGGCGGCGATGCTGGGCGAGTCGTGGGCGGCCAAAAAGGCGCGCATCCGGGCGTCGAGCCCGTACGGCCACCTGCCGTCGTGGGACGTCTTTTCGGTGATTGTCAAGACGGGCGCCGATCTGCGGCAGGAGCAGCTGGCTGTCCAGCTGATCAACGAGTTTGGCCGGATCTGGAAGGAGACGGGCAGCCGCTGCTGGGTGCGCTACTTCCGCATCCTGGCGACGAGCGAGAGCTCCGGCCTGATGGAGACCATCACCGATGCGGTGTCGATCCACTCTGTCAAGAAGGAGGCCTACGCCAGGCACACGGGCGACGAGAAGCTGTCCAACTATACCCTCTACGACCACTTCCTCAACGTGAGTAGCATGCGCGCGGCAGGCCGTTGAGGCCGGTGCGAGCCGCTTGCTGACCATCGTCGCCAAGCCTCTCCATCTCTCCTCTTGCCCGCTGCTGCGGCACAAATCTCTCTGGCAGACCTACGGCGAGCCATCGTCGGCCAAGTTCAACAAGGCGCGGGACCGCTTCCTCGAGTCGCTGGCCGCCTACTCGATCATCTCGTACCTCTTGCAGATCAAGGACCGCCACAACGGCAACATCCTCATCGACGGCGAGGGCCATCTCATACGTGAGTCCACCGAAGTCTAGCCGAGGATCCTACGTGCGACGGGCGGCGCAGCTGACGGGCACGGTCGGCCTTGCATCTGTGTCTCGCGACGGCCCTCCTGGCTTTCCGCCTCACAGACATCGACTTTGGCTTCATGCTGGGCATCTCGCCGGGAGGCGTCGGGTTCGAGGCTGCGCCGTTCAAGATGCCGCAAGAGTACATCGACATCCTGGGCGGCCTCGAGAGCCCCAAGTTTGAAGAGTTCAAGCAGCTGATGCGCTCGGGCTTCCGCGACGTGCGCAAGCACGCCGAGCGCATCATTATGCTGATCGAGCTCATGGCAAAAGGTGGGTTGGCGTCGAGGGCGTGGCAAGGGAGCCGAGCCATGGCTGCTGCTGCTGCTGCCGTCGTCGACGACTGAGAGTCCCTGGCTGACACGAGCGAGCTCCTCGTATCCCTGCCTCCCTCGCCGCGTGCGGCGCCGACACAGACTCGAACCTGCCGTGCTTTACGCTGGGCGACCTGACGGCGGCCAACCTGCGCGACCGCTTCCAGCTCGCGCTGAGCCAGAGCCAGTGCGACGAGTTCGTCGACCGGCTGATTCTCAGCTCGGCGGGGAGCGCCTTTACGCGGCTGTACGACATGTACCAGCGGCTGACCGAGGGTGTCCTCTAGACGACGGCCGCCCTCTCCGTCCGTCTGCCTTTCCCTTGCATCGTCATGCCCACTTTTGCAGCATCATGGATCCTCGCTCGTTGACCGCATCGCGGCGTTGCGTTTGGCGTCGCAGCGTCGCAGCGAGACGGGGGCGGACAGTGCTGGATCCGACCCGATGGCCGAATGGAAGGCTCGGGGCGGCTGTCTGCTTGCCTGGGTCGCTCTGCCGTCTAGCCTGGAGAAGGCGGCGAGGCCGATGCAACGGGATGCCAGCCAGGAGGAGGAGGCAGGGCGTCTTGCCGCATAAAAGACGACCAACGACGCCGCCGGCCCGAGCCTCGCAGCCAGCGCGCCTGCCTGTCTGCCCCCTTCCCTCATCCCCTGGCATGGAAGATGATCATTTGGGTAGCTTGACGAGGGCGGCCCTGCCTTGGCTTGGCTTGATCTTCGGAACGAGCATCGGGTGGGTCGGTCAGGCTGGGCAAGGGCGAGGGAGGGGGGCCTGGGCGGCAGATCATGCCTCGTTTTATGCGTGCGTGCATGTCGTACGTACGTGCGTCTCCATCTGCTCTTGACGACGTAGCGTACGTCTGCCTGTCTGTCTGTCTGTCGAGCCTCGGTGGCTGCCTTCACGGCACCGACAGACGATATCAGGGCGAAGCAAGCAAGCAAGGCTATTCCAGATCTAGCGGAGCTGCCGCCATGTCGTTGGAGTAGAGGTGTCGGATCGAAGCAAGCCAAGACGCGGCGGCAAGGGCGGAGGACGAAGGATGACGATGACGGCCTTGCCTGCCTTGGCCTGGCCTGGGCGAGCCTGGACCACGAGGAGCGGTCTCGGTTGGCCTGCCAGGCCGTCTGCCGGGTCGCTCGCTCGTCGCGGCGGCCTGAATTGGCAGGCAGGCGCGTCGTCGTCGACAAGGGAGCTCCGGCGACTTGACCCAGGCGAGGGGGCGGGCCACGGCCACAAGAGCATGCAGCAGCAGCTTAAGGCGTCGCCGTCGCCGTCGCCGTCGCCGTCGTCGTCGGGACCGCCGATACACGAGGCGGTGCTATCTCGCCGTTCGACCTAACCCTGCCTGCATATATCTGCTTTCCACCTGCCTCTCTGTCTGGTTGTGGTCAGGACACGAGGTCTGGACCTCGTCATCGTCGCTCATGACCGTAGCCTCCTTGATCTGGGCCCGAGACAAAGGAAGAGGCGAGCGCGGACCTCTGTCACCTTGAGCTTCCTTCTCTCGAGCGCGGGCCGGCTTTGAAGCACCCCCACCTTGGTCCAAGGAAAGGCGGGACCGCTTCGATCCGATCCGATCCTCCCAGCCTGAGCTGGCTCCCTTCTTGTGCATCGCAGCAAGCAACGTCTTTCTCGTGCAGCTGGCCCCGTTCGGGCCGTCTCGATTCAACTCTATCGTCTTGGTGCGGGTCGACGAGCAACTGCTCAAACACATGCATGTACAGCCAGCAAGGTAACCTCGCTCGTAGGCGATGGACGGTGGGGCAACGGCGGGTTGAGATCTGGTCGGAGAGGGACCGCAAGCCCTGGGCCGTCCTGACTAGCCAGCCAAGGCAAGGCAGGCAGGCGAGGAACAAAACAGCTGCCAATTTTGGCCCACCTGGCCTGCCCAAGTTGGCTGGCTGGCTGGCTGGCTGCTCGCTCGCGATGGGTGGTTTTCAATGACCCACCTGATTTGCCTGCCGCTGGCTCGCTTGGCGAGGGCCGAAGTACGTTGGCCGGGCCAGGCAGGCCTCCCTGGCTGGCTGGCTGGCTGGTAAGTTACCGTGCCGTTCCTTGTCTGGCCCGCCCGTGCTTTCTTCTCCCTGCCTGCCTGTCGTCACCGTGGCAACGGGCCCCTTGGCCTGCTTCTTGCCGGCCAACCACCACCGTAACATCACCGCCACCACCACCACCATCACCACCACCACCATCATCATCCCCGGCTTCCGACCGCCCCTTCTTCGATATCCTATACCATCGCCGCTGCCACCGCCGCCGTTGTTCGAGCGCTCCTCGTCCCGTCTCTGACTGCGACGCCGCCGCTGCTCCACATTCTTTCGCCAGTGTCTCGTTTTCACCGCCCGATCCCTCGCTGCGCTTCCACCTAAGAGGGCATCGGCAGCTCGCAGAATATCGCCTGCTCCGCCTCCAGAGCCATCGCTCGATCAATCTCTCCGCCAAAGAGATCAACTCGTGCGCCTTCGCCGCGCCGCCCTGTTCGACCCGACAAAGCACCGCAGCCCCTATTCGACATCGCCACATCGCGTCTGATAGCTCTATGTCAAGGCCTCGCCGAAGCACTGGCTTGCTGGTTGGTGCGGCCGCCCTGATCGCCTTCGCCGGCGCCGGCCCCAGCGGCAGCAGGGCCGCCGGGATCGAAGTCAGCACATCCTTCAGCCAAGTCTGCACCCCACTCAACATCTCCTGGACGCCAGACGACAACGCCTACCCCTACACGGTCTGGGTCTCTGGCATCCGTGGAGCTGCAGATACCTTCCGGATCGAGGGCGACTTCCAGTTCAAATCCAAACAGCTCACGTTTCAGTACGTCGTGCCGCCGCCGACCATCGGCTTCCAGAGCTACATCGTCGCCGTCGCCGACAGCAAGGGCAATGGCAACAGCAGTGAGTGCCGTCCTCACCCTGTTCGACCCGCTCCTCCGACCCGAGCTTCCCCGCCGGCTGACCCGCCCACTCGTCATACTCCTCCTCGACGTCTGTGCGACCATAGCTCGACCGCTGACCGTCAATGTGCCGAACGGCGCCAATGTCAATGCCTGCAACCCTTTTACCTCGACGCCCGCGTGGCTCTGGGCCGGCGACCCGCAGAACCAGGGCGCGCAGATGGAGCAGTGCGGGACCGTGCGTTTCTACAACATCGACCAGCGCGGCACCGCCCCCTTCACCATCACCGTGAGTACCTCCCTATTCCGCTTCCGTCGACTCGATCGTCGAGGCCAGGCGAGCCGGTCCGCTGAAACGAATACCGTCGCGCCCTTGCACCTTTGCAGTGGATCCCCATCAAGGGCAACCCCATCACCGTCAACGTGCCCAAGTCGGCGACGCTCAACACGTCGGCATTCATCTACGAGACCAAGGTACCCTTCCCCGTCGACACGCAGTTCCAGGTGGTGCTGGGCGATGCCACCGGCGGCGCCAGCGGCGGAGGATCCGAGCTCTACACGACCGCCTTCTCGATGGACCAGGACTGCCTCGAGGCGGGCTACAAGCTCCCCGGAAAGAACAGCACCTACGCGCTGCCGCCTTCGTTCAACCTGCAGTCCTTCCGTGCCCTGCCAGGCGCGATCAACGGCCCGACTTCCGATTCGGGAAGCAGTTCCAACGGCAACGGCAACGGCAGCAGCGGTAGCGGCGGAGGTGGCGGTGGCGGCGGCAGCAACGTGGGCGCCATCGCCGGAGGCGCCATCGGAGGCGCCATTGCTCTCGTCATCGTCATCGGCTGCCTTATCGCCTTCCTCCTCTACAAGCGGCGGCAAAAGAGGCGAAAGGAGGATGCGCGCAAGGAGGAGGTCCACTTTGTCGACCTCGACGGCGACGAGGACGCCGCCAGCGGCTCAGAGGGGCCTGGCGCGGCGGCAAGGCGACGCTCTAGGATCGTCCAGAGCAACCGGGAGTCTGGTATCCAGCAGACCTACTCTGTCTCGCCGTTCACCTACCAGCCTTCGGCTCCCGATGTCCAGCCGGGTCACGAGCTGGCGGATCGCACCAGCCGACACAGCAGCTACGGCGGCGCAGCGGCCATGGGCGCATCCGGCACCGCGACGCCCTCATCGCCCATGCAGCCGGCCGACGGAGCGCAGTACAACGATATGCTGGCCGCGGCGGGCATGGCGCGGGTGCCTAGCTCGAACCACAGCGGCGCTGGCGGCCGGCCGACGTCGTCGCACTCGTTTGGCTCCAACCATGGCCTGCTGTCCAGCCCGACGGCGTCCTCGCCGCAGCTCGTCAGCCCCGTGGCGCCGTTTGCGTTCGCAGATCGACACCGGTCCAACTCGCACGGCTCGACGGGCGCGTACAGGCTGCGGACAACCAACGACGACTTGCCGCCCGCGCACGATGGCGAGGGGCTGGCGATGGGCCATGCCTCGGGCTCGGCGTCGCGGCAGGCGGGCCCTCTGCCCAACAAGGCGCCGCTTCCTGGCGACGAGGAGACGAGGCAGTCGCAGAATGCCCGCCGGGTGCTGATGCACTCGGATGGTGGGCCGCTCCCGCAGCCCGAGAGCGACGACGACGACGCGGTCGAAGAGCTTCCACCCCAGTATGGCGGGTGGACCTCGACGAGCGGTGGCGGTGGCGGTGCCGCTCCGCCTCCGCTTCCGTGATCGCCGCTTGCTCGATCTTCAGCATTGCACTTCCATTCTCCGGCATCTCAAGTCTTCATTCTCTCCGACGATGTTCCTGCACCATCCCTGACCCAACTGCTGGGGTCTTTCGCCTGCCTGCGCCGTCGTCGAGCAGGAGCGGAATCGGCCGGCGGGCCCGCCACTGTGCTTTCGACAGCATGACCCCCCAGCTTCTGACCTTCTCTTTGCACGTGTTACCACTGTCCCAACGTCGCCTCGCGTCGAGCGCCGGTACGCTCTCGTCCTGGCTCGACGACGAGGCCACACCCACCATCCTAGCATATCCCACTCGCTCTCGTTTTGCCCTGCGCATCTGCTCATCAGCACGCCTTTCCCTTCATTCTGTCGAGCTTCTCTTCCCCTGCATATCCCCTGTGCCGAATGAACATAGACTTGCAGCCCTCTTGTCTCTGCTCTCCATCAGATTGAGGGCGAGTGGGTTCCTCTTTGAGCACACGGGCAGAGCTGGAGCTGAAGGTGTGAAGCGATGAGCGGTGATGGGCATTTCGAAGCAGGCACGGTACAAGCAGAGCGGGAGTTGGATTGAGGCGGATCGATCACTGCCTGAAGTCGTAGACCTAGTCCAGTCACCGCGAGGGGGGGGGGGGGGGGGGAGAGAGAGACGACGACGACGACGACGAGAGA